GCTATATGATACAGTATGATACGGTATGATACAGTATGATATAGTATGATGCTATATTATACGATATGATATAATATGATGCTATATGATACGATATGATACAGTAGGATATAGTATGATGCTATATTATATGATATGATATAATATTATGCTATATGATACGATATGATACAGTATGATATAATATGATGTTATATGATACAATATGATACAGTATGATATAGTATGATGCTATATGACACAGTATGATACGGTATGATATTGTATGATACTATATGATGCTATATTATACGATATGATATATGATGCTATATGATATATGATACAGTATGATATAGTATGATGCTATATGATACAATATGATACATTATGATACGGTACGATACTATATGATGCTATATTATACGATATGATATAATATGATGCTATATGATACGATATGATACAGTATGATATAGTATGATGCTATATGATACAGTATGATACGGTATGATATTGTATGATGCTATATGATGCTATATTATACGATATGATATAGTATGATGCTATATGATACAGTATGATACGGTATGATATTGTATGATACTATATGATGCTATATTATATGATATGATATAATATTATGCTATTTGATACGGTATGATACAGTATGATATAGAATGATGCTATATTATACAATATGATGCAGTATGATATAGTATGATGCTATATGATACGATATGATACAGTATGATATAGTATGATGCTATATGATACAGTATGATACGGTATGATATTGTATGATACTATATGATGCTATATTATATGATATGATATAATATTATGCTATATGATACGATATGATACAGTATGATATAGTATGATGCTATATGATGCTATATTATACGATATGATATAATATGATGCTATATGATACGATATGATACAGTATGATATAATATGATGGTATATGATACGATATGATACAGTATGATATAGTATGATGCTATATGATACGATATGATACGGTATGATATAGTACGTTACTATATGATGCTATATGATACGATATGATATAATATGATGCTATATGATACGATATGATACAGTATGATATAGTATGATGCTATATGATACAGTATGATACGGTATGATACAGTATGATATAGTATGATGCTATATTATACGATATGATATAATATGATGCTATATGATACGATATGATACAGTATGATATAGTATGATGCTATATTATATGATATGATATAATATTATGCTATATGACACGATATGATACAGTATGATATAATATGATGTTATATGATACAATATGATACAGTATGATATAGTATGATGCTATATGATACAGTATGATACGGTATGATATTGTATGATACTATATGATGCTATATTATACGATATGATATAATATGATGCTATATGATATGATATGATACAGTATGATATAGTATGATGCTATATGATACAATATGATACATTATGATACGGTACGATACTATATGATGCTATATTATACGATATGATACAGTATGATATAGTATGATGCTATATGATACAGTATGATACGGTATGATATTGTATGATGCTATATGATGCTATATTATACGATATGATATAGTATGATGCTATATGATACAGTATGATACGGTATGATATGGTATGATAGTATGATACGATATGATACAGTATGATATAATATGATGGTATATGATACGATATGATACAGTATGATATAGTATGATGCTATATGATACAATATGATACATTATGATACGGTACGATACTATATGATGCTATATTATACGATATGATATAATATGATGCTATATGATACGATATGATACAGTATGATATAGTATGATGCTATATGATACAGTATGATACGGTATGATAGAGTATGATATAGTATGATGCTATATTATACGATATGATATAATATGATGCTATATGATACGATATGATACAGTATGATATAGTATGATGCTATATGATACAATATGATACATTATGATATTGTATGATACTATATGAGCTATATTACGATATGATATATATGATGCTATATGATATGATATGACAGTATGATATAGTATGATGCTATATGATACAGTAGATACGGTATGATATTGTATGATACTATAATGCTATATTATATGATATGATATAATATGCTATATGATACGATATGATACAGTATGATATAGTATGATGCTATATGATACGATATGATACCGTATGATATAGTATGATGCTATATGATACAGTATGATACGGTATGATACGGTACGATACTTTATGATGCAATATGATACGGTGTGATACTGTATGATATAGTGATACGGTATGATATTGTATGATACTATATGATGCTATATTATACGATATGATATAATATGATGCTATATGATACGATATGATACAGTATGATATAGTATGATGCTATATGATACAATATGATACATTATGATATTGTATGATACTATATGATGCTATATTATACGATATGATATAATATGATGCTATATGATATGATATGATACAGTATGATATAGTATGATGCTATATGATACAGTATGATACGGTATGATATTGTATGATACTATATGATGCTATATTATATGATATGATATAATATTATGCTATATGATACGATATGATACAGTATGATATAGTATGATGCTATATGATACGATATGATACCGTATGATATAGTATGATGCTATATGATACAGTATGATACGGTATGATACGGTACGATACTTTATGATGCAATATGATACGGTGTGATACTGTATGATATAGTATGATACGGTATGATATTGTATGATACTATATGATGCTATATTATACGATATGATATAATATGATGCTATATGATACGATATGATACAGTATGATATAGTATGATGCTATATGATACAGTATGATACGGTATGATAGAGTATGATATAGTATGATGCTATATTATACGATTTGATATAATATGATGCTATATGATACGATATGATACAGTATGATATAGTATGATGCTATATGATACAATATGATACATTATGATATTGTATGATACTATATGATGCTATATTATACGATATGATGTAATATGATGCTATATGATATGATATGACACAGTATGATATAGTATGATGCTATATGATACAGTATGATACGGTATGATATTGTATGATACTATATGATGCTATATTATATGATATGATATAATATGATGCTATATGATACGATATGATACAGTATGATATAGTATGATGCTATATGATACGATATGATACCGTATGATATAGTATGATGCTATATGATACAGTATGATACGGTATGATACGGTACGATACTTTATGATGCAATATGATACGGTGTGATACTGTATGATATAGTATGATACGGTATGATATTGTATGATACTATATGATGCTATATTATACGATATGATATAATATGATGCTATATGATACGATATGATACAGTATGATATAGTATGATGCTATATGATACAATATGATACGTTATGATACGGTACGATACTATATGATGCTATATTATACGATATGATATAATATGATGCTATATGATACGATATGATACAGTATGATATAGTATGATGCTATATGATACAGTATGATACGGTATGATATTGTATGATGCTATATGATGCTATATTATACGATATGATATAATATGATGCTATATGATACGATATGATACAGTATGATATAGTATGATGCTATATGATACGATATGATACAGTATGATATAATATGATGCTATATGATACGATATGATACAGTATGATATAGTATGATGCTATATGATACGATATGATACAGTATGATATAATATGATGCAATATGATACAGTGTGACACGGTATGATACGGTATGATATGGTATGATGCTTAATGATATGGTATGATACAATAGATGTTTAAAAAAGGGTGTTGTATGTATATTGGTACTCAAAAAGTACGGCCAGTGACCTTTTCAACGGCAAGTGTGGTATTTTATTCCGAGTCTCGGGATTTTCTGTAGCAGTAAAAATTTTTATTTTAAAATGTAACTTTTGAAACGATGCAGGGATGACATCTGAACGGAGATCTTTATTAGAAGTGACAACTTTCAGTTCATGTTGATTTTGGTTTTTATCGTCATTAAAAACACCGTGATCTCAATTTTCATTTCGCATTTGAGGACGATTGAATATAGAAACAAAGGGAAGAAGCATTGAAGAACGCGTAATCGACCTCGTACAGTTTGCAACTTTCTGTGCATCCCTGGGTACGTAGTTACTTTCTGTATGCTTTCCAACGAGAGATCACTTAAAGTAGAAATGTTAGCAAAAGATGTATACAGGAGCGCCGAACAAAGTATTAGGCAAGCTGAATTTCACATGCGCAACTATGCTTGCCACCAAGGGAGAGATTTTGAATCGTTCACATCATATAGATGCTCTTACTTGGTTTATGTTAAAAAAATATTTCACTCGAGGCAGTAGTAACAAAATCGAAAAGTTCGTCTGGCCCCACGTTTTGCCGGTTAAAAGTATAATAACGGGACGTCATAAAAGTTATTTGCCCTAAAATATTTTTTTCAGAATTGGATCTAAAATGACCGCCAAGGAGCTCAATTATTGGACAAATATATATGGCCGGTTTTCCACGAGCAATATTTTTCGCGCGAAGCAACATTTTACTTTTGTTTCAGAGCTCTTAGTCGCTCAAATACAATAAAGTCGCTTTGCACGAAAAATATCGCTATATGGGAAACCGGCTTACGACCGTCTGAAGGAAATAATAAAGATTAATATTACCTTCGATACAGCGTAGGACGCGCCAGCAGAATCATAACCCGCACTAGGCATGTGCAGCCTAGATTCTACTGGCCCATCTCGATTACGACTTCAATGACGAAATATGAACTGTTAGGTTTGGATAATTTGAAATTCCCAGTTTAGCAAAAGAGTAGCAACGATCCCACATTTTACATCAATAGTATAAGAATTCGTGTAATAAAATAACCATATTATATAATACTTTTATCGTCAATATTTGTTAGGACAGTGAAAACGACCATTCAGTGAAAATGGCGTGCGTACTGTCATGCGAATAGTCCCAGACGAGCGGTTTTGGCGGAGAGAAATGTATGTAAGACGAAAACAACTGGCTTTGGACATCCACGAAGATCTAGTTCCTGGAAGAAAAACATCACAACTTTGTTTATACATCACAATGATTTACACATAAATATTTCATTCCGTTTTCGACGAAATTTGACATACCTGTTCTCCTTCATCTCCACCAAAATCAAGCCAGAGCAAACGTTGTCCGTCATCGGCAGACATCTTTAAACGATCAAACGGGAAGGACCATAAAATTTGGGACTTTCCTGAAGAATCTATTCCTGACCTCGCGTCAGTTAGGGTGAAACCATTCTCATAATGAATTGTAAGACGAGTTTCCTGATTGTGCCACGTCACCGCTACAAGATATTGAAAAAACAGTTATTTTATTCAACATGTGGGTGTTTATTGTAAGGAAGAACTAGTGACGGACGGGTTAATTTTAACCATGAAAACGAGTTGGTTTTACCAATAAAAACAAGTTGGCTTTACGCATGAAAATGAGTTGATTTTACCTATGAAAACAAGTTGGTTTTAACCATGAAAACGGGTTGGTTCTACGAATGAAAACGAGTCGATTTTAACCATGCAATCAAGTTGGTTTTAACCACGAAAACGAGTTCGTTTTACCCACGAAAACGAATTGGTTTTACCAATGAAAACGAGTTGGTTTTAACTATGCAATCAAGTTGGTTTTAACTATGAAATGGAGTTGGATTTACCAATGAAAACGAGTTGGTTTTATCTAATGTTGTAATGAAAAGGACATGTTTGTCCTGCTATTGAAAAAAGTTGATTCCTTGTGCTTTAATAGATGCAAACGAGCGAATATTTATGATGATCGGCGGATTGTAAAGACGCCTTCCTTATCCGTACAATCATAACTTACCCACACACTCAAGTATCAAAAGAAAAAACACTTCAAACCACAGTTAGTGTAAACAAATTACTTAACTCATCATAAGTAAATACTATAGTAACAAAGAGCGACTTACAGTATCTTAAAAAGACGATTTAATGACGTTAACAACTCACCACAATTTATTTCTTTGATTAAAGCAGCCGCGCTGTGGGCTCCTTCAATAATACTACGACACCAATGAGCCAGTTCACGCGGTGTTTCCGCTCGAAATAGATGAGCTTCCACACCTTTCCGTGAGCCTGTTCTTGTTCCAAACGTCAAATCTGGTGAATTCAAGCGTTCTGATGAGGTTCCAGTTGAGTTCACTAATCTAAAAAAGTAATTTCATATTCGATGACCGTAACGTAACAACTTTTTTGGCATTTCGTATAGTAAAAGCCTTGCCTCATGTAATAAAAAGAAACGGCTGCTATTCACAATAATATGGACACTTTGTCTGGAAAAGATAGTTTGTCGACAATTCGTCACTATATACATGGATAAAGCTGGAAAAATATCATCTATCAAAAAGACGAATGCGCATAACGATACTAAAAAGCTATTGCGGATATAAAGAAGAATATACAATATTGCCAACGGAAGAACTACAAAACTCATTCCTTTTTTGTTCAGGACTGGATTAATGCGAAAAGGTCTTTTCTAGCCACAAATCTTTACTTAACGAAACGTTACATATCTTACACCACACACAGGAAAAACGATCACATTCGTAAAGCACAGTATTAGTTTGTGGGTACATCACGTGGCATGTATATTTATTTATGCAAAGTGAAATTGACTAGATCTGATAAAATCACTATACAGTAAGTGACTAGGGTTAACGGAGCAAAGCTTTACAGAGATAAATTGTGTTGTTCCTACAAACTGATAACGCAAATTGCTGTTTGCCATGCAAAATTACAAAATTATACCTTGCAAGGCATCCGAAATATCGCCGATGTTATCTCACGTGCTCTTTGTTGGTTACTTCAAAGGCTCTTCCGTCCCCCTCAAAACATGCAATTTATATCTTGACCGCAGACTACTGACTACGACGGTAATCGTTTAGCGTAATACAGGCAATTATTCATACAAGTCTTCTTAAATTTTGATATTCTGAATGGTTTTATATGTTGTTGATATTGTGTTTTCCAAATAATCTCTTTTGCAACTTATCTCGGTCAATTCGTTTAGCAACTAATCTCGGTCGCGTCAATTCGTCAAGAGAGCATACATCTAAACATTTAATATTACACGAATTCGGTTTTATTTGAGGTTTTAACGGTCCATGTTCGTTGTTTGTAATCCTAAATCGCTACTGTCTCAGTAGTGGCAGTGGACTTGGTACCTGGTGAAGTGAGTTTGAAGCGAATGAACAACGCTTGGAAGGTTTTGAAAGCAAGAGGAAACATATGTATACATGCATGGTTAGCAGATTGCTATCTTCTAACCATGCATGCATATCTCTCCTTAAAACCAAAAAACTTACACTAGCATTAAAATGTATCACTTCACCGCTTAGTGTTATCAGCCAATTAGTCTTCATGCATGTTCACAATGTGTGTTTCCAGGCGTATCCACAAACAAACAAGGCCGCTTTCCGCCCAACCTTGCAAGGTTGATTGATTGCTTTCGTACGTGCGTGTGTAAGGGCGTGGAAAAGTTTCAGGGAACGTTCAGTTTAATTACTTTTAAATACCTTAGGGCTCATCGCACGAACACATGAAACAGTACAGAAATACAGATTACTGCCTCTACTAGTTTTGCGATGATTAAAATTTACAGTATGTGATTTCAACTTTTTACAGGTATAAAGCTACTACAAACAAATTATTTGAATGATAAAATATCCATGGGCCTTCAAAGCTGACCGCAGGAGGACTATAGCAACTCAGAATTGACATTCAGTTTATAACTTGTGCAGACTAAACTGACTGTAAGCAAATCATTTCAAGGTGTGGTTGCTTAAGTCAGACTGAGTTATAAAAGGGTTTGCAAACTTTTCATATATTTGCATACATAAATTGAAAAATAAGCAGTGACAAATCTCATGTCTTTTCAGTAAATTATGTGTTATTGCTTCAAAGGGTAAAATACCACACAGATTAAATACCTAACTAGATAGATGACAAAAGTAGGGCATATTTCAGCAAAACAAATTATTAAGACTAAAGCAAAGCAATCTTTACCTGGTTGCTAACAATGGATGACTCATAAAAGGTGATGCCCATTCCTCTAATGTGAATGCAACAGCATCATATAGTAACATATCTTTATCTGTTAATGCCAAAAAAACTGGCTTCCATTCCGGTTTAGGGCTGTCGCCGCCAACATAAACTTGCTCACTAAGCCAGCCCATAGTGTGTATTTCCCTATTGCCTGGTGACCCACTTAGTATGACATTAGCTTCATCTATCGCTGTAAATACAAGAGAAACACATGTTAGTGCCAGTTAAAATTTATGCCCAGATTAAGAAACAAGTATTTTGGTTACTTGTATAGTTGTATATAAGCATCTTTCATGGTGCGGAGCAGCGAATTTATATTCGTTCACAATTTAACTTGTGATAGCTTAATACAATTTGCTTCATAATTTATACTTTTGGTCTGATAACAGTCAAATTTTAGGTACTTGTTCTGTACTCAGAGTTAGGTGACTGTCTATCTATCAACAGTATTCCTTTATCTAGAGTTTACCCACAGCAAAGAATGATTGGTTAGTCTATGACCCTTTCCCTTATGCATACCTATCTATTTCACAGAGGGGATTCAACTTTCACAATGGTGCATCCTATACTTTCCAGGCCCACGCCTCTGTGTATATCACCACTTAATTTGACTACACGTATGTATTCCCATTATCTATCATTTGACCACACATATATATTTCCATTAACTATCTTCAGCCTACAATAGGTGGGATTTACAGATAAATATGTGACAACATAGAGTATATAAATGAAACATTACTTTCTATTAAACAGCTGGCAATACACTTAGTTACACTCACTAAAGTGTTTTTAATACTTGGTCTAACAAGTCATGGAAAAGTATATATTGCCAGTGAGACCATGTTTACACAGGAACAGATGAATTTAGGCCTATGCTTGAGTTCTTAGGTTCATTTGTTTACAACAGACAAATAGGATTAATATTTGACTGTTATTTGTTTAAACAAGGAACTAAAAGAATTCAAGCACTGCTTCAAATTCCTCAAGTCTTTCGTGAATATAGTCCTAATCAGATTGAGTTAATCGGTTACTACGAAACATATAAATCACAGACATACGTTCGGAATGAAAAGACTATACAAATTCTGAAAAATTTATGAGGTTAAAATTGAGGTTTTCGTCCAAACATGTATGTTTTTAAAAAACAGATGGGCTCGTGCATTGCATACCGACTGCCTAGCATTCTTCATTAACATAACATAAAGTGAAATCCGAATTCCGCGGGAGAAAATCACAGGCTGTGAGTGTGTAAAAACATGGCTTTAATTTTTATAAATAAACTGCTCGCGAACTTACCAGGTTCTATGAGGCGTGAAACATTAGTATGAATAACACTGTACCATTGCTGGGCAGATGCCGCGTCGTTACATCTCAATATGCATGCAGATCTGCCATCTGAACTAAAAATTTCAAAACTTCGTCCTTCTGCACCTTGAACCTTCGCAGGAATGTACCTCGACACATAGGAAAGTTTCAAATTTATGGATTTTATTTCGGGCCAATTTTGAGGCGGCGAGCTCACAGCATTGCTCGTGCTAGACTCGCTACTTTTAGAGCCACGAAAATACGGTGTAACTTCTTTGAGATATTTCACAGTCAAGTCAACTTCGCGACCGGCCTGCTTGAGCGCGCGTACGGCTTCATCGTGCGTTGCATTCCGCAAGTCTTCTTGATTGACAGCCAAAATAGCATCCCCAACGTACAGGGCATCTGTCTGATCAGCTGCTAGTCCCTTGAAGATTTTTGAAATGAGAATGGGCATTTTGTTCTCTTTGCCACCTTTTATTGATATACCTAGGCCGCCCACTTCTTGTTTGATCACACGAACTTTGCGAACTTGATTTAAAATTGATTCGGGAGGGATCTTCTCGTCGGGTAAGCCTACCGTGTCGCCATCTTTTGACGATAAACTACTTGAATTTGATGATTTTGAAGAGTCTTCTGCGTTTAGAGTGAGAGTCTCTTCGTCCAAGGTGACAAACACACGTCTCCAGCCATCTTTTGTGTAGTAATCAAGCAATCCCGATCGCGACGAGGCAGCCATAACTTACATTCTATTTACTATACTTTATTCACTTCACGTTCGCCTTCAACAACCTCGTCCCCAACCTCCTCTGGGCGGCGGCGAGGGGGGAACTTTATACCCAACATGTACTTTGTTCCGGTACTACTTATGTTGATTTTTGGGATGGTTGTTTTTGCGATTTGTTTTCTGTGAACCTGTTTGAAAGCAAGTCTTCGTATTAAGAAGAGCAGGTAATCTACTTTGAGCGTGAGTAATCATGCCATATAGTTTGGTTGTTTAAAGAAAAATGACGGGTGAATTCATTCATTCCCCAGGGGACCTAATATTAATCTGTGATCTGTGTCTGTGCCCCAACATTAAGCTTTCGCATATGTTTTCATGGAATATGTATCAAATTATAGGAAACACCTTCTCGGAACCGTCAGGGCATGGTCGGAAAGTTCCTAATTGGCAAATTATTTTCAAATCTTAATTTTTACAGTGTACTGTGTACAGACACTAAGCTTTGTATTTCAAGCTGAAAGTGAACCAGTTTCCGGCTGTCAGCCAGGGTGGAACGAAAACATCGATGTTGTTTTTTCGCTTTCAAAGGCTGGAAAAGGGGAGAAATTTTCTTGCATAGACACTTCTGCATTCACCAATACTGAGAAATATTTGCAAGACTTTAGGAGTTCACTTTGTCTATGATTTATCTTTGTGAGATAATTGTTGTTACTGCATGGGGTAATTGGGGTTGGTTGGCCACCCAACGTTTTACATATGTGAGCTTATTATATTTAACGATGAGTTTATTATTTTTTAGAGTAAAAAATGCTGTCATTATCAGATGCTGCACAACTTGAATCACTTGGTGACAAAGCCGTCGCTCGATTCAAGCCATGGTGGGAGGTTCTTACATTTTACAGCCTGAATGGCCTGTTGATGGCAGTTCTGTTTGCATTGGCAGGCATTACCATTTCTGGTACCTATAACATCTGGTGTTTTCCAGAGGGAAATAATACTAATTTGGATTATACAGTGATGAATTATGCCAGCTCCCGATGCTCAAGAATATTTGAAGGAGACTATCTGATATATTTCCCATATTGGATGTTCTTGGAGTGGAGCATATTCTTTGTCATCCATTTGCTATGGTTTAAATTGCCTGCAACATTTTTCTTATTCCAACAACTATCGGATGTGTTTGCTGAATTCAGTGCTATAAAACCTGTTGAATACAACACTGAAAAACGAATTTCAAGAGGTACTGTACTGTAATGTTTTATAAAATCAGGCTTATGACACCAAAATACTTGTTTAATTTAGCCTAATTATATTAAATCTCAAGTTTAAATTTTTACATGTCACTACTTGTAAAACCTGAAAAACCTGTAGATCAACTACGTGGGGCCAGTTGTATAAGACTAATTAACTTTTAACTCTAGTTAAGGACAGAATTGGCCAATGAGAGATGTGTATTTCTGAGTTAACTAGGATTTAACTATGCAAAATGTAGTTAAACAGTTTTATACAACCGGCTCCAGGACAACTACCCTCTAACTAGTGTAGTTAATTTTTTTTTTGGCTGATTCCAGAGTAAAGACCACATTAGGCTCCATAAGATTAAGATTTCTTTACTTCCTTTTTTGTTAAAATGGATAGTTCAATGTCTTTTTATTGTTTAGGTAATGCTGGTTTGAGCAGCAAATTGACTGGTCTTCATCTGAGACAAAACAAGGAAACCAAACAAAAAGTCAGAAATCTGGTTGACCGCCTCCTGGAAATAGTCCAAGAAAACAACCATTTAGTGTTTATGTACACTGTGAAGGCAATCTTTCTCTGTGTTTCGAATGCTGTTGTGACTGTTGTGTTAGTTTTGTGGCTCTATGGTCGACAATGGCATGCATCATTCCCCTGTGATCTATCCAATCACATCCCTCTCATATACGAGTATTTAACATGCTCACTTCCTGCAGCACCCTTTCTTTATGGATTGATGATCTGCAACATTATACTTGCTTTTTGCATTTGTGTTTGCAATATCTTCGCGCTAAAGTGGGTGATAACATTTCGATTATCCACGTACTCGCATTACAAGAGCGCTTTCCAAAAATGGACGTCGTTCGTCGATAAAAAGGGGTTTTTGGATTTCTGTTTTTGCCTGGATTTGACCAGCTGTACTAGCAAAGATGGTAAAATACTGGGAGATACCATCTACTCCAGTCTAAAGCTCTACCAGAAATCCGATAAACATACGTCACACGTAGAACTTATACAGGAGATCAATAAAAAAGCAAGTTTTTCGTCCATGTTTCACCAAGGAGAGGTGATAGCCACTGAGCTAGGACTGAAAATTTTGGAAGGTAATGTGTCGGATGATTGTCTGTTTAATGCTATAGCAAAGGTAAATGGCATTGAAACGGAAAACGTTTTCGATGCAATCGTCCACGAATTGACAACTAAGATGCACGTTTACAAGGACCTCGTTGACCTCGATCTGAATTGTCCCGGCTTTGAGGAGTGCGTTGGATTGATACGATCAGAAAAGAAGACCCCAAAAGAATTTTATCATTTTGCACTAATGGCTGCATGTAATGCGTTCAGTGTTGATATTCTTGTCCTCAGTACTGGCGCTAAGTGTTGGCATTACAAGGCAACCGACAATGGCGACACGGCTTCATCTACGCCGACTAAATATTTGTTCTTCATCCATCCAAACTATTACACGGCCGTTATAGAGGAGGTGAATGAAGAAGACAAGAGAGATAAGAGACGGTCGTTTATCTCTGATCCTGACTATCGCAAACAGCTTCAAAATCAATCCCGTACCTCTTGGGAAGATGTTGGAAAACGCAAATACCAAAAGACAATGAAAGATTTGAATCCTGAAATCCTGTCTTATGGAAAAGCTACCGTTCCACCAACCAAAGCGCCGACCAATATTTTGGCTGATTTATTCAATGAAACTGGGAAAAAGATTTCCAGACAGATTTTGAACAAAATTTACATTCCTGGTTTAACCAACCAGCAGCACTAAAATGAAACAAAATGTTTTCCTTATTCTTAAAATTTTGTTTGGATGTCTGACCAGCTGATCGTTTACAACAACGAAGTTTTTAACTTGTTCCTCTTTCCATCTTTCAAAAGGCCTGGGACTAGTTCGTATAAAGTAATTTTACAAAAATCTTGGGTAACTAAAAATAACGCGATCTGTTAAAAACATTTATGCCATGTTCACAGTCTTGACACCAAATCGAACGAAACGTTCACAAGTTCACAAGTCAATATTTGTGTATTTTTTGCGAAAATACACAAATATATAGCGAGTTTTACTCTCTGTAATTTGTTCTAAAAAAATTTGTCACACAAAATAGCTTTGAGTGGTTATTTAGAGCTTGATGAGATGGACTGACTGGAAAGATCATTAGAGAGCTTTAGCAATGACTACGAGTACGAGATTCGTCATTCTCGCGCGTTGCTCTCTCCTCCGCAGAGGCTGTTAGATACCAGAATTATTAAAAATAATACATGTGCAGGCGTATTACCTGGAAATGTGTAGGCGCGCAGGCTTCGCGCGGGGTATCAAGGGAAGGGGGGAAAAAATGAAGCCTCTGCCAGATTTTGTTTTCAATATGGCGCCAAAATTCCGTGAGGGAGTGGGGCAAACTCAGAATCATCTTCTAATTTAATAGTCAAAATGGAGCCGGAAGGATTAATTTCTGATATTTGCATATCAAATAGACCATTTCAAAACGCCCACCAACATTCCAAAACTATCTGTTTATTGTGCTACGAAGGTCATGGCGTTGAGGCTGGTACTGTGAATTTCTTTCTTGCCGAGAGTGGGATTATACAGCATTTTCGAAGCATGCACCGTAGCATTGCTGTTGACGATGAAATGCAGAGGAAGTGCAAGGAACTTTTCGAACAACTGCATGGGCAAGAGACTGCCAAGGTTGTAGAGCAATTATCTGCCCTTCGTTTACAGCAGCAGAAGGTTAGTTCTATGTATGCTATTACTTATAAAGATAAAATTTACTTCATGAATTCCAATATATTATTGAACACTATTTAAGTTTTAATATAAAGATGTTAACTTTATGAAATTATCATTTAATTTAATAAGTTTTACATGACACTGAAAATTCAATTTATTTTATTTATGTCTAGGATAACAGTGCATCCCATTGTTATTCTATGTTTACTGTAACATATGAGACCAATCAGACAGTGTCAAGCGAAGCATCGATGGATATTGTGGCAAGAAATGAACGAGAAGCGACAAAATTATATGGCTTGGTACTAAAAGATCAAGGGATCCTAAAGCCTCTGGGATGTGTGCCTTGTATAATCACTGTGAAACCATACAAATGCGACAAACGAGGACAGTCGTATAAAGTCTGGGGCAATGATGATAAAATATATGTTGAATGTTTCATACCTGGCAATAAGGTGAGTATGTAAATAATAAATGAATAATAAAGTATGGGCACATTTGGGCCCAAAGGTTTAACAATACCACCTGCCAATGACATTGTAAACTTGCAATATTATCTACTTCGATCATTATGCTGCAGTTTGCAAATTTACTGTCACACCAGGTCAGATGATAAAAGATCCTGGCACCTTAACAGGTTATAATCATGAAGTGGCAAGACTCTCCCTTTGACAAGCAATTGAAATGGGCAGATTAATTTGTTAAAGAGGTTATAACCTACCTGGCATTATAGCAATGTAAAACAACAAACAATGATGCTTCAGTTGATTAATAAGTACACCAGTTAATAATTTTACACCTGTCGATTAATGTAGATATATTTTATGTAGATGAATTTACTCAACAGTGACAGAACTCAACCACTCCAGCAACCACAACCAGTTATGGCAAATTCAGTTGGAAAGTTTAGTCTTTTTAAAACCCCACCGGAAGTTTTGAGATCTGTTTTTGGATATGAAGACTTTCGGCCCAAACAACTTGAATCGATTGAACACATTGTCTCGGGAGAGGATGTTATTGTTGTTATGCCAACTGGAGGTGGGAAAACAGTCATTTATGCAATACCAAGTCTGATTTTGCCAGGTATTATCATTAACACTTTCTTAATATGCTGAATTTCACTAACCATGTTGAAGACTTTGTGTCAGTTGTAAGTAAAATATCTATTGCTGCAGCATGTTAATGTACAATTTATTAACTTGCTCTTTTAATTTTTAACAGGATGTAACTAAAAAGTAAATGCTTTGAAATTAGCATTTTTTCAAACAACAACCCATTGTACCCTATCTGGATTAATTGTTCACAGTGTGGAACACACTATATACTGTTCAGGGTGTACCAATAAAGTTAGGCTGTTTGAAAGAGTTAACTATGGTATTCAATTTCAAATGGTTTCCTTTCTTTGGGACACCCTCACCCTGTACATTTCTAACATATTGTATAAGTTGTATGAGTTAGGTTATAAAGACTACTTCCAGAGAGAGTGTTTAATAGAGAACCAGAACATACAATAAAGTACAAAAACTCAACAAGCTTTGCTAGTAAATGTAAAAAGGTTTAATCTATCTTTACTTGAAATATTCTTTTTTACTACTACTACTTCTAGGTATGGCTGTGGTTATATGTCCTTTAATGATGCTAATGTGTGACCAGGTGGCCAGACTACGACGTCTTGGTATTAATGCTTGTTACTATAATACAATGCTAAGTGACAATGAACGACAAAACATTATTCACAACCTTGTGCAACCAGATTGTCAATATCAGTTTGTGTTTATAAGTCCAGAAGCTGCCACAAGTTCTCAGTTTCAAAGCTGTTTACACAACTTATCTCAAAAGAAAAAAATTAACCTATTTATAATTGATGAAGCACATTGTGTGGACACATGGGGGTGCAACTTTCGCCCAGCTTATCAGCAGTTGGGTATCCTGAAGAATTATGGTGTACCAATTGTTGCTCTCACTGCAACAGCAACAAATAAAACATTAGTGACAATTGCTGAAGTACTACGTATGCCAAAGCACACTGTTGTGAAAATGAGTTGTAGACGAAATAATTTATCATTTTCTGTCATTCCAAAGAAAGAAACTAAAGCAAAGAATCAAGTGTGTGAATTGATCTTGGGGGAATTTAACAATTCATGTGGTATAATTTATTGTGCAAGACAAGCTGATGCTGTTGAAATGGCTTTTGAACTGAAGAGTCATGGTATTTCTGCTACATTTTACCATGCAGGAATGGACAGCAGAGATCGAATGGCAAATGCTACCTTGTGGCTAGAAGATAAAGTGCATGTGATTTGTCGCACTAATGCATTTGGGATGGGTATAGATAAAAAAGGTGTTCGATTTGAATATACTCTTGAAAATACTACTGAATATACTCTTTAAATAGGCCCTTAAATTTAACACCAAAAATTGTCAAACTATTTATCAGCTTACCATCTGGAGTCACAGAATCCTCATGCTGATCAGAGTCGTAGGTATGAAAGAGCTTTTTTCTCAGAGGCTGATTTAACGCTTACCAGTCAAAACGGCCCCAAGTTAAAACGGCCCCAAGTCAAAACGGCCCCAAGTCAAAACGGCCCCAAGTCAAAACGGCCCCAAGTTAAAAATACTTTGTCTTTGAATATATTGACCTGTATAATATATATATATTAATATATAGTCACAGATTACCACAGGTCAGTATTTACCGTTATATTTGTACATGTACATCCGTAAACATAATTTCGCCTGTGGTCAAACCGCTTGGTTTTAACACAGAATACCTATCAGAATTTAAAAGATAGATAACGCCATTTTTAATATTGGCAGGGGGGCCGATTGTGTTTAAGAGTGTGTTTCATGCTGACGAATCACACTGGTGGGTACAGTGAGCTATATGAAAAGATAAGTAAAAGAGTAAACAAATGTAAATTGTAAATTCAAGGGAATCTGTATTCAAAAATCAACATTATATACAATAACATATTTACAGAATATATATATATATATATATATATATATATATATAATTATATATATATATATATATATATATATATATTGATTTGGACAACAAGCGGCTGTATATATATATATATTATTATTATAGAATATTTACAAACTATTACTTCAGGTTTACAAACTATTTACAAACTATTACTTTTAGTTTACGAACTATATATTTACAAACTATAACTACTTACAAAATATTTACAGAATATACACACTTCAAATTAGTCCATGTTCGTGGAAACAAGGTGGGCACACCTTGCCAATAGCCGCTTTGCAGACAAATCGCCCGCAATATACTCCTCCCAATTGGCTAATATTTTACCCTGGACTTGCCTGTACAGCTTGCGTTGTCTTCTCTTCAGTTTCTCATCAGACACCAAACGAACTTGAACCTCAATGAGTTGGGATTGTTCATGCAAGAGTCTCACCAAGAGATAAAAGGAAAGATTTCCGCGCTTCGCATGTCTGTTTAGCATACCATGCCAACCCTCCACATCGTTGTTGGTCCTCACAACTTGGCCGAAAACACTCCACGTTTCCGGCTTCCATAACTGTCCTTTAGTGACAGTGGGGGAAAATGTATATTAGTATCTGAATGGTGATTTTCTTTGTTAAAGTTTGAAAGCCTATTTTGTGCAAGGATCTTATTGTATTCTTAACACCAGAATAGTACTAACGAAATGAAAAATTTGGTTTTTGATGGGTAACAAAAGTGTTAATAATTACCTTCGATCCAATTTGAGCGGATGTATGTAACCAATTCGGTTAATAATGGAGTGATGGCTTTGCTTGCGAGGTTTTCAAACATACTTGGGATATGCTCTTTAGGTAAAAAGGGCAGTGCCAGAAACTGTCTGCATAGCTTATGGGTCGCGTTGTCATTCTTGTAGGCTGGAGCAAGGCCAATTTGCTGGATCTTTCTCCAAATGCATTGTGCCCAATGAAAGGCGCAACCACCGATAGATACATCAGGGAAGACCTGCGGTATAGCCCTCCAAAGTGCGTTCTCGAAATCAAGGACGATCTTCTCGAGTTTGGTGTCAGTCATAATACCCTTGATTCCTCTCAGGATTTTTTTATAGTCCCTTTTTCGTTTGCCTGACATCAAAATGAATGCGAGTGGGATCTGTTTGGTGCATTCGCCACTTCGGACGAACGAGTGGATCGTAAATAACTGGGTGAAGGGGGCTTTGACAACTTTAAATGTACCATCTACATACCACGTTTTGGCTTTTTCAAGCAGAGTCAACATGCTCTTGGTTGCAAACACGAGATGTCTTTTTCCGTCAACTGTCAAATCTGCTTTCAGGAAGTCGCCCGGTATATGTTCTTGGTTAACATCAAAATCAAGGTCTATCGGTTCGGCCGGTCTCTTCTTTTGCCTGTGGCGGTTTGCAGCTCTTGCCAGGTGCTCCGGGTTCCGTAACGCAGGCAATGGCTGTGTTGAGGTCGCCACGCCCTCTTCTAGCATTACCTTTAAATGAATTAAAAGTCGTTATTCGTGTTCACAAAAATCGTCTATTTTCCACCATTTGGTGTGTTTGGTCTGGGTAACTATATAGTTGCAGATCCCTGCAAGTATTTTTTCACTCACAATTATGAAAAATTGTTCTATTTGTTTGATGAAATTGGTACGGGTACTGGTATTGGTATTAGTGTATACATACCTTATTGACAATGCATGTACATATACGTACGTACACGCGTAAGTACACGCACGCAACACGAACGATGGCTAGTGAATGATGACTTACCATCGCTTCTTGCATGACTAGACTCGTCTGCCAAATTCATTATTATATCGACAAGTTCCTGATCTACTTCCATTTCAGCATCGTCTACAACACAATAAAACTTCGATTTTTAAGGAAATCTGAAAACTTAATCTTTTCGGATCATTTCGGATTGTCAATTCTTTTGAGTTCACAAATCATTTTCAAATTTCAAAATTCAAGTATACGGAAACTACTATAATATTAGCACTCTATTTGCACTCTATTGATATCAATTTTACTGATATAGTGCACTCACCAGATACGTTGTCTTGAATTCTGGTACTTTCGGCTTCAGGGATTAGGAATCCAGCACTCATATTTGCGCAGTCCTCACAGCGCCAATCGATTCCACGACCAGACCGGACAGCCGCACGGTAGTCCTTTCGTGAAATATTTGTGCCACATGTTCTATGTTGCCATCTTTCGCAACCGTCACAAAGAATAGCTTCTTGTTTCGAACCGACTATCTTTTTACACCGGATGCAGGAATTTGACATTTTTTCGCGTTTTCACAATTACCAGGACAATAATTTTTTGTGTTCTCGCTAGCAGCACAGACGAAAGAAAGTGTTTGTTTGTCCAACAATGACGAGTTATTTATATGTTTGTTTCAATCCATTGGATGACAAAAAGCAATTAAAAGCAATAAAAGCGAACAACAGGATTAACTAACAAAAGATGCGCTTGACAATAAATTCTATTTTCTATTTGTTTCGAACTCTGAATAATGACCAGATAATGACACTATGACTCATCTCGCAAGAATTTATAGTGCACATGTATAGTAATTATTATATGCTTATATGTTTTTCAATAATTAAACTCATATATAGCTGTGTTGTAATGCCAGAGTAAAGCAGCTTTTATCAAGTTCTAGGGGCTGATTACAAGGTGTCTTTTCGGTGAAAACCAAAGTATTTTTCAATTACATGGCAAGTCATGTAATCGCGTGCGTGATTTTGTTAGGATTTTCAACCGGGCTGAAGTTTCCATCCGATTACATGGACCCCGCTTTGCCGGGCTAGCCCGTTTCCTATATTATCGCAAGCAATTTTGACGTTTCGATTACATGCGAACTTTCAGCCCGCCTTTGTCAGTTCTTAGAGTTTAATCCATGTATAAATGACCTCATACCATCAGACAATAATAGGGTGATAAAAAAGCATATTCACATGTGATATAAATAACTGGGCTAATGACCGACTGGGCTAATTATAGGCTAATGACCGACAAGACAATTTCTGTTTGTGATATATACGTTTTCCTATAACCCTTACTAGTAAGCTTTTGCTACTTATTAACTAATACTAATAACATAAATTCTCATCAACATCATGGATACACGTGTTAGCAAAATGCATAAATAAAGAATTTTTAAACATATTTGTAACATATTTCACAACACATATATATATTTGTTTCGAATAAATAAGTTATTCATTCAACTGATTAAACTTAAGCAACTCGATCAGCGCGGGGCCGTTTTGACCAGCGGTATCGGGGCCGTTTTGACTAGCGGTAGTGGGGCCGTTTTGACTTGGGGCCGTTTTAACTGGACACCGATTTAACAACTTGGAATTTGGTGTCAGTTGTCGTTTATCAGGTCTTATTGACTTCTGCGGTGTACTAGCCTTCGGAATTGGACATTCTGGATCTTCTATAGATGTTCATTTGTTGAATTAAAGGATATATTAATTATTATAAAATAAAGCTAGTACATATAGAATAAAAGTATAGAATAAATATAGAATAAAAGTATAAAAATTTGTCACACTAACCTTCCAAACTTAGGTCGTGTATCAACGATTCTACGCCATCTATATCACTATCATCACTAAGTTCGTCTTGCCTTTCAGCCATCAAAATAATGTTAAAATACCATCACTCCAAGAACCCGCATATCGCTCCAAGAAACCGCACCAAATCTGGCAGAGGCTCATTTCATTTTTTCCCCCCTTCCCTTGATACCCCGCGCGCCTACCTAAAGCCCGCGCGCCTACACATTTCCAGGTAATACGCCTGCACATGTATTATTTTTAATAATTCTGGTATCTAACAGCCTCTGCGGAGGAGAGAGCGCGCGTTGTTTGCTTACGCCATCAGCCGAAACTCGTAGTCGCTGAGCTTTCGAGTACGAAATTTATCAAAAAACTGGTATTCAAAAGCTCAACGACTACGAGTTTTTCTGATGGCGTTGGCAAACAAGGCACGAGAGTGACGAATCTCGTAGTCGTAATCGTAGTCACTGCTAAAGCTCCCTATTGTTTGTAAGAAAGCTGTGGCCGCACGGGAATTATGGGAAGCGAGGTGCCAAATAGCGCGCACAGGTGAGGGACTGTGGAAGAGTCAGTACATAGTATAGGTCAGTAACGCGAACAAATAAAAGAAGAAAGCGTATCTACTTTTTCGCGACGAATTTTTTCGCAAACCAGTCACATCACCGGATTTCAGATATCGCTTTGCGTCGTGCGAATAAATTCGGCTATTGGAAAACGGGCTTAAGAAACACGTTGGTCGTTGTCATGGAGGACATGAGAGATATGATTTTTAGAGCACGCCACGTACTATTGAGCGGCTTACCCTCTTGGGCGATAGTTAACAAATGGCGCAAGCTAAAATCACGACTAACGTGATATTAAGTGTTTCAGTAAGAGGTGTGAAATGTGAATGTGTATTCAGGTAATTGCACTCATGAAGCCCCGGGTTAACGGACCGAAAGCTTTGCAGTATTAAATACTTACGGGGGTACCTACAAGCTAAATTACTTATCGATTATCAGCATGCAAACATTCAAGAATATTAACAGTAGGTTGGTTGTAAAACGCCTCACAAAAATCACAACTCACCAGGTTACCACCCTGTATGGGTTTGCTCTTTCTCATGCACTAAAAGAGACTATCTATCTATAAGAATTCTGATTTATACAAATGAAAAAAGCTTAGTCAGAACTTCAAACATTGATTGTCCTTTTAAATCAATCCGAACTGATTTATTAAATCCATTGGTAAGAGATACAAATACCAATTTGACTAAAAAATGGCGTCTCATCTTTTGTCCTAGTAATGTATTTGGCACATTGATTGTCTCAAAAATTTGCTAATTTTGCTTTTAATATACAGCCTAACAAATATAACAAGAGCATATTTAATGCCTGTTGAAAATCTCCAAACAATTCCACAATCTCACACTCTGGGACTCTATACCTATCATTCTACAATGATTTATTCAGAATTCAACACTTTACAACAAGCTCTATGGTACTGTCTAACCACGATACTATAATTCGCGATCTAATACACAACACTACAACAATGATTTTAACCTAAATTTATAATAACAAAACAGGATGCTTTACTATTCAATCATGCAATTTAGACTACACCATAAGTTGTATGCAATTATTACTCTGACGGATGTAAAAGAGGGCCTATGCAACAATCGTCATTCATATTGTTCAGGGTGTCACGTTTGTACGTGTGTTCACACGTTCACATACGCCAGGGTACGAATCGTATACGACAAATCGCGTAGTGTTAATGCGCCTTTACAAGACTATATAAGATGTTTTTCTGTAGTTTTAGCTCCGCTACAAACCGATTACGTTATTACGGACCTTAAGATACGCCAAATCTACAACGCGGACGTGAAGTAAAACTGCCTTCATTTGATAAAAATTTTGGGCTCTATGTGGTAAACAACGACATGCAGAGCCAACTCATTCCCGGCGTGTGTTTTTGTGGCAATAACGAGAGCTGTATGTAAACTGGGTTCTTAACATGTCACGCATCTGCCGTCGCAGATTTGGTGTTCCTTAAGGTCCCTATTATGTGGGCCGCTGTTTCTGCGGTTGCTACTACGTTATATACCTCAAAATTTATATCAGTTTCCTATGCTATATGATACTATCCCTATGCATGCAATTTCTACTACACTTTTACTATACAGTATCATTTAAGTGAGAGCCTAATTTCTGCAACAATGTCTTTTGCAGCCACAAGAACATACCATTTAGCAAAACAGTTTACAGCCATCACTCTCCAGAGCTGCATCTCTTAAACATTTAGCACCTTCAGCTGTTAAACCATTGTCACTTACATATAGCTCAGTAAGTTTACAGTTGTCACTTTTCAGAGCATCACTTAAATATTTAGCACCTTCAGCTGTTAAACCATTGCTACTTACATATAGCTCAGTAAGTTTACAGTTGTCACTTTTCAGAGCATCGCTTAAATATTTAGCACCTTCAGCTGTTAAACCATTGCTACTTACATCTAGCTCAGTAAGTTTACAGTTGTCATCCTCAAGAGCCTCACTTAAATATTTAGCACCTTTATATGTGAAAACATTATCATGGACATCTAGCTTAGTAAGTTTACAGTTATGACTCTTCAGAGCATTACCTAAATACTCAGCACCTTTATCTGTAAACATATTGTCATGTACATCTAGTTCAGTAAGTTCACAGTTGCGACTCTTCAGAGCATCGCTTAAATATTTAGCACCTTCAGCTGTAAAATAATTACCACTTACATCTAGTTTAGTCAGTTTACTGCTATCACTTTTCAGAGCATCGCTTAAATATTTAGCACCTTCAGCTGTAAAAACATTGTCACTTACATCTAGTTTAGTAAGTTTACAGTTGCGACTCTCCAGGGCATCACTTAAACATTTAGCACTGTCAGCCGCTAAATCATTGCTACTTACATCTAGTTCAGTAAGTTTACAGTTGTCACTCTTCAGAGCCTCACTCAAATATTTAGCACCTTCAAGTGTTAAAGCACTGCCACTTATAACTAATTTGGTAAGTTTACAGCTGTCAGTCTTCAAAGCTTCACTTAAATATTTAACACTGTCAGCTGTTAAATCATTGCTACTTACATCTAGTTTAGTAAGTTTACAGTTGTCACTTTTCAGAGCATCGCTTAAATATTCAGCAGCTTCAGCTGTTAATAAACCATCATTGTAACTTACATTTAGTTCAATAAGTTCACTGTTGCCCCTCGCCAGGCCATGGTTATCTTTCTTCAAAAACTCAGCCAGTTCACGGATAGCAATGTTCGTCATAGTACAACGCTCGATTTCAAGCTTTTTCAAGTTCTTGATGTGGCTTAAAAATTTGAACGAAGCCGTAGTTTCTGCCGGTGCAATATTTAATCCTCTCAAAGCGAATGTTTCATCATCATCAACATCCTCATCATCATCATCATCATCATCATCATCATCATCATCATCATCATCATCATCACATCATCATCATCATCATCATCATCATCATCATCTTCTGACGAAAACGACGAAATCATTTCCATGACGCGATCTTCTTGCATTTCCCAAACACATTTTATGACGAGTAAACTTTTGTTATTGCTGTCGTCAATGTATCGCTCCTTTGGCATCCAGTCTTGAAATCTAGATAAAGATCATTATTTTGAGAGAGAATTTCACAAGTTTAGGACTATAAAATCAAGGAAACTTCGTAATCGGTGCTCTGAAAACGACAGAGACGGGTCCTAGAAATGGGATTTAGTTCCTGGGGGGATGGGATTTGACTCATTTGACCCTTTTAAAAGCGGCGATTTTTACACTCGGACTGGGATTTCTTATGAAGTGGAATTTCTTTTCGCTTTTAGTGTCCGACTAGCGTACGCGATCACATATTCATGTTAAGGCCGACACAGACCGGACGCGAATTGGCAACGCGGCGCGAATTTTCAACGTTTTTAATTTTTCAAAATCAAAAAAATTTTAAACGATCATAATATTCTTGTATATTGCATAACAATAAAACATTTTAACTGCTCTAGCGTCCATAGTTTCCAAATTTTGCTTCCAGAATTTAGTTTATATGCTTCTGAAAACTCAAAATTCGCGTCGCGTTGCCGCATCGCGTGCGGTCTGTGTCGGCCTTTAACCTTGCCGTTGCGACAAAGCAGCACCAAGTCCGCAATCGCTTGCGTCCTTATATACAACGAAGGGAGCAGAGAAGTCCGGCAGCGACTATATTGCATAGGTGGTATTGCATGGCGTGGTACACAGACGGTCCTTAAGCTCATTGAACGACCTGTCGGCTGATGGCGTTCAGTTAAACTCTGCTTGGAGAGTAGCGATATCCGCGAAATTCTTTATAAACCTTCGATAGTAGGACGCCATGCCGATCAGCCCATTAATGCACGAACTTCGGTAAAGGAAGACGGGGTTGCAAAGTCTCGCACCGCTTCAACCTTCGATGGGTCAGGCTCGGTCTCTCGTGCTGATACGATGTCACCAAGGAATTCAATTGATTCTTGAGCGAACTGGCACTCCTCCCGTTTGACTTTCAACCCTGCCGCGCGAATACGATTAAATACGTCATTCAAAATTAGCTGGTGCTCTTCCCACGTCTCGGAAAAAAATATTATGTCATCAATGAAGACGAGGCACCCCTTCCTTCCCCTTCAAAACATTTCCCATCATGCGCTGAAACGTGGGGGACGCGTTGGTTAAACCCTCTGAACATCCACACTCAAAAAATAAATTTTTAATAGAAAATTAATCATACTATCATAAAATGACACAACTGTAGTAAAACAGTGCAGAAATGGCTGAATATTAGTGAAAGGCAGAATATTAGTTTTACCTTTTGCATATACATTCTATTATTTCACTGTCTGTAAGTCTTGTTGACCTGATAAGGAATTAAATCTGATAACTGATTTGATACAACTGAAGTAAAATTATAATAGAATAATTTCGTAAATAAGTTAGTACAACGCAGTTGCTTTGGCCTGGGTGCCTGTTAAATTAGTTAATTATTACTAACTGTCTTTCCAGGGAGACATTCATGGGAGTTGTGGCTTCCACCCTTTGAAAAATTTATTGGTAATATATACTTACTTTGAAATGAATTAATTTAATAAGAGGAATTAAGTAAATCCACTCAGTCTTTCAAGTATGCTTGTTTAACCTGAAACTCAGTGTTGTTGTCAAGCAAGCTGAAACTCTAGCCTTACAGCTCCCCTACCCCCCCCCATCCCTCTTTAGGGTCTGGCTATGTCACATCATATTTCTGGTGACCTCTTATTAAAGATGATCATGGCCCTGGACCAATGAAATTGCTTGGATAAATTGGACTATACACATGCGATGCATACATCAATAAGAAGAAATTGCATAAAATTAAAAAATTAAAAACTTGCTGCGAGCTTTAAAAAATGTCGAACCCTGTATCCTTTTAAAGTCATTCCTTTGAAAATTCAAGAAAAAATTCCAAAAGAGAAAGTAAAAGTTTCTATCTTAGTCACTAGGAAAAGGTATGTCCCAAATATTGCTAGGTTAAGGTTAGGTTAAGTTATATGATATTATTTATGAACTGGCTACAACTAGTTATTGCACTTGAAACTAAAATGCAAAATTATTACCTTGATCCTCTAAGTAACCAGTAAATCGGCCGATGATACCACTTGGGATTATTAATTTCTTCACTGTATTCATTTTCTGTTGAACTGATGATATAAAAACAGTCATTCATTACAGATATGAAAAAAGAAAAATGATTATTCTACGCAGAATCATATAAATAAGAATTACCAAAAAATTTTGAAACATTAGCACAATCTGAATTTTCATGTTCATACTAGTTAGCTACCTTTGTACTATGAATTACAATAGCTTTCTTGTCCATTGTTAAAAATCAGTGCACTGAGTTTAATGGTGCAGAGAGTCTTGCTCCAGCACAGCAAAATTATTTTTGTCACAGGTTTCACTTTAACACTCTTGAGTTTTATGATATGGATGATATGAAAGTTTCATAGCTTATTACTTACAGGTTTCATGTTATAAGTTCTACCTTAAATTAATAGTTTGTTTATAACTACATGGTTGTTCCTAAAGGACTGTCCATCCTTAACAAATATTGTTTTGAGTATATGCACAGATAATCTTGAAGAAAGCTGAATTAGCACTGGTATATAACAGATTTGTGTGTTTGCAATTACAGTCTGATTAGCATTGATGATGGTCTGGGCTTATGGACTGAATGCTCTCCAAAACTAAATTCCCTTGGTGTTTCCAAAAACAAAAAGGTTTTAAAAAAATATGTTTGTCACCAATTAGCACAGCTTGCATACATATAGATATCAAAATAAGGCATAATATAATAGAACTTATATGGCTACTAAAGTATTTTGTGCATTTAATTTGAGGAAAATAAGGCATACCTTAACTCTCTCATCCTATCTCCAAGTAACCCAGCTACAAATTGGATCACCAAATGCCACCTGGGTTTATCAATGTGCTCTTCTAGAAATCCTTTAACATTTTCAAGATCATCAACCACATGTAGTGCAGCCAGAAACTCTTGAATTGTAAGATGAAGGAAAGAAAAAATATCCTGACGACCAGTACTGTTCTCCAACTTATTGAAAACACCAGAATCTGATAATCCAGCCATGGATTTATCACTGGATCTATCAAAAATTAACTGATCATTTTCCATTCCATTCATTGCAATTCCCTTCAATTTGCTCAAGTCCTCTTGAAGCTGCTTTGGAAGTTCGGCAGTCAAATAATTTTTGTCTATTGGCTTATTCTTGTTTTTTGAATTGTGTTTTAACAGCAAAATCCTTACAGCTCTCTTGTACAGTTCAGTCATTGTTTTGGGAATTCTCCTGGAATCATTCCCCTCATGTTCACCAAAATCAATGCTTTCATTTAATGTCAAGCACATAATTTGGCAATTAACAGGTATGTAACAGAAGCTTATAAGTTCAGGGGAATCCTTGATTATGTTCCACATTTCTGAACTTTTCTGTGTGTCATCACAACAGAATTTTCTAACAAACTCTTCTATTTGTATCTCACTAAAACCCAATATCTCCACTTGTCTATCAAAATTAAGATCTTGGTAGGCACATTCTGCTGTGGGTCGAGATGTGGTTAACACAGTAACTCCAGGCAATAGTTGATTATTCTTCACCAGCTGTTTGAAAATCAGATATATATGAGCAGGTTCATTTAGGCTGTTTACAGTTTTTCCACTAGTTAAATGCTCATCATCTACTTGAAGTTCATCCAAGCCATCAAAAACAAGGATGGTATTACTTGGTTTCTTGCGAATATATTTATATGGTCTCCTGGCCTTGGGCAAATCTACTGCCTTATTGAGACCATGAGCCTGATCTAACATTTCTTGAAGACTTGTTTCTCCCTTGTTAAAATTACGAAATTCAATCAATAGTACAACCTTTTCCTGCCAGAATTCCGGTATTTCGCGTTGTTGTAGACCTTGTTGCCACTCCTGAGATATTTTCTTAGTCAGTATGGTTTTCCCAATACCAGGTCTGCCAACCACAAGAACCGTTCTAGGATGGTCTTCACCAGCTTCTGCTGCTTGAAATAATTCTGTTGTACTGTTGAGGGGTTTGGAATTAGGGGGCTTTTCCAATTGAATATCGTAAATCTCATGTCTACCTTTCATTAATTCTCTTTCAGAATATTTGACACGCTCCCTTCCATCTTGAATTATAACATTGATAAACATTTCATCCAGTTTTCGTTCGTTCCCTCCTAACCCGTCATTCATAGTATATACACCTTGGAATATATTTTCTCGAATCATACAGTTTATATCCTGTTCGTCTGGATTAGTACGTTTTTTAAAAGGTACACGGTAATGAACTCCTTATCAGTACGGAAAGTGGGTGTCTTCCATGCAGACCACAACAGATAAACAATCTCAACGAGTGTCACTGCATCGACGAGAAAATTTATCGTGATGAAGCCGACAACAACTTGTTGCTTCCCCCACCAATTGAATAAGTACAGTCCACAAATGAAGAATTCGTAGTTGATATTGTAACGTTCTCATGGAAGGTACTAGTTGTTGCTTTCACATTTGGCAAAGGACATTTAAAATGGGTCGGAAAATTCGACGAGGTTAAGAGAAATGCTGAGAATATGTCAGTGGTATTATACGACATACGATTAAATGGATTATGTAAGCCATAAATACAAAATAACGACTACTACCTGGATAGGCCACTGGTTCGTCTGGCGATACATCAGAGTGATCAGACAGTGGATGACTTTCTTCTACGCCGCCCACGCTCGTCATTGCGTTTGGGTTATTTGAGAAAATGTCGACTCTACGTTTCACCAGGTAACCGTAGACCACAGAGAGTATAACCACAAGTCCAAAACTTATCACAATCAGGATATTGAGAGGTAATGAGGGTAGAAATTCTTGTCCATATTTAAGAAGACATTGTGTTTCAACGTACTTCCGCTTCGATAGAGTGCTTGTAAAAGACTTGTTTGGATCACATTCTAGACTTGATCTCGACTCGTAATCACTCGCGATTCCAACCAGAACAACGCCAATTGCTACAAACAAAGCAAGAACGACCGAACTATACGTGTTATAACATTTACTTGGAACCAATTTTAAACAGCTATCCATGTCTGTAAAGGGTATTTGATTCCTTGTCAGAAGATGTGACTGATTTAATCACCTGACCACCACCCTGCTGTTATTTGCACCATTTTGCACCAACACCCTCCAGGACTCATATGATTGGTTAATAAAGAAATGACCACCCACGAAATTTATGTATTTGTGATCTCGAGATAAAAACTGGACAAAGGTCTGCATCTCATTCATAGATATATCTCAATAGATATCTCTTATGAAGGCGAGTGATTTTGAGAGTTTTTCTAACTCAAGCAACATTTCCAAGTGTTTGGATCAGGCCATCCAAACACGAGCAACCATTAACTAATTGTTTTATAAAATAACAACAACACAACGTTGTCTTCCAGATTCGATTGTGGTCTGTAGATTTCCGTGTTTGGATGGCCTGATCCAATCATCGAAACACGGGCTTCGAGCCTTCGACCAATCAGAACACCCGTTATATACATGTTATTTAATAAGGTGGTTTTCCACTAGACAGAATTTTTCTGTCAGGTTCGTGTCAATGGTTCATGTGCTTATATAAGAAAAAGAGAATTTCTCCCCGCGCGCAATTAGTTTCCGCCTTGTGGAAAACAGCCTTTAATGGCAAACTGCAGCCAAGTTTCAAGACTGTCTTTGTCGCATAGACTTTTGTCTCCAAACTGTCATGTGCGTATTCTGGGCAAGTAGCAAACATCTGGCTTGTTTAATTCCGTCACCTATACACAGGTTATGCCGCTATGAGTCTATGACTAAACTGAATGGTTCACCACGAAGATGGTAGCTTGGTGCCTTATGGAATTTATGCTGATTTCCTATCACCGGGAAAAATAATGGCACCACACCAGATTGGTTTCCATCACTAAAACTGCAAATGCAAATGTTTGTGTTGGACAATTAACTACAATAGATATTAGGTTGAGATATGGGTTGAGGCATTCAAATAAAGCGACTTGCTTTCAATTGGGTTTATCATAATATTAAGGCAATAGGGTAAGGTAAGGTGATTATGGCAATAAGGTAATATTATTTAACAAAGGCTTGATTTCAATAAAGGGGACTTTTTTGGGACACCCTGTATAACGTTGCATTCAGTTATAATATAGATGTCACTGAAAAAAGGCGAGCGCGCGGGGGTACTTGGAATTTTTTTTCAAAAGAAGGGGGGGGGTAAAAGTGCTTCCTTTGTACCACCAGTGTTACCTGAACCGTGGTTTTATCCCACGATCTTGGGATTTTTTGAGGCTGTTGGGATTTTCTTGGGATTTTTATTTTTTGAATTAGACCTTAGGATTTTCTTGGGATATTTTAGAATGCAGAGAAGATAATATATTTCAAAATACTTATTAGATTGGTCAACAGCAAGATCAACGGGATCCCATCGTATCATTAAATATACAAGATAAATATTCTTCTCGATTTTCGACTTAAGCCCCTCTTAACAAGTAGGTTGATTTAGAGTCAATTGATCTAAAATCTACCTATTGCGACATTGCATTGATTTATTTTAACCACAGTTAACTGTACCGGGCTTCGGTTAGCGAATGGCTGAACACTTCGCCCGATCAGGGGACCTGAAAACTAATGAAACAGATCTTGGGATTTTTTGGGGGAAAATAGGGAATCTTGGGATTTTTTGGGAGCTATGTTAGGATTTTTGGGGAAACTGACTTGGCAACACTGTGTACAACAGATGCTGAGATGTTTTATTATCTATTGATCTTAATGCGCTCAGCATATTGAGAAAAGCGACTTTTATACTGGCCGCCCGGCTATTGTTGGTCAGCTTTAAAAATGGATGTAAAAATTGTTACAACAACGGCAATGTCCTCGTTCAGGGGTTGTTTTATTAGGAGGTGATCCAGACCTGGTACCGAGCTAGCTTTCTTTCCTGAGCGAAATTAATCTCGTGTTTATTTAGGAGTGTCGACGAGGTGGATCGTTAAGACAATACGACAAAGCATCAATATTGAAACTGAAAATTTTGGAAGGTAATGTGTCGAATGATTGTCTGTTTAATGCTATAGCAATACGATACGATCAGAAAAGAAGACCCCAAAAGAATTTTATCATTTTGCACTAATGGCTGCATGTAATGCGTTCAGTGTTGATATCCCTTGTCCTCAGTACTGGCGCTAAGTGTTGGCATTACAAGGCAACCGACAATGGCGACACGGCTTCATCTACGCCGACTAAATATTTGTTCTTCATCCATCCAAACTATTACACGGCCGTTATAGAGGAGGTGAATGAAGAAGACAAGAGAGATAAGAGACGGTCGTTTATCTCTGATTCTGACTATCGCAAACAGCTTCAAAATCAAGCCCGTACCTCTTGGGAAGATGTTGCAGAACGCAAATAGCAGAAGGCAATGAAAGATTTGAATCCTGAAATCCTGTCTTATGGAAAGGCTACTGTTCCACCAACCAAAGCGCCGACCAATATTTTGGCTGATTTATTCAATGAAACTGGGAAAAAGATTTCCAGCGGTTATTTAGAGCTTGATGAGATGGAAAGATCATTGTCTGTGAGAAAGCTGTGGCCGCGCAAGAATTATGGGAAGGAAGGTGCCAATAGCGTGCACACAGGTGAGGGACTGTGGAAGAGTATAGGTCATCCTCGTCCCCAGGGCCTAGCTGTAACGCGAACAAATAAAGGAAAAAAGCGTATCTAAAGCGTACCACCCTGTATGGGTTTGCTCTTTCTCATGCACTAAAAGAGACAGTTGAGATGTTTTACTAGCTATAAGAATACACATTTATAAAAATGAATAAGAGCTTAATAATAATAATAATAATATACAATATTTATACAGGTTTACTTGATCAGCTAACCAGAGTATAGCTGCTATCATTCAAGGACCTGTTAAACTAAGTATTAAAAAACTATAATAAAATTATAAAATATTAATATATTGTCTAAATAGAGTTTATAAAGTAGATGTTAGAAAAGTCCTTATCAATTATAGACGTGGTTGTTTAATATCCTACGAATCCATAAAAAACGATTTACATTTCTGCCTAAAATTTAAAATAGATATCTCATTCCTTAGTTCTTCCGGTAAGTCATTAAAAACTAGAGCACCTTGAAATGAAAACATTTTTCGTCCAGATTCAGTTTTTACTTTTGGTAATCGCAATTTTGAATTGTTCCCTCTTGTTTCCTTTTGATGGGAAATTTTTTCAAAGGTGCCGTTAAAGACCTCAGGTGCGAGACCATTTAAACTTTTAAAGACTTCTTGTACACAATGTTGTTTCATCACATTTCTTATAGAGCACCAGCGGTTTACGGTTTCATTTTTCCTGTGAACGATTTTAAAAGCGCGATCTTGAATTTGTTGAATCCGGGAATTTGCGTGTTAGATATACTAAGAAACAGATTGCTGCAATAACAAATGGTTGGTTCTATCATCACTTTATAAATCATCTCAGCAACATATGGGCTACATATTAGTCAGAACTACAAACAGTGACTGTCCTTTTAAATCAATCCAAACTGATTTATTAAATCCATTGGTAAGAGATACAAATTCCAATTTGACTAAAAAAATGGCATCTCATCTTTTGTCCCAGTAATGTATTTGGCACATTGATTGTCTCAATAATTTGCTAATTTTCCTTCTAATATACAGGGTGTCTCAAAAAAAACGCAACCACTTAATATTCTAAGATTCATATTGTTCATAATCTAAAGAGATTTTATGCCCCTGGGATTTTAAAATGGCTTCTAATCGTACAGTTCAACTGCTAATAGTCAAATCAGCTAAACTAAAAATGGTGCAGCCAGCTAACAACCGAACAACGAGTTTTCATTGTCGTGCATGATAACTTGAATGCTAACGTCGACCTTGTAAAATAAATTGTAAATAAAATTTTACTCGTTAAATACTTTCAATTCAGCTCCTTGGTTTACGCACCCGACTTTGTTTACCGACGATTGTGCCGCTAGAATATGATTGCAAGCTTTCTCGCATTCCAGGGGCCAAACGTCTTTTGTGTTGTAGAACAAAGAGGATATTCATGAATATTAAGTGTTTGCGTTTTTTTATACACCCTGTACAGCCTAACAAGTAACAAGAGCATATTCAATGCCTGTTGAAAATCTCCAAACAATTCCACAATCTCACACTCTGGGACTCTATACCTATCATTTTACAATGATTTATTCAGAATTCAACACTTTACAACAAACTGTATGGTACTGTCTAACCACGATACTATAATTCACGCTCTAATACACAACACTACAACAATGATTTTAACCTAAATTTATAATAACAAAACAGGATGCTTTACTATTCAATCATGCAATTTAGACTACACGATAAGTTGTATGAAATTATCACTCTGACGGATGTAAAAGAGGGCCTATGCCGGAATTTCACGTTTGTACGTGTGAACATACGTTCACATACGCCAGGGTACGAATCGTATACAACAAATCGCGTAGTGTTAATGGGCCTCTACAGGACTATATAAGATGTTTTTCTGTAGTTGTACGCTCCGCTACAAACCGATTACGTTATTACGGACCTTAAGATACGCCAAATCTACAACGCGGACGTGAAGTAAAACTGCCTTTATTTCATAAAAATTTTGGGCTCCATGTGGTAAACAATGACATGCAAAGCCAACTCATCCCCGGCGCGTGTTTTTGTGGCAATGAACGAGAGCTGTATTTAAACTGGGCTCCTAGCATGTCACGCATCTGCGTCGCAGATTTGGTGTCTTAATGTCCCTATTATGTGGGCCGCTGTTTCTACGGTAGCTGCTACGTTATACCTCAAAATTTATCTCAGTTTCCTATGCTATATGATACTATCCCTATGCATGCAATTTCTACTACACTTTTACTATACAGTATCATTTCAGTGAGAGTGTTAGGCTAATTTCTGCAACAATGTTTTTTGCAGCATAAAAACACACGGCCATTTAGCAAAGCAGTTTACAGCCATCACTCTCCAGAGCTGCATCTCTTAAATATTTAGCACCTTCGGCTGTTAAACCATTGCTCCTTACATTCAGTTCAGTAAGTTTACAGTTGTCACTCTTCAGAGCATCACTTAAATATTTAGCACCTTCAGCTGTAAAACCATTGCTCCCTACATTCAGTTTAGTAAGTTTACAGTTGACACTGTTCAGAGCATCACTTAAATATTTAGCACCTTTAGCTGTTAAACCATTGTGACTTACATTTAGCTTAGTAAGTTTACATTTGTCATTCTCAAGAGCATCACTTAAATATTTAGCACCTTTATCTGTGAAAACATTATCATGGACATCTAGCTTAGTAAGTTTACAGTTGTCACTCTTCAGAGCAACACTTAAATATTCAGCACCTTTATCTGTAAACACATTATCATGTACATCTAGTTTAGTAAGTTTACAGTTGTCACTTTTCATAGCATCACTTAAATATTCAGCACCTTCAGCTGTTAAATAATTACGACTTACATCTAGTTTAGTCAGTTTACTGCTGTCACTTTTCAGAGCATCACTTAAATACTTAGCACCTTCAGCTGTAAAAACATTGTCACTTACATTTAGTTTAGTCAGTTTACAGTTATCACTTTTCAGAGCATCACTTAAATATTTAGCACTGTCAGCCGCTAAATCATTGCTACTTACATCTAGTTTAGTAAGTTTACAGTTGTCACTCTTCAGAGCATCACTTAAATATTTAGCACCATCAGGTGTTAAAGCATTGCAAGATACATTTAATTTGGTAAGTTTACAACTGTCAGTCTTCAAAGCTTCACTTAAATATTTAGCACTGTCAGCCGATAAATCATTGTCGCTTACATCCAGTTCAGTAAGTTTACAGTTGTCACTTTTCAGAGCATCGCTTAAAAATTCAGCAGCTTCAGCTGTTAAACCATCATTGTAACTTACACTTAGTTCAGTAAGTTCGCTGTTGCCCCTCGCCAGGCCATGGTTATCTTTCTTCAAAAACTCAGCCAGTTCACGGATAGCAATGTTCGTCATAGTACAACACTCGATTTTAAGCTGTTTCAAGTTCTTGATGTGGCTTAAAAATTTAAACAAAGCCGTAGCTTCTGCTGGTGCAATATTTAAATCTTTCAAAGCGAATGTTTCATCATCATCATCATCATCATCATCATCATCATCATCATCATCATCATCATCATCATCATCATCATCATCATCATCATCATCATCATCATCATCATCATCATCATCATCATCATCATCATCATCATCATCATCATCATCATCATCATCATCATCATCATCATCATCATCATCATCATCATCATTATCATCTTCAGACGAAAACGACGAAATCATTTCCATGACGCGATCTTCTTGCATTTCCCAAACACATTTTATGACGAGTAAACTTTTGTTATTGCTGTCGTCAATGTATCGCTCCTTTGACATCCAGTCTTGAAATCTAGATAAAGATCATTATTTTGAGAGAAAATTTCACAAGTTTAGGACTATAAAATCAAGGAAACTTCGTAATCGGTGCTCTGAAAACGACAGAGACGGGTCCTAGAAATGGGATTTAGTTCCTGGGGGGATGGGATTTGACTCATTTGACCCTTTTAAAAGCGGCGATTTTTACACTCGGGCTGGGATTTCTTATGAAGTGGGATTTCTTTCCGTTTTCAGTGTCCGACTAGCGTACGCGATCACATATTTCATGTTCACCCTGTCGTTGCGACAAGACAGCACCAAGTCCGTAATCGCTTGCGTCCTTATATACAACGAAGGAAGCAGAGAAGTCCGGCAGCGACAGTATTGGTTTACACAGACGGTCCTCAAAGTGCTTATATCACTTGTGGGATCTTTATGCATTTGAAAAAAACGTAAAAAGTTAGTTAATATATTAAAAAACTTTTTTGATTTAGAGCAATAATTTCGAAGATACAAGCCTCTAAACTACCTGCGGTTCCTGAGTCCCAACCTCCTGGGTTTAAACACGGCTATTCAATTTGTAACTGCCCATTGTTTACAGGAGCCTGGGACTCAGGAACCGGATGTAGTTTAGAGGCTTGTATCTTCGAAATTATTGTACTAAATCAAAAAAAGTTTTTTAATATATTAACTAACTTTTTACGTTCTTTTCAAATGCATGAAGATCCCACGAGTGGTATAGGCACTTTAAGCTTATTGAACGACCTGTCCGCTGATTGCGTCCAGTTGAACTCTGCTTGGTAACCCGGCTTTAGTCATGTCGTGCAGAGGCTTAGCGATATCCGCGAAATTCTTTATAAACCTTCGATAGTAGGACGCCATGCCGATCAGCCCATTAATGCACGAACTTCGGTAAAGGAAGACGGGGTTGCAAAGTCTCGCACCGCTTCAACCTTCGATGGGTCAGGCTCGGTCTCTCGTGCTGATACGATGTCACCAAGGAATTCAATTGATTCTTGAGCGAACTGGCACTCCTCCCGTTTGACTTTCAACCCTGCCGCGCGAATACGATTAAATACGTCATTTAAAAATTAGCTCTTCTCATGTCTGGGAAAAAAATATTATGTCATCAATGAAGACGAGGCACCCCTTCATGCCCTTCAAGACATTTCCCATCATGCGCTGAAACGTGGGGGACGCGTTGGTTAAACTGAAAGGCATCACTATGAACCTGTAGTGGTCTACCCCCACCGAAAATGCAGTCTTCTCCCTTTCCTCCTGTCTTAAGGGTACCTGCCAATACCCGGAGGCAAGATCTAGGGTACTCGATTGACGTGCCCCCCCCAATTGGTCCAGGATGTCATCGATACGGGGCATTGGTTGCGCATCCTTCTTGGTTACCGCATCAACACGCCGAAGTCAACACAAAATCGATAATCACCGTCTTTCTTTGCTGCTAATACGATCGGTAAGGCGCAAGGACTGTTGCTAGGTTGAATCAGCCCACTTCCTAACTGTTTGTTCACGACTTTATTCAGATGAACGGGAATCCGGTGAGGCGTCTCAAAAGAAAATCGCAAAGGCTTTCCCGGACAACACAGTTGGCAGCCTTTTCAACATATCCGTATCTTTCCAATCGTTTGCCTTCGCACAAAGCCCGAATTTTCGTAGCCATATCGCCGTTTGAAAAGATCTCGGGAAGTGCTATACTTGTTGAATGTGCGCGTCGCTGTTGCCATCCTGGTCACGTCGGCATCAAATGTAATATACGGTACTAAAACAACCACGGTATTAACAACAGACTTTCTTTTTTTAAAAAATCTCGTACTGCAGTACTACTCCCCACCTAACTCCTTGCCAATCATACATCTGTCACTTAACACCTACTAATCATACATTAACACCTACTAATTATACCCCCTGATTACATTGGAAAAAAATTACTTGCAAGAAATTTTTCGACCCCTCTGAACATGCACACAAAAAAAAGAATTTTGAATAGAAAATTATTCAAAAGGTTTAAAGAGTCTTAATTTCGAGTGGAATTATACACACTTCAAATTCAAGCCAGGAACAGTTGATGAAAAATGAGTCAACTATCGGTCCTCCGGCAGGAATCGAACCTACGCTTTTGCGATGCCGGTATAATAATGCTCTTGCCACTGAGCTACAGAAGAAGCTGACAAGAGCAAGCGTGGTTAATGTCTATAAGATGGTGATGCCGGGAATAGGTGAGGGTAAATCAGTTATGATTTTTGGCACTTCACTCCATGCAGGTACAGTATATTCTAGAGGTTTAAGGGTCTTAATTTCCAGTGGAATTATACACACTTCAAATTCCAATCGAAGTGCCAAAAATCATAACTGATTTACCCTCACCTACTCCAGGCATTACCATCTTATACACATTAACCACCCTTGCTCTTGTCAGCTTCCTCTGTAGCTCAGTAGCAAGAGCATTGCACCGGCATCGCAAAAGCGTAGGTCCGATTCCTGCCGGAGGACCTATAGTTGACTCAATTTTCATTAACTGTTCCTGGCTTGAATTTGAGTATAATAATTCCGCTTGAAATTAAGACCCTTTAAACCTTTAGAATATACCTGCATCGAGTGAAGTGCCAAATATCATAATTGATTTACCATCAGAAAATTAATCATATTATCTGTCATTTTTATAATAATAAAATGCAACTACAGCTGTAAAATAGTGCAGAAATGGCTGAATATTAGTGAAATGCAGAATATTAGTTTTACCTTTCGCATATAATTTCTATTATTTCAGTGTCTGTAAGTCTTTTTGACCTGATAAAAAAATTTAAAAAATTAAAAGTTAGTACAACGCAGTTGCTTTGGCCTGGCTGCCTATTAAATTAGTTAATTATTATTAAGTGTCTTTCCATGGAGGGAGTCATGGGAGTTGTGGCTTCCCCCCTTTCCAAAAATTTATTGCTAATATATACTTATTTGAAATTAATTAATTTTATCAAGAGAAATTAAGTAAATCCACTAAGTCTTTCAAGTATGCTTGTTTTACCTGAAACTCAGTGTTGTTGTCAAGCAAGCTGAAACTCTAGCCTTACGGCTCCCCCTGACCCCCCCCCCAAACTCTTTAAGGTCTGGCTATGTCACTGCATCTTTCTAGATGTCCTCTTATTATAGATGATCATGGCTGTCAGCCAATTAAATTGCTTGGATAATTAAATTGGACTATACACATGCGATGCATACATCAATAAGAAAAAATTGCATAAAAAAAAAATTAAAAACTTGCTGCGAGCTTTAAAAAACATTGAACCCTGTATCCTTTCAAAGTCATTCCTTTGCAAAATGCAAGAAAAAATTCCAAAAGAGAAAGTAAAAGTTTCTATCTTAGTCACACAAATAGATCTGTGATCATCTGTTTGGTTAGGTTAAGTAACATGATATTATTTATGAACTGGCTACAACTACTTATTGCACTTGAAAGTAAAATGCAACATTATTACCTTGATCCTCCAAATAACCAGTGAATTGGCTGATACCACTTGGGATTATTAATTTGTTCACTGTCTTCATTTTCTGTTGAACTGATGATATAAAAACAGTCATTCATTAAAGATATGAAAAAAGAAAAATTATTATTCCACACAGTATCATACAAGTAAGAATTACCAAAAATTTTGAAACATTAGCACAATCTGAATTTTCATGTTCATACTAGCTACCTTTGTACTATGAATTACAATAGCTTTCTTGTCCATTGTTAAAAATCAGTGCACTGAGTTTAATGGTGCAGAAAGTCTTGCTCCAGCACAGTAAAATTATTTTTGTCACAGGTTTCACTCTTACACTCTTGAGTTTTATGATATGGATGATATGAAAGTTTCATAGCTTATTACGTACAGGTTTCATGTTATAAGTTCTACCTTAAATTAATAGTTTGTTTATAACTACATGGTTGTTCCTAAAGGACTGTGCATCCTAAACAAATATTATTTTGAGTATATGCACAGAAAATCTTGAAGAAAGCTGAATTAGTACTAGTCCCCGAGCTGGTGCGAGGGTACTAATTCCGCTCGGATATTTACACCCACGATTTGCAAATGCGAAATCAAAGTTGTCCGCCATTATGCAATGGACCTCACGCCATGGATGGTCTTCTACGTAATGCGCATGCGCCAGTGTGAACCACTAAGCTCTTGATTGGTCGAGACAAAAATTTGTATTTTCAGACGTCAATAAATAACTGTCATTTCGCAAAATTTTAATAAAGTTTATAAATTTTATGTTTTCATAAAATAAAGAATATATGTATTTTTAATTAAATTAGAGGGAAACTCGAATGTGGTCAGGACTTTTCACGGTTGAACAAATAACAAGACCAAATTTTTGACCGAATTCACCGTGTATAATAAAGTCGGAAGATTTTACACTTGATAATATTTAAATATAATAAAATCCACAGCTTTAAAAAGTAATTTTTTTGTGGTAAACACAACTTTAATATTCTCAAATGTATTTCAATATAAATCTGAATGTAATATGTGGTAAACGACATTATAATTTCATTTATAAACTCCGTTTTCATAATGACAAAAAGAAAAGAAAATCAAAACATTCCCGTGCAAAAACCAATCGAGGTGTAACATAAAACGTCGGAAGTTGTATGAGACGTCTGATGTTATATTTCATGGTAATTAATAATTAAAATAATTTACCATAACACTGACTATAGATGAGTAACTTAACTTCCAGAAAAAGGTAAGAATCTTGTCGTATTTTTGCCATTTTTTCACAAAAATATGAGGGTAAACTTTGATTCTTTAAAAATATACGGCCGTTGCGAGTTGCTATGACTACAGTGCTTCCACGTGCAGAAAAATATTTCCACACTTTTCTCAATTTCTTTTTCTCACATACATAAATTTTTAACAATCATGTTACCATCCCTATGCTTAACTAATTTTGTTAATCCGAGGCGAGGGGTTTCTGCATGCATGTATTTCTAGTTATATAACAGATTTGTGTGTTTGCAATTACAGTCTGATTAGCATTGATGATGGTCTGGGCTTATGGACGAAAGCTCTGCAAAACTAAATTCCCTTGGTGTTTCCAAAACAAAAAGGTTTTAAAAAATTATATTTGTCACCAATTAGCACAGCTTGTATGCATATAGATATCAAAATAAGGCATAATATAAATAGAGATTACTTCATGGTTGGCGAGTGCGTACGATTTTTATGAACGAGTTGTGAAGGATCGCAATACGAACGAGTGAGCGCAGCGAACGAGTGAGTTTGCGATCCTTCGCAACGAGTGCATAATAAAAATCGTACAAACGAGCCAACCATGAAGTAATTTGTTTATTAAATGTGTATAGAGATCAATTTGATAACGACACGCTTTTAATATACAAAAACACAGCGAGCAACAAAATCGAAACTTTATGCATGAAAACATATTTATTACCGTTCAGTTTCTTCGTAATTTTGTTTAATAGAAGTTAGACATTCTTTCCGAAAGATTTGAGAATGTGCTGAATGTAAAAATATCTTGAATATGAGAATTATGTTTTGAATCTCACTCCTAAATTTCGACGCCATCTTGAAAGAAAATGTAAACACATTGCCGCCAAAATGACATTCGACAATTTTTCACGTGTGAAGAATATCGTACGTCCAATCAAAAGCCGTGCATGGCATTTTTCCACACGTGAAAAACATCGTACGTCCAATCAAATTGCATGAAATTAATTTACACAGTGAAATACGATTTTTATTTCATCATTCTGCTGTGCATAAATCTCTATACACATATAATAATAGAACTTATATGGTTACTGAAATAATTTTGTGCATATAATTTGAGAAAAAATAAGGCATACCTTAACTCTCTCATCCTATCTCCAAGTAACCCAGCTACAAATTGGATCACCAAATGCCACCTGGGTTTAGCAATGTGCTCTTCTAGAAATCCTTTAACATTTTCAAGATCATCAACAACATGTAGTGCAGCCAGAAACTCTTGAATTGTAAGATGAAGAAAAGAAAAAATAACCTGACTACCGGCACTGCTTTTCAACTTATTGAAAACACCAGAATCTGATAAGCCAGCCAAGGATTTATCACTGGATCTATCAAAAATTAACTGATCATTTTCCATTCCATTCATTGCAATTCTCTTCAATTTGTTCAAGTCCTCTTGAAGCTGCTTTGGAAGTTCAGCAGTCAAATAATTTTCGTCTATTGGCTTATTCTTGTTTTTTGAATTGTGTTTTAACAGCAAAATCTTTATAGCTCTCTTGTACAGTTCAGTTATTGTTTTGGGAATTCTCGTGGAATCATTCCCCTCATGTTCACCAAAATCAATGCTTTCATTTAATGTCAAGCACACTATTTGGCAATTAACAGGTATGTAACAGAAGCTTATAAGTTCAGGGGAATCCTTGATTATGTTCCACATTTCTGAATTTTTCTGTGTGTCATTACAACAGAATTTGGTAACAAACTCTTCTATTTGTTTCTCACTAAAACCCAATATCTCCACTTGTCGATCAAAATTAAGATTTTGGTAGGCGCGTTCTGCTGTGGGTCGAGATGTGGTTAACACAGTTACTCCAGGCAATAGTTCATTATTCTTCACCAGCTGTTTGAAAATCAGATATATATGAGCAGGTTCATTTAGGCTGTTTACAGTTTTTCCACTAGTTAAATGCTCATCATCTACTTGAAGTTCATCCAAGCCATCAAAAACAAGGATGGTATTACTTGGTTTCTTGCAAATATATTTATATGGTCTCCTGGCCTTGGGCAAATCTACTGCCTTATTGAGACCATGAGCCTGATCTAACATTTCCTGAAGACTTGTTTCTCCCTTGTTAAAATTACGAAATTCAATCAATAGTACAACCTTTTCCTGCCAGAATTCCGGTATTTCGCGTTGTTGTAGACCTTGTTGCCACTCCTGAGATATTTTCTTAGTCAGTATGGTTTTCCCAATACCAGGTCTGCCAACCACAAGAACCGTTCTAGGATGGCCTTTACCAGCTTCTGCTGCTTGAAATAATTCTGTTGTACTGTTCAGGGGTTTGGAATTAGGGGGCTTTTCCAATTGAATATCGTAAATCTCATGTCTACCTTTCATTAATTCTCTTTCAGAATATTTGACACGCTCCCTTCCATCTTGAATTATAACATTGATAAACATTTCATCCAGTTTTCGTTCGTTCCCTCCTAACCCGTCATTCATAGTATATACACCTTGGAATATATTTTCTCGAATCATACAGTTTATATCCTGTTCGTCTGGGTTAGTACGTTTTCTTAAAAGGTACACGGTAATGAACTCCTTATCAGTACGGAAAGTGGGTGTCTTCCATGCAGACCACAACAGATAAACAATCTCAACGAGTGTCACTGCATCGACGAGAAAATTTATCGTGATGAAGCCGACAACAACTTGTTGCTTCCCCCCACCAATTGAATAAGTACAGTCCACAAATGAAGAATTCGTAGTTGATAATGTAACGTTCTCATGGAAAGTACTAGTTGTTGCTTTCACATTTGGCAAAGGACATTTAAAATGGGTCGGAAAATTCGACGAGGTTAAGAGAAATGCTGAGAATATTGTCAGTGGTATTATACGACATACGATTAAATGGATTATGTAAGCCATAAATACAAAATAACGACCACTACCTGGATAGGCCACTGGTTCGTCTGGCGATACTTCAGAGTGATCAGACAGTGGATGACTTTCTTCTACGCCGCCCACGCTCGTCATTGCGTTTCGGTTATTTGAGAAAATGTCGACTCTATGTTTCACCAGGTAACCGTAGACCACAGAGAGTATAACTACAAGTCCAAAACTTATCACAATCAGAACATTGAGAGATAACGAAGGTAGAAATTCTTGTCCATATTTAAGAAGACACTGTGTTTCAACGTACTTCCGCTTCGATAGAGTGCTTGTAAAAGACTTGTTTGGGTCACATTCTAGACTTGATCTTGACTCGTAATCACTGGTGATTCCAACCAGAACAACGCCAATTGCTACAAATAAAGCAAGAACGACTGAACTATACGTGTTATAACATTTACTTGGAACCAATTTTAAACAGCTATCCATGTCTGTAAAGGGTACTTGACACCTGATCACCTGACCACCACCCTGCTGTTATTTGCACCATTTTGCACCAACACCCTCCAGGACTCATATGATTGGTTATTAATAAATAAAGAAATGACCACCCACGAAATTTATGTATTTCTGATCTTGAGATAAAACTGGACAAAGGTCTGCATCTCACTCATAGACGATAGATATATCTCAATAGATATCTCACTTATGAAGGCGAGTGATTTTGAGAGTTTTTCTAACTCAAGCAACATTCCCAAGTGTTTGGATCAGGCCATCCAAACACGAGCAACCATTAACTAATTGTTTTATAAAATAACAACAACAAGGTTGTCTTTATACAGATTCGATTGTGGTCTGTGGATTTCCGTGTTTGGATGGCGTGATCCAATCATCCAAACACGGGCTTCGAGCCTTCGACCAATCAGAACACCCGTTGTATACATGTTATTTTATAAGGTGGTTTTCCACTAGACAGAATTTTTCTGTCAGTTCGTGTCAATGGTTCGTGTGCTTATATAAGAACAAGACGCCTGGGCAGGCGTACACTCCGGCTACGGCACAGGTGGCGTACCGTATACATGCGTCCGTCAAAATAACGAGACCGGGCAGGGGTTTGTGATGCCTGAGAGCAATATTGTTCTTTCTTGAGGGCAAAATTTAGCTGTTGCTACCAATATTATTTTAATAGATGAGCTATAAAACGGGGACAACAATGATACGTGACATCTGTAGAGTTTTAATAGCTTAGAGTTCGAATGTAAAATTTCCACACATTGTTAAAGCTTCTCCAGTTCGTTTATCTTCCACAAAATATCAAGTTAATAAACAGGCACAGCCTGTATACAGTATATTAAAATCGAAGTTATTGTATATGATGCATACAACCTGCGAAGCTATAATATTCACCAATGATCTAACGACTGATTGTGCCAAAATCCTACGAGTAAAACCCGACGCACTACGAGTGCTAATGCCAAGGAAAACAGTCGCAGTATTTGATGGAAAAACCAAAATTTAAATCCTTTCAATGTTTATAATCCACGGCCATTTTGACGTGAGCCCGTGAACCGTTCGAAGAAAAAAGCGGTTAACTCCATGAACGTAGGTCGCATTTGTGACATCCAAAACTTCCGGCCGCTGGTGTTTTAAGACTCCGGCGTACCTACGGTAGCCGGAGTAAAAAGAGAATTTCTTCCCGCGCGCAATTAGTTTCCGCCTTGTGGAAAACAGCCTTTAATGGCAAACTGCAGCCAAGTTTCAAGACTATTTTTGTCGCATAGACTTTTGTCTCCAAACTGTCATGTGCGTATTCTGGGGAAGTAGTAAACATCTGGCTTGTTTCATTCCGTCACTTATACACAGGTTATGCCGCTATGAGTCTATGACTAAACTGAATGGTTCACCACGAAGATAGTAGCTTGGTGCATTATGGAATTTATGCTGATTTTTTATCACCGGCAAAAATAATGGCACCACACCAGATTGGTTACCATCACTAAGACTGCGAATGCAAATGTTTGTGTTGGACAATAGACTACAATAGTTATTAGGTTGAGGCATTCAAATAAAGCGACTTGCTTTGAATTGGGTTTATCATAATATTAAGGCAATAAGGTAGGTAAGGTGATTATGGCAATAAGATAATATTAAGAAAGGCTTGATTTCAATAGAGGGGACTTTTTTGGGACACCCTGTAGAACGTTGCAATCAGTTATAGTATAGAGGTCAGCTGAAAAAAGGCGAGCGCGTAGGGGTACTTGAGATGTTTTTTCAGAAAAAAAGGGGGATGGGGGGTGGTGGTGGTAAAGGTGCTTCCTTTGTACAACCAGTGTTGCAAACCTTGGAGTTTTATCCCAAGATCTTGGGATTTTTATTTTTTGAATAAGACCTTGGGATTTTTCTTGGGATATTTTAGAATGCGGAGAAGATAATTTCAAAAAGCTTATTAGATTGGTCAACAACAAGATCAACCGGATCCCATCGTTTCATGAATGAAATATACAAGAAAGGTTCTTCTCGATTTTCGACTTAAGCCCCTCCTTACAAGTAGGTTGATCTGAATCAATTGTTACTTCTTCACTTTAAAATCTGCCTATTGCGACATTGCATTGATTTATTTTAACCACAGTTAACTGTGCCGGGCTTCGGTTGGCGCATTGCTGTACACTTCGCCCGATAAGGGGACCTGAAAACTAATGAAAAAGATCTTGGGATTATTTTGGGGGGAAATAGGGAATCTTGGGATTTTTTGGGAGCTATATTAGTCATAATAGGATTTTGGGGGAAACTGACTTGGCAACACTGTGTACAACAGATGCTGAGATGTTTTATTATCCTGGGGCCGGTTGTATCAAGCCCGTTTAGCTTAAACGGTGGATAAGTCAAAATTAAATAACACGCTTACATCTCTCTTGAGTGAGTCAACTTGAATATTATGTACTGAATATGTAGTTGTAACCAGTATCTTTGTATCAGGGTTAAAAACATTTAGTTTGCTTGTCGAATAAAACGATAGACTTGCTTTCTATTTTGAACTTAACCACCGTTTAAGCTAAACGGGCTTGATACAACCGGCCCCTGATGTTAATGCGCTCAGCATATTGAGAAAAGCGACTTTTATACTAACTGTATACGGCTGTTGTTGGTCAATTTTAAAAATGGATGTAAAATTTGTTACAACAACAGCAATGTCCTCGTTCAGGGGTTGTTTTATTAGGAGGTGATCCAGACCTGGTACCCGAGCTAGCTTGCTTTCCTGAGCGAAATTAATCTCGTGTTTATTTAGGAGTGTCTTTAGACGAGGTGGATCGTTAAGACAATAAGACAAAGCATCAATATTGAAACTGAAAATTTTCGAAGGTAATGTGTGGTAATGTCTGTTTAATGCTATAGCAAAGGTAAATGGCATTGAAACGGAAAACGTTTTCGATGCAATCGTCCACGAATTGACAACGAAGATGCACGTTTACAAGGACCTTGTTGACCTCGATCTGAATTGTCCCGGCTTTGAGGAGTGTGTTGGATTGATACGATCAGAAAAGAAGCTCCCAAAAGAATTTTATCATCAGTATGCATTAATGGCTGCATGTAATGCGTTCAGTGTTGATATCTTTGTCCTCAGTACTGGCGCTAAGTGTTGGCATTACAAGGCAACCGACAATGGCGACACGGCTTCATCTACGCCGACTAAATATTTGTTCTTCATCCATCCAAACTATTACACGGCCGTTATAGAGGAGGTGAATGAAGAAGACAAGAGAGATAAGAGACGGTCGTTTATCTCTGATTCTGACTATCGCAAACAGCTTCAAAATCAAGCCCGTACCTCTTGGGAAGATGTTGCAGAACGCAAATAGCAGAAGGCAATGAAAGATTTGAATCCTGAAATCCTGTCTTATGGAAAGGCTACCGTTCCGCCAAGCAAAGCGCCGACCAATATTTTGGCTGATTTATTCAATGAAACTGGGAAAAAGATTTCCAGACAGATTTTGAACAAAATTTACATTCCTGGTTCAACCAACCAGCAGCACTAAATCCAAAAATGACACAAATTGTGTTCCTGATTCTTAGAATTTTGTTTGGATGTGTGACCAGCTGATCGTTTACAACAACGAAGTTTTTAACTTGTTCCTCAGGCACTTTCCATCTTTCAAGAGGCCTGGGACTAGTTCGTATCAAGTAATTTTACAGAAACCTTGGGTAAATAAAAATAACGCGATCTGTTAAAATCTTGTATGCCATATGTTCACAGTCTTGACACCGAATCGAACGAAACGTTCACAAGATGGAAAATCAATAATTGTGTATTTTTTTGCGACTTTTACTCTCTGTTTTTTGTACTAAATAAATTTGTCACACAAAATAGCTTTGAGCGGTTATTTAGAGCTTGATGAGATGGACTGACTGGAAAGATCATTGTCTGTGAGAAAGCTGTGGCCGCGCGGGAATTATGGGAAGCGAGGTGCCAATTAGCGCGCGCACAGATAAGGGACTGTGGAAGAGTATAGGTCAGTAACGCGAACAAATAAAAGAAGAAAGCGTATCTTCTTTTTCGCGGCGAATTTATTCGCAAACCAATCACCGGATTTCTGATATCGCTTTGCGTCGTGCGAATAAATTCGCCTAGTGGAAAACGGGCTTAAGAAACACGTTGGTCGTTGTCATGGAGGACATGAGAGATATGATTTTAGATCAGACCGATAAGCAGATGACTTCTTACTCGTAATTACTCCGAGCTCATGTTCACGCATGCGCTGGATTGAATCCAAGGTGTTCCCTCAGCAGAAGCAATTTTTAGTTTTGTCGTCAATCGCGCACCTTCTAGCTCTGATTGGAATCTGTCTTCAGCACAAGAGACAAGAGTAGGTTGGTTGTAAAACACCTCATCAAAATCACAACTGACCAGGTTACCAGCCTGTATGGGTTTGCTCTTTCTCATGCACTAAAAGAGACAGTTGAGATGTTTTACTATCTATCTATTGCCCGCCAACCAGATATGCAAGCTCCAACGAGTACAGAACTCCGCAGCAAGACTGATCTGTGATATTAATCGGTTTGATCACATCACCCCTGTGCTGTATAAATTACATTGGCTTCCTGATAGATACAGAATTAACTTTAAAATATTACTCATCACTTATAAGGCCATAAATGGATTTGCTCCTGAATACATCTCTGAACTCATTAAATTGAAGGCTGCATGCAACCAGATATAATTTACGATCATCAACTGAATTGTTGCTTGATATACCGAGAACAAAAACATTAAAGACGCTGGGAGACCGATCGTTTGAAGTAGCAGCACCTACGTTGTGGAACAGCCTCCCGCCTGAAATTCGTAATGCATGTAATATTTCTACGTTTAAGAAAATGCTTAAAACGCATTTTTTTTATAAAAGCATTTTCCTCCATGTCATGACCAGAACAACTTTTATCTAGTTCTGATATAGATTTATTGTATGACGTTTTGTAAATTAGTGTATATTTAAATTTTACCAGCAAATTTTTACGATACTATGTAATGCGCGAGTGAGCATCTATCTATGTAACACGCGCAATAGAAATTTTTTAAATTAAATTAAATTAAATTATAAGAATACTGATTTATACAAATGAATAAAAGCTTAGTCAGGAATTACAAACATTGACTGTCCTTTTATATCAATCCAAACTGATTTATTAAATCCATTGGTGAGAAATACAAATTCCAATTTGACTAAAAAAATGGCATGTCATCCTTTGTCCTCGTAGTGTATTAGGCACATTGATTTTCTCAATAATTTGCTAATTTTGCTTCTAATATACAGCCTAACAAGTGACAAATAACAAGAGCACATTTAATGCCTTATTTAAGTCCACAATCTCACACTCTGGGACTCTATACCTATCATTCTACATTTATTCAGAATTTAACACTTTACAACAAGCTCTATGGTACTGTCCAACCACGATACTAAAATTCACGCGCTAATACACAACACTACAACAATGATTGTAACCTAAATTTATAATAACAAAACAGGATGCTTTACTATTCAATGATGCAATTTAGACTACACGATAAGTTGTATGCAATTATCACTCTGACGGATGTAAAAGAGGGCCTATGCAACAATCTTCATTCACATTGTTCAGGGGGAAATTTAAAGTGTCACGCTTGTACGTGTGTTCACACGTTCACATACGCCAGGGTACGAATCGTATACGACAAATCGCGTAGTGTTAATGGGCCTTTACAGGACTATATAAGATGTTTTTCTGTAGTTTTAGCTCCGCTACAAACCGATTACGTTATTACGGACCTTAAGATACGCCAAATCTACAACGCGGACGTGAAGTAAAACTGTCTTCATTTCATAAAAATTATGGGCTCCGTTTGGTAAAAAATGACATGCAGAGCCAACTCATTCCCGGCGCGTGTTTTTGTCGTAATAATGAGAGCTGTATGTAAACTGGGTTCTTAACATGCCACGCTTCTGCGTCGCAGATTTGGTGTTTCTTAAGGTCCCTATTACGTGGGACGCTGGTTCTGCGGTTGCTGCTACGTTATACCTCAAAATTTATCTCAGTTCCCTATGCTATATGATACCATCCCTATATGCATGCAATTTCTACTACACTTTTACTATACAGTATCATTTCAGTGAGAGTGTTAGGCTAATTTCTGCAACAATGTCTTTTGCAGCCATAAGAACATGGATACCATTTAGCAAAACAGTTCACAGCCATCACTCTCCAGAGCTGCATCTCTTAAACATTTAGCATTTTCAGATGTTAAACCATATTGGCCGTTGCAATTACTTTAATATGTTTACCGTTGTCACTGTTCAGAGCAACACTTAAATATTTAGCACCCTTAACTGTTAAACCATTGTCACTTACATCCAGTTCAGTAAGTTTACAGTTGTCACTCTTCAGAGCATCACTTAAATATTTCGCACCTTCAGTTTTTAAATCATTCTGACTTACATTTAGTTTAGTAAGTTTACAGTTGTCACTCTTCAAAGCATCACTTAAATATTTAGCACCTTCGGTTTTTAAATCATTCTGGCTTACATCTAGGTTAGTAAGTTTACAGTTGTCACTCTTCAAAGCATCATTTAAATATTTAGCACTTTCAGTTGTTAAACCATTGCCACTTACATCTAGTTTAGTAAGTTTACAGTTGTCACTCTTCAAAGCATCATTTAAATATTTAGCACCTTCAGTTTTTAAACCATTGTGACTTACATTTAGTTCAGTAAGTTTACAGTTGTCACTCTTCAAAGCATCACTTAAATATTTAGCAGCTTCAGTTTTTAAACCATTGCTGCTTACATCTAGTACAGTAAGTTTACAATTGTCACTCTTCAAAGCATCACTTAAATATTTAGCACCGTCAGTTTTTAAATCATTGAAATTTACATTTAGTTTAGTAAGTTTACAGTTGTCACTCTTCAAAGCATCACCTAAATATTTAGCACCTTCAGTTTAATCATTGCCTCTTACATCTAGTTCAGTAAGTTTACAGTTGTCACTCTTCAAAGCATCACCTAAATATTTAGCACCTTCAGTTAAACCAATATTGTCACTTACATCTAGTTCAGTAAGTTCACAGTTGTCACTCTTCAGGCCATGGTTATCTTTCTTCAAAAACTCAGCCAATTCACGGATAGAAATTTTCGTCACAGTACAAAGATGGATTTGAAGTTGTTTCAAGTTCTTGATGTGGCTTAAAAATTTGAACAAAGCCGTAGATTCTGCTGGTGCAATATTTAATGTTTCCAAAACAAACGTTTCATGATCATCCTCAGACGCAAACGACGAAATCTTTTTCATGACGCGATCTTCTTGCATTTCCCAAACACTTTTTACCACGAGTAAACTTTTGTCATTACTGTCGTCAATACATCGTTTCTTTGGCATCCAGTCTTGAAATCTAGATTAAGATATTTTAAGAGGAAAGTTTAGAACTGTTAAGGATACTGTTTCGAGAAAACGTCGTAGTGATGGCCGCCATTTTATCAAAGAGAAAATTATTAAATTCACAGAGCGAAAACGACAACAAAACAGACAGGTGATTTTGTTTTTTGTAAAAACAAAACTACAAAAATATAAATTTCTCGAAAGAAAATACAAATTCTGGGACCGCTTGCTTTCCTTAAAATGGCGTTAAAATGGTTTTTCCGTTTCGTCTGCCAAAAATTGAAGGTTTTTGACTAATTCGTTAAACTGTTAAAGAAATTGTTGAAAACAATAAAACATTTATTCCTCATATTTTTGAATTACGGCAACGAAACGTCACTGAAATGTCCCTTCTTTCTTTTTACTAATCCTGAATAGTTTTTCAAGTTTTTTTTTGTTTATTTTTAACTTAAAAATAAACAAAAAAACCCTTGAATTTTAACTCAGTTTTCTCCTCAGCATAAAAAAAATATTAAAATGAATAATCTGAAACATTCGATTTAATTCAGTGTTGCGCCTTTTGATTTTGTAGGCTTCTAATTCTTCAGGTGTGACTTCCTGGTAGTCTCGCTAATCGTTTCAGAGAGTTATATGTGAAAAAGTCAAAAAAAAATAATGCATGATTGAATTAATCAAAGTGATGGTAAAACGAAAATCACAATGTGTATTGCTTTGTTATTGAAGCAATATGGCAGCTTTTACGCTATTTACCTCTCATAAAAAAACACAAAATTAAAAATAAAATGAGCCGCAGCAGAGTATCATGTGATCACTGCATGTGAATCACTGATAACTGATTTTAAAACCAATCATTACCAATCATTATCGCTTTGAACCACTTAAATTGGCACGTGCTTGTACAACTCTATCTCTCCGAAGAATCACCGACTCATTAGTTGGTGACTAGTAACTATAGCTTTTTGTTGTTTTTTAAATAAAAAAATTCAAGTGATTATAATTTTTTATGAAATTATGTTGATTTTTATTTGTAAACACCTCGAAATTTATACTAAAAGAATTATTTGCCTCAGTGACTACAAGCCTATATTCTATACTTTGCCTTCGGCTTAGTGAATATAGGCTTGTAATCAACTCGCATAGAGTTCAATGGTACAGCATGCAAATCATGATTTCATTTTCAAGTCATCATTTCATTTAATGATCTTTAAACAACTATATATAGGAGTCTGATAGTTGTGTATTAAAGTTGGATTACAGTCGCTTCTGTGCATGTGCTAAATGTGCTCACATTTGTTTTAATTCTTGCAATTTGAAAACATTGCGCAATCACAATTTAGGCAAGATGGCCGACGCACGGGAGTGAAAAATTTGATTCAACGCTTACATATATTCTCATCAAAAGAAGAAATACAGCCAATGAATAGTTTTCATATCTATATGTCTCATGTGTCTGAAGTATATTTTCGCAAATATTACTTCCAGCAAATATTTCAAAATCAACCGTAGATTTTAAAAAGTGCAACATTTCTGGCTTTCTCGATATTATAATTTGGCGCGCATTTTGACTCCAGTTCAAAACTATGTGTTATTCGAAAGACCCAGTAACTTCATTAAAAACAGGGTGTTATTGGTGCCTTTACAAGTATCTCCAGCGCACAAAAACTTTCCAGTATCAATGCTTCGCAGGCCAGTCTGGGTGTTCTGAACTGTTCAGTGACTGTTCCAATAGGGCCATTCCATTTAATACCACACCCCCCGTTGACGAGATTTTCCGAGGGGGTGAAAATTTTAAAATTTCTGAGGGTAGAGTAAATATTCTACCTCCTCCGCAGGCCCTTTTCGGGCAAATATGGCGGGCGGTGATATTTTGCGGGTAGGAGGTAGGTAAATACACTGGGTAAATATTGACGAAAATTCGGAGGGCTTAAACGAAATATAAATTTTCCGAGGGGTTATTAAAAATATTTAAATTCCAAAGGGTTTTGCTGTGAAATTTCAAAATTCCGAGGGAGCTTTAACCATTCGACGTGAATATCTGAGGGGGATACAAAGGAACATTACCCGTTGACGATAATTTCCGAGCGGGGAAAAAATTGAATAAAAATTCAAAATTCTTGATATTTCCAAGGGTGTGAAAATTTTTATCGTTATCGATGATTATAAGCTTTCTGTCTATTAATTTTTAGCTTGTTGTCGGTTGTTGTCGGTTGTTGACGGTTGTTGCCGGTTATTAGTACTTAGTAGGACCCGATAAAATCGACAAACTTACCATATGGTCACTGTCGCTCTCTTGAAGTTTCAATTGATCATACAGGTATCGAAATTCTCTTCAATACACGTGCTTGGAGTAAGACTACCCAAAATTTTGCAGGGGTAGAAATTTCACTTTTAAAAGCCAGAGGTTGCAACATAAGCGCCGTTTTATCGGTTTGTTTTGAATGTTTCATTAACGATACACGCACAAAAAATGTCTAATCGCTCCAGGATATATTTTTCAGTGGTAGTTTTTCAACAGATTTAATTTAAACAATAAATATAAACAAAGCTCGCACATGCATAGTATACAAATATTGAATGCTTATGAGTGCAAAGGTTAAAATATTTTCACAAGGTGAAAGATAGCCGAGTTGAATGGAACATTCCATCTTTCACCAAGTGAAAATATTTTTACCATTGCACGAATGAAAACATTCATTATTTGTTTTATATAATACCAAAATAGACTGTCTCGTTTCAAAAATATAATTCATTAAAAAACATACTGTATGGACTATGGATCAACAACCATATGTGCGAGAAGCATTTTGATGGATGGTATTTATTGAAAGCATTAAGAGTGCAATGGAACAAAATGTATAGTACAATTGCACTCTGGAGAGTGCAATGGAACGCTTTCCATTGCACTCTTGGGAAATGGGACTTTCTATTCAATATCATGTGATCATCATCAACCAATTAAACGCTCTAAATTTAATGGGGTATTATATAAAAGCGACTGCAATCTAGCTTATACATTCCTATAAATTATAACAATTTTTACCTTGTGCATATACGTTCAATCACTTTACTGTCTTCATGCTTTGCTGACCTGATAAAAAAATTGCATGTGGTAACTGATTTAGTATACTAATTACTAAATAGTATGGCATTTATTATCCTGTACAACAGCTTATGAGGCATACTTTAACTCTCCTATTCAATTTTCCAAAACCCAGCAATCAATTTGCTTATTGTCTTTAGTTAGCATTGGTTATGACTTACAAGGTTATTCACACATAGGTCACCAATCCACTCAAGATTACGTACATTATTGAATAGGTATGATAATATTTCCTCGCACACACAAAAATATATGTATATATATATATATATAACAATTATAAATACAATTCTTTTAATTAGTTGCTACTTTAAGTTTCATGCACTTAAGCAATCATCAGGCAACGTACTAATGAAAACACCTGCGTTGCCTGATGATTGCTTAAGTGCATGAAACTTAAAGTAGCAACTAATTAAAAGAATTGTATTTATAATTGTTATAACACGCTCTGCATTCTATGTATTGAGCACTCTGTGTTCTACAAAAGTCTATTTGGAATAGATACATATATATATATATATATATATATATATATATATATATATATAATTATATATATATATATTCAAGAGTTTTTGGCCGCCACTCGGTGTCATATCCTACTAAAAATCCTTCCCTTTCCCGAGTACCATCTTCAAATAATATATATATATATATTAATATATATATATATATACATATATATATATATATATATATACAGTCGTTATCAATAAGGTTGTCAGCTGAAAATATATATAAATACCTAAATATCGATCACGTGATTGTACTGCATACGTTAATTTTGTGGGAAATCGTTGGAAATCTATCGTGAAAAATTCTTAAATGTCATAGTAAGGTAAATTATATTAATAATAATAAAGAAACAAGAGGTGAGTGAGCAAAATAAGCCATGATTAATGGTCACGTGATTGATATTTATATATTTGTATATATATTGACATGGACAACCTTAATGATAACGACTGTATATATATATATATATAAATATATATATATAATATATATATATATTAATATATATATATATAAATTAAGTTATGTTATATGATGAGTTGCGGCTAAACAATATAACTGGCTACACAGCCAGCACTAATTACATTATCTAATTTGAATAAAAAATGAGGCGTACCTGAACTCTCTCATCTTATCTCCAAGTAACCCAGCTACAAACTGGATCACCAAATGCCACCTGGGTTTATTAATGTGATCTTCTAAAAATCTTTCAACATTTTTAATATCATCAACCACATGTAGTGCAGCCAAAAACTCTTGAATTGTAAGATGAAGAAAAGAGAAGATATTTCGCCTTTTGTCTTTTAATTGATTGAACACACCAGAATCAGATAAGCCAGCCATAGACTTATCACTGCTCTCAAATTCAAAAACTAACTTATTTTTTTTCATTCCATTCCTTGCAATTCTCTTTAATTTGTCCAGGTCCCCTTGAAACTGCTCTGGAAGTTTTGCAGTCAAGTAATCTTTGTCTACTGGTTTATTCCTGTATTTTGAATTGTGTTTGAACAGCAAAATCTTTATAGCTCTTTTGTACAGTTCAGTTATTGTTTTGGGAATATTACTATAGTTTCCATCGACCATTTGTTCACCAAAATAAATGCTCTCATATAATGTCAAGCACACTATATAGGAGTTGACTGGTATGTAACAGAAGCTTAATAGTTCTGGGGAACTCTTAATTACTTGCCATATCTCTGAACTTTTCATGTCATCATCACAAAACTTTTCAACATACTTTTCTATTTGTTCCTCATTAAAACCTAATATCTCCACTTCCCGATCAAACTTTTGGTGTCGATAAATATATTCTGCTGTAGGTCGAGATGTGATTAACACAGTGGCTCCAGGCAATAATTTGCCTTTCACCAGCTGTTTAAGGATAAGCAACATATGACAATCTTTGTCAGGGCTGTTTATAATCATTTCATCAGTTAAACACTCTTGATCAACTTTAAGTTCATCCAAGCCATCAAAAACAAGAATGACATTTTTTGGGTATTTGCAAACAAATTGAAAGACAGTCATGCCACAATGAACTAATGACATATCAAGACCATGAGCCTCGCTTAACATTTCTCGAAGGCTTGTTTCTCCTTTGTTAAAATCACGAAAGTTAATCAATAGTACAAATTTTCCATTCCAGAATCCAGATCTTTCTTCGTTTTGCTGACATTCGTGAAATATTTTTCTTGTCAGTAGAGTTTTTCCAATTCCAGGTCTGCCCACTACAAGAACAGTTCTAGGTTCTTTCTTACCTTTTTCTGTTTGAAATAATTCTGCTGGACTCTTGAGGATTCTTGAATTAGGAGGTTTTTCCAATTGAACATCATAAATCTGATGTCTACTTTCAAATTCTCTACTGGGTTTGTAGGCACATTCCCTTCCATCTTGAATTATAACATTAATATAGATTTCCTCCAGTTTTCGACGTGACAAGTCTTCTCTTCCAAAGTCGTCATGTACGTCAAATAAATTTTCGGATTGGCTTTCTCGAATCATTTTCATTAACTCTCGGTTTATCTCTAGAGTTAATTTTAAACGTTTTTGTAAAAGGTACACGCTAATAAACTCCTGATCAGTATGGAAAGTAGGTCTCTTCCATGCGGACCACAACAGATAAACAATCTCTAAGAGTGTCACTGCATCGACGAGAAAATTTATCGTGATAAAGCCGACAACAACTTGTCGTTTCTTTCCACCCATTGAATAAGTACAGTCCACAAATGAAGAATTCCTAGCTGGTCGTGTGACGTTCTCATGGAAAGTACTAGCTGTCGTTTTCATATTGGGCAAAGGACATTCAAAATGGGTCGGAAAATTGGACGAGGTTAAGAGAAATGCTGAGAATATTGTCAGTGGTATTATACGACAAACGAATAAATGGATTATGTAAGCCACGAAAACAAAATAACGATTGCTACCTTGATAGGCCACGGGTGCGGCTGGCGATGCTTCAAGCAATGGTTGGCTTTCTTCTACGCCCTCGTTCGTCGTTGTGTTTGGGTTATTTGCGAAGATGTCCACTCTATGTTTTACCAGGTAACCGTACACCACACTACATACAACCACAAGTCCAAAACTTAACCCAATCTGGACATTGAGAGATAGGGAAGGGAGGAATTCTTGGGCATATAGAAGACGACACTGTGTTTCAATGTACTTCCCCTTGAATAAAGAGCTCGTGAGGTCACATTCTAGACTTGATTTCGACTCGTAATCACTCGCGATTCCAATTAGAACCATGCCAATTGCTACAAACAAAGCAACAACTACCGAACTGTACGTATTGTAACAGTTACGAGGAACCAGTTTTAAGCAACTATCCATGCGTGTAAAGGAGTACTTTAATGATTCTTTGCCAGGAAATTAGATTTGATCACACAATCAGTGCCACCCAGATAGATCTGGAACGAGAACTCAATACTTTCGGTACAGTATAAGACCAATTGCGAAACTTAGTGACCGCGCCTTCGTGCAACATGGAAACGAGGCTTATTATGCAAAAAACAATATTTGTATTTTTTGCAGTACAAAGTTATTCGCCGAGTTATATGCCGTTTTTCGCCTTTGTTTTACATATTTTTCGATACCTTTCAGCTTGGTTTCATCGTTGTTATCATAGTTTTCAGGTTAGGAAGTTTTGCCTTTCAATTGAGGCGTTTTTGTGGTGTTTTCATTAATCTTTTCGGCTGCTTTCGTCGGGGAGGTATGGAAAAGGCCGACACAAACTCAGGTAAAAATTTAGTTTTTCCAAACTATTTCGTCTCAAGTTTTGAAAATGTATTTCATTTTTCTCCCTCTTATTTGTGCAAAATTTGGCGATATATATTTGCTGCAAAATCTATGTTTTTTATGTCAAAAATTATTGAAAAGTCACGATCGAACAAACCACCATCTTCACATTTCTCATCTAAAATTTTTTTATACCAATTTTATCAATCGATAGGATGTAATTTGACAGTAATTTTACAGCTCAGCAAAAAATAGTAGAAATCTGTTGACAAAAACTATAAAAGATAAAATAAGCAACGGAGTTTTATGTTTATTTTCTTTGTCTATATAAATTACAGTACATGTGATGTGATGCCGACTGAAAAGCAAAACAACTCTTCAACTTGGCACACATGCATGACATGGATAGTAAAATACTTATAACCAAGACATAATATCATTGTCTATTTTGAATTGCAATTTGAATATTCCTTTTCCGGCAATAACATACTATAAAGGTAGCCACAATGCGAGCTGCAGCGTTTTTTAAGATACACCTTTACATGATGGCAAAGCCGAAAACGAAAAATATTTAAACCGGAGTTCGCAAGTGTTTTTCCGTTTACGATGGTGAACGGAATCGTTTCCTTTTCAAGTATTCCTGGTTCACCCTTATTAAACATCTATTGCATGGTAGTAGATAGAAAGAATAGTGTTTTGTACTAACAAAAATGCAGAATTCAGATGCAAACTCAGATGCATTCGAATTCGACTTTTATAAAATTCGACCTTCAGGCCGGCATGCAAGCTATGCATCGTCTGTACTTTATTAAAACGAAAATAAACAAAAACATTTCAGTCAGTTACTTTTGACCATTTTAACAGTATTACTGTGGTATAAAGGAAAAAAAATACAGTGATATTTGTGAATAAATTTGAATAAATGAAGCTATTTCAGTCATAAGGTTTGAAAATTATATAATCTGACTGTCACTTTTCTATAATTTTTGACATATAAAAACATAGATTTTGCACCAAATATATATCGCCAAATTTTGCACAAATAAGAGGGAGAAAAATGAAATACATTTTCAAAACTTGAGACGAAATAGTTTGGAAAAACTAAATTTTTACCTGAGTTTGTGTCGGCCTTTTCCATACTTCCCCGACGAAAGCAGCCGAAAAGATTAATGAAAACACCACAAAAACGCCTCAATTGAAAGGCAAAACTTCCTAACCTGAAAACTATGATAACAACGATGAAACCAAGCTGAAAGGTATCGAGAAATATGTAAAACAAAGGCGAAAAACGGCATATAACTCGGCGAATAGCTTTGTACTGCAAAAAATACAAATATTGTTTTTTGCATAATAAGCCTCGTTTCCATGTTGCACGAAGGCGCGGTCACTAAGTTTCGCAATTGGTCTATATAAGCCAAAAATTTCAACAGACGGCGCACGCGCGGATTATCTTTCGTTCCGATCCGCTGCTCGTTTTCCGGAGTGGAAATTAGCCTTAAGGTGGCTCGATACAATTTTTCGAAATTTTTAGATGCACATTTTAAACAGGTATATTAAGCACCTACATATTTCACTATAAGGCTAAAAGTTAATATACTTTGCAGGAAACATATATAGAGCGGAAATATTCTCAGAACCTTTGCCTGGCACCCGTTACCATGGAAACAGAGACGTTTCAAAATGGCCGCCAAACAAGGTTTTATCGTGTTTATATCACAAACGAGTTCGGTGACCCCCAATTTTTTTTGCATTAAACTTTTACGCTATAGATTATTTATCTATGAAAAAGTTTTTAAAAAATTCTAACATGGGGGAATTTTTTAATAAGCAAAAATAACGTTTTTGTAAATAGAAAAAATTCCCCATGTTAGAATTTTTTTAAAACTTTTTTATAGATAAAGCATTTATGGTATAAACGTTTGATGAAAAAAAAATTGGGGGTCACCGAACTCGTTTGTGATATAAACACGATTAAACCCTGTTTGGGGGCCATTTTGAAACGTCTCTGTTGCCATGGTAACGGGTGCCAGGCAAAAGTTCTGAGAATATTTCCGCTCTAGATATGTTTCCTGAAAAGTATATTAACTTTTAGGCTTATAGTGAAATATTTAGGTGCTTAATATCCCTGTTTAAAATGTGCATTTAAAAATTTCGAAAAATTGTATCGAGCCACCTTAACTCTTGTATGTATGACCTGGAACCATTCCTGACTTTGCTGATAAAGTGGAGAATTTTTCCACAAAAAAAACACAAAAATGAGTTTTTGCTCAAACAAATATAGCTTAAAGTGGTTCTTTAGAAATTTGACAAGGTGGATTACTGTATGGAAAATATTTCAAAGAAACTTTGAATGCGGAGACTGAATTTTACGCAGTCTTGCATGCGTTCCATTTTGATCACCATGCAAGCACGTTGGTCGTTGTCGTCGTACAGGACATGAGAAATATGATTTTATGGGATCAGACCGATCAGCAGATGACTTATTATACTCGTAATTATTGAGAGCTCTTGTTCATGTGCTGGATTGAATTTAACCAAACCTTTCCCGCAGGAAAAGCCGAAATTTTTTATCCAGGAACTGGTCCATAATCGCTGCTAATCTTCTATAATCTTGCTGTTATTGTTAGGCGTCGAAGCTCCTTGAAAAACCCTGTTTGATATACTGTGGGGGTTCGCCCAACCTATCTATATAGTTAATTTTAAAAGTGGAGGAAATTTGTTTTCTTGATGAAATTTTCGCAACGGGTTTGTTTGTTTGAGATGATCGGTCCTGATACCCGAGCTCATTCGGTGTTTATACAACCTCGCGGGAATTAGGTCTTTGGATGAGTTGGATGGCTAAAACTTTATATTGAAGTCACAACGCGTTTTAATTATATACAACTGTCTAGTTAATACAAATAATTAAATCTACCTATACGAATTAATGAATAAAATGAAAGTGCCAAAAATCTAATTTTATAAATGTTATTTGAAACTAGCCATTTGCTGTTCGCGGTTTGTCATATTGGTTAAGCTAAAGGTCTCTAATAAACTACAACATACGTATATGAGAAATACAATAATATATATATACATGCAATCAAGAATACTATTTACATGAAAAGCATTAAAAACTTAGTCAGATTAAACGACAACCTTTCCTTTTAAACAATGCAAACTGATTTACTTAATTTATTATATTTATAGTGAAAATTCAGGCTGCAGTAACTATTTGCATTTTATCCTTTGTCAATTTGAAAAATTATTTTTTAACTGCCGGGCGATGAAACAAGGACCATGGTCCATGCAAGTCGTCGCAAGTTTTGCCTTCGAGATATGGAAGAGAAGACAATAAAAACTTCGAGATTAAAATACTCAACGTGTCATCCAGAAAAATATTGATTTAATGCCTACAATATACATGCAGCTTAACAATTAAAAAACATATGACAACATTTTACGCGTTTTCAGACTGCAGCTATTAGAACCCTACATTATAGTAAATCAGTTAACAATTGTCACTAGTACTCTTCAGAGCATCGCTTAAATATATAACCTTCAGTTGTTAAACCGTTGCGGGTAACATTTAGCTTAGCAAGTTTACAGTTGTCACCTTTCAGAGCATCACTTAAATATTTAGAACCTTCAGTTGTTGAATCAATGCAGGTAACATTTAGCTTAGCAAGTTTACAGTTGTCACTCTTCAGAGCATCACTTAAATATTTAGCACCTTCAATTGTTAAACCATTGCCACTTACATTTAGTTCGATAAGTTTACAGTTGTTATTCGTTAAAGCATCACTTAAATATTTAGTACCTTCAGTTGTTAAACCACTGCCTCTTAGATTTAGTTTAGTAAGTTTACAGTTGTCACTCTTCAGAGCATCACTTAAATATTTAGCACCTTCGGTTGTTAAACCATTAACCATGTCACTTAAATCTAGTTCAACAAGTTTACAGTTGTTATTCGTCAGAGCATCACTTAAATATTTAGCACCTTCAGTTGTTAAACCATTGCCACTTACATCTAGTTTAGTAAGTTTACAGTTGTCACTCTTCAGAGCATCACTTAAATATTCAGCATCTTCAGTTGTTAAACCATTGTGACCTACATCTAGTTTAGTTAGTTTACAGTTGTCGCTCTTCAGGGCGTCACTTAAATATTTTACACCTTCCGCTTTTAAATCATTGCCAATTACATTTAAATTAGTAAGTTTACAGTTGTCACTTTTCAGGGCATCACTTAAATATTTAGCACCTTCAGTTGTTAAACCATTGCCACTTACATCTAGTTCAGTAAGTTTACAGTTGTCACTCTTCAAAGCATCACTTAAATATTTAGCACCTTCAGCTGTTAAATTGTTGTTACCTACATCTAGTTTAGTAAGTTTACAGTTGTCACTCTTCAAAGCATCACTTAAATATTTAGCAGCTTCAGCTGTTAAATTGTAGTTAGCGGCTACATCTAGTTTAGAAAGTTTACAGTTGTCACTTTTGAGAGCATAACTTAAATATTTCGCACCTTCAACTGTTAAACCATTGTCACTTACATCTAGTTCCATAAGTTTACAGTTGTCACTCTTCCGGCAAGCATCAAGGAAATATTTAGCAAAACCAGGTGGTAATTTGTTGTCACTTACATTAAGTTTAGTAAGTTTACAGTTGAAACTCTTCAAAGCATCACTTAAATATTCAACACCTTCAGCTGTTAAATGATTCTGACTTATATCTAGTTCAGTAAGTTTACAGTTGTCACTCTTTAGGGCATCACTTAAATATTTAGCACCTTCATCTGATAAACGATTCTTACTTATATCTAGTTCAGTAAGTTTACAGTTGTCACTCTTCAGAGCATCACCTAAATATTCAACAAATTCAGATTTTAAATCATTGTGACTTAGATATAATTTAGTAAGTTGACAGTTGTCACTCTTAAGAGCATCACTTAAATATTTAGCAAATTCAGGTATTAATTCGTTGGCAGTTACATCAAGTTTAGTAAGTTTACTACAGTTGTCGCTCTTCAGGGCATGACTTGAATATTTAGCACCTTCACCTGTTAAACCAATATTATCATTTACATTTAGTCCAATAAGTTCACAGTTGGCACTCCCCAGACCATGGTTATTTTTCAGAAACTCAGCCAATTCACGGACAGTATTAATCTTCATCCAATCACAACCAAAGATTTCAAGATTTTTTAAGTTCTTGATGTGACTTAAAAATTTGAACAAAGCCGTAGATTCTGCTGGTGCAATATTTAATTGTAACAAAGTAAATGTTTCATTATCATCCTCAGACGCAAACGACGAAATCATTTCCATGACGTGATCTTCTTGCATTTCCCAAACACTTTTTATCACGAGTAAAGCTTTGTCATTACTCTTGTCAATACATCGTTTATATGGCATCCAGTCTTGAAATCTAGATATAGATATTTTGAGAGAAAATTGAAATTTAAATTAATCTATATTTCAAGAACTTCGTATCCATGGTCATTTTCGCAAAGAGAAATTTATAATACGAGAACGACAACGGGCAAGTCATTTTGCTTTTTGTAGGTTAATAAAGTCTAAATTTTCAAAAGAAAACATAAATCCTGCCACCGACTGCATTTTAAGGATTTGCTTATTTTTAAGCAAAATCCTTTATGTCGTCGTCTGTGTAAGATAGGCTATCTTTAAAATAGGGAATCAGGGAACAGGTGAACCAGGGAGCAGGGGAACCAGGGAACAGGTGAGCCAGGGAACAGGTGAACCAGGGAACAGGTGAACCAGGGAACAGGTGAACCCGGGAACAGGTGAACCAGGGAACAGGTGAGCCAAGGAACAGGTGAGCCAGGGAAAAGGTGAACCAGGGAACAGGTGAACCTGGGAACAGGTGAACCAGGGAACAGGTGAGCCAGGGAACAGGTGAACCAGGGAAAAGGTGAATCAGAGAACAGGTGAACCTGGGAACAGGTGAACCAGGGAACCAAGGAACCAGGGAAGAGGTGAACTAGGGAACAGGTGAACCAGGGAACAGGTGAACCGGGGAACCAGGGAACAGGTGAACCAGGGAGCAGATGAACCAGGGAACAGGTGAGCCAGGGAACAGGTGAACCAGGGAACAGGTGAGCCGGGGAACCAAGGACCCAAGGAAAAATAGGGAACGGGGCAACCGGCGAAACCTGGAAACAGAGAAACGGAGGAACACGAGAACGGACGAAACAGGGACGGAAAGCGGGGGAAAAAGGAATTCCCCGGTTTCCTCGTTTCCCAGTTCTCCTGTTCCCCCATTTCGTTGTTCCCAGGTTTCCCTGGTTCATCCGTTTTCCTGTTCCACAATTTAAAAAATAGCCGTGCAAGATAGAAAGTAAGAATATAACGTTGTACTGTATCTAGGTATAGGTGCAATTACCAATACTTATGCCTCATCAGAACCTCGAAATTCATCTACAACTCCTGGAAATTTATTTCACCTTACATCAATCTCAGAAGAGTTTGTCCTGAATAGCTTAAAACGACTTAAGGCAAACAAGGCAACCGGACTAGACCATATAGGTGCACGTCTTCTCAAAGATTCTGCCATTGTCATTTACAAAAGACTCACTGGTCTATTTAATCGTTCGTTAGAAAGTGGTGTTTATCCTCGAATTTGGAAATACGGGAGAGTGGTAGCGCTTTTCAAGTCAGGAGATCGATTGGACTGTAACAATTATAGGCCAATAACGATATTGCCCGCTATAAGCAAGATTTTGGAACGAGCCGTTCATCAACAGTTATATGGATATTTGGAGGAGCAAAATATACTCACACCTAAGCAATTTGGTTTTCGCCCGAAGTTGTCAACTGTGTCTGCTCTTACACACTTCACGGACTCAATTTTGCTTAATTTAGATCAAAGGAACATGACTGGTGCAGCCTTTTTAGATCTGGCCAAGGCATTTGACATCGTAGATCACAATTTGCTTCTGAATAAACTGCGAGATATCGGACTAGATATACAAGCATTGAAATGGTTTGAATCCTATCTTGTGAATCGCAGTATTGTAACATCTGTTGGAAACTCTCAATCCTGCTCTAGTGAAATCTCAGTAGGCGTCCCTCAAGGAAGCATTTTGGGCCCTCTTCTGTTTGTTATTTATGTTAACGATCTTGCTACTTCTTTAAAGCATTGTGATATGCTAATGTACGCGGACGACACTGTTATTTACTACAGTGGAAGTTCCCCTACAGAGATCCAAAACAAAATGAACGAAGATCTTATGAATCTATCACTCTGGTTTAACTCCAATCTCCTAACTTTAAATACCTCCAAGTCAAAGTTTATATTGTTTGGTAGCAGTCGTTCATCAAAATATCAAAATGTTCAAGATCTGACTATCTGTGTAAATGAAGTTCAACTGGAAAGAGTGGAGTATTTTAAATATTTAGGCGTTGTCATACATCAGCACTTAACATGGGCCGACCATGTTGACGAAATTACCAGAAAGATTCGTCAGAGGATTGGAGTACTGCAGAGGGTTAAGTATCTTTTAACAATGGAAACAAGAAAAACGCTATATATGAGTTTAATTGCCCCTTTGTTTGACTATGCTGATATAATTTGGGGAGACAAGAATAATGACACCTTGATGGCAAATCTGCAAATTCTTCAGAACAGAGCTGCGAAAGTTATCCTGGATAGACCAAAACATAGCTCGGCGAGTGAAACTCTTAATCTCTTGAATTGGCAATCCCTCATCACGCGTAGACGGCTTCACCGCATTGTTACAATGTATAAATATTTAAATTATGAAATTAATTATGATATTAATCTTAGACGGAACAGTACTTTTCATAACCATGATACTAGAGGGAGAAATAATATCCATCTTCCTAAAGTGAGAACCAACTGGGGAAAGCAAAGATTTATATACCAAGCCTCAGTTGAATGGAATACCTTACCAGAGAACATAAGACATGCCCAAACTTTAAAAAGTTTTAAAACTGAACTACAGCGATTTTAAAAATTTACTCTATGTAAACTATGACATTTATTATAAATATTATTGTAAATTAACTTAGATTGTGTATTTTTATTCTAACTATTAATTGTATATGTTATCTTTTTATGAATTAACTATAGATTTGACATATTTTTATAACAGGGCCCCACTGAAAATCGCTTTGGCGAGTGGGCTCCCTGAATAAATATTGTTAATAATAATAATAATAATAATAATAATAATAATAATAATAATAATAATAATAATAATAATAATAATAATAATAATAATAATAATAATAATAATAATAATAATAATAATAATAATAATAATAATAATAATAATAATAATAATAATAATAATAATCTTCTGACGACTAAAAAATTCGTGATTGGTCGGAAGCCATTATTGCCATTATCCGCCATTGCCGTTTGTCAATTTATGGATTCGCGATCTTTAGGTCAAAACAATCGCACTTATTTTCGTAAAATGTAAAAACAACTAAACATCTAACCAATTATTTTAAGCTAAACGAAGGGATAAATGTGTATTCTATGCTAATGATTCAAGTGGAAAGGTCCTATTATATACTACGAGTGCCTATTTTTATAAAATGGTTTGAGAATGGTTTTCCGTCTGCCGAAAATTGAAGGCTTTCGACTTCGCATCACAGACAAATTAGATTAAAGACTTATTAACCGAGTGCGAGGCCTGTGCGTACGGAAGCTGGGAAAGTATTGCCTTATTGCCTGAGGTTTTTCGCAGAGACGGCAACGAAGGGGCGAGGTCTGTGCGATAAAAACCGAAGGCAATACTTTCCCATACAGACCGACCAAACGAGGTTAATAAGGGATTTATTATATGGCTTTGTTAAATTTATATAGCGATTTTTTAATTAATATTTTGTAACCTTTCACTGCTACATTTTTTAGCTGTATTAGTGCAGTATATATTGGCGGTTCACATCAGTTCGCCTTAAAATGTAGCGTTTGGGTCATTTGTTTCTCCAGGATAGTAAAACTCGCTCGTGGAGACTGGAGTGTTCTTCGTCGTCACTGTACGGCATAATAATCTTTTATTATTAGTTTTTGTTTAAATTATATATTCGGGTTGTCCGATCGCGACAAACTTCGGCACGGTAGTTCTTCATATCATGTTCAAATGACAAATATGAATATACTCCTTAAAATACACACTAACCACGCTTGCTCTTGTCAGCTACCTCTGTGGCAACTGGCTCTAGCTCAGTGGCAGCTGGCAAGAGCATTGCACCGACATCGCAAAAGCGTAGGTTCGATTCCTGCCGGAGGACCGATAGTTGACTCATTTTTCTCAACTGTTCCTGCCATGAATTGAGTTTTGTACATAGTTCCACTCGAAATTAAGACCCTTCAAAAACCTTTAGAATTTACCTACATCGAATGAAGTGCCACAAAATCGTAATTGATTTACCCTCATGTTCAAGTAGTTCAATCTTATTCAATAATTGTAAAATATGATGTTTTACCTCTGACATATAAAATCGAATATCTCCCATTCTTTATTTTCCGATGACCTGAAAAAAAAGAATAAAATTTGGTTTTTAAGTTCTGGCATTAATCATTTAATTGGTACAGCAGCATATAAACATTATCCAAAATTATGCATCTATCAAAACCTTCCCATGCATACTGGACAGTTTTCAAATTACACAGGCAAGTTACATTTTGTGTTTTCTCTTCACCTGAGGAAACATCAGATCAATTAGAATTTTTTTTAGAATATAGATACCATTGTATTTTCTTAGCAGTGTAAATGTTTTCTTATTTGCATGTTAAAGAATCATGTGGGGAGTGAGCTCCTTAGGGTTGTTGAGGGCACAAGCAAACTTTTGAGTCTTGCCTTCAATGCAAAGTCAACTAGAGTTTTATGATATTAACAACATAAAAACTTTCACAAAATGAGTAACAAGTTCATACAAACATAAATAAGAAGGAATATGTGAAGAATGAAAAATTAGGAAGTTTTATGAGAGCTCCAAAAGAATTGGATCATGACCTCTTTCACCTGGTCAAAATGTAAGAGATACTTTCCTAAAGTAAAGTTTCTATCTCATCCACTGATAAATATGTTATTTCACTTATATGCAGATAGATATCACATGATCTTATATAATGAGTTATTTATTAGGATAAACTGGTTACACTGGGTACGTCATCCAATTAGAAAGAAAATTGAGGCCTACCTTAACTCCCTCATTCTATCTCCAAGCAACCCAGCTACAAACTGGATCACCAAATGCCACCTGGGTTTATTAATGTGCTCCCATAAAAAAGATTCAACGTTTCTAATATCATCAACCACATATAATGCAGCCAGAAACTCTTGAATTGTAAGATGAAGAAAAGCAAAAATACTCCGTCTTTTGTCTTCCAACTGATTGAATAGACCAGAATCTGATAGGCCAGCCATAGATTTATCACTACTCTCAAACTGGAAAAGTAACTGATCTTTTTCCATTCCATCCTTTGCAATTTTTTTCAATTTGTCTAAGTCCTCTTGAAGCGGCTTTGGAAGTTTTGCAGTCAGGTAATCTCTTGGAACTTGTTTATTCCGGTATTTTGAATTGTGTTTGAACAGCAAAATCCTTATTGCTCGTTTGTACAGTTCAGTCATTGTTTTAGGAATATTACTATATCTTTCACCATTCACTTGGCCACCAAAACCAATGCTTTCATTGAATGTCAAGCACACTATATAGGAATTGACAGGTATGTAACAGAAGCTTAATAGTTCTGGGGAATCTTTGATTATGCTCCATATCTCAAAACTTCTCTGTGTATCATCACCACAAAATTTCCCAACATACTCTTCTATTTGTTTCTCACTAAAGCCTAATATCTCCACTTTTCGTGTGAAATCAAGATTTTTATACACATGTTCAGCTGTGGGTCGAGATGTGATTAACACAGTGGCTCCAGGTAAAAGTTTGCCATTCACTAAATGTTTAACAATAAGGAAGATATGACACATTTCTTCTGGGCTGTTTACAATCTTTTCATCAGTTAAACACTCTTCATCAAATTCATGTTCATCTAAGCCATCAAAAATAAGAATGACATTGCTTGGGTTTTTGCAAATATATTCATAGATGGTCATGTCGCAATGAGGTGATGACATATCAAGACCATAGGCCTGACTTAATATTTCTTGAAGACTTGTTTCACCTTTGCTTAGACTACGAAATTGAATCAATACCAGAATCTTTTCATACCAAAATAGGGATGTTTCATCTTGATGTGACTGATTAAAAATTTTTTTGGTCAGTAGAGTTTTCCCAATTCCTGGTCTGCCGACTACAAGAACAGTTCTAGGAGGTTCTTCACCAGCTTTTGCTGCTTGAAATAATTCCACTGTACTCTGAAGGACTTTTGCATCAGGGGGCTTTTCCAATTGAATATCGTAAATCTCATGTCTACATTTCATAAATGCTCTTCTAAAATAGTCGACAGGCTCTCTTCCATCTTGAATTACAACATTAATATAAATGTCATCCAGTTCCCTACGTGACAAATATTCCCCTCCAAAGTCATCCCGCACGTAAAATAAATTTTGGGATTGCTCCTCCCGTATAATTTGCCTTAACTCTTGATTTATTTCTAGGATCGTTTCTGTACGCTTTCTTAAAAGGTATACGCTAATGAACTCCTGATCAGTATGGAAAGTGGGTCTCTTCAATGCAGACCACAACAGGTAAACAATCTCCATGAGTGTCACTGCATCGGCGAGGAAATTTATCGTAATGAAGCCAACAGCAACTTGCTCTTTCTTCCCACCCATTGAATAGGTACAGTCCACAGATGAAGAATTCGTAGTTGCTTGTGTAATGTTCTCATGGAAAGTACCAGTTGTTTTCATATGGGGCAAACGACATTCAAAATGGGTCGGAAAATTGGACGAGGTTAAGAGAAATGCTGAGAATATTGTCAGTGGTATTATACGACATACGATTAAATGGATCATGTAAGCCATAAATACAAAATAACTACCTCGATAGGCCACTGGTGCAGCTGGCGATTCTCTAGACAGTGGTTGGCATTCTTCTACGCCCACGCTCGCCATTGTGTTTGGGTTATTTGAGAAAATGTCGACTCTATGTTTCACCAGGAAACCGTAGACCACAGAAAGTATAACCACAAGTCCAAAACTTATCACAATCAGAACATTGAGAGATAACGAAGGGAGGAATTCGTGTCCATATTTAAGAAGACACTGTGTTTCAACGTACTTCCGCTTCGATAGAGTGCTTGTAAAAGACTTGTTTGGGTCACATTCTAGACTTGATCTCGACTCGTAATCACTCGCGATTCCAACCAGAACAACGCCAATTGCTACAAACAAAGCAAGAGCGACTGAACTATACGTGTTATAACAGTTACGAGGTAACAATTTTAAACATCCCTCCATGTCTGTAAGAGTTCTTGATTCTTTGTCACAGGCTCACAGCATTACATTTGGTCACTTCTAGCATGGGTAATAAAATGAATTTTCATTTTATTATCATGCTTCTAGGTACGCGATACCACAGAAATTGATACCACCGATACTGGGTAAATTATCGGTACTTCGCTGAAAAATGTATCGATTGGCATTTCCGATACCATTTACCATTTATTTATTTATTTATGAGCCTTGCGGTGTTTGGTCAGTGGTAGCGCGAAAAATTTTCAAATTAGCCTTTCTCTCTGCCTTTCTCACTTTCTCACGATGACGAATATCCGCCATTTTTGCGATACTTTCGCTTTTCTTAAATAGGTTTAAGCTTCGGTTTAAGACAGTTTTTAGAAAAATTATAGCTATATGAAAAGCGTTTTTTGGAATCAACAGACCATTTGAAGAATAAATTCAGTCTAGAGTTGAAGATAGTTGGCGTTAAAAGCTCTCACCTTCACGATTTCGAAAAAAAGTACCCCAAAATTAAAAATAGAATAAAAGAAACAGTAGAATAAACGTAATACAGCTAAATATTTTATATATAAGACAATATATATTGATGATTTTATTCTCTACAAATTTGTTTCGTATAACAAGCAGTGCTTGCCGCTTGCCACACTCATGATATATATATATATATATATATATATATAATTATATATATATATATATATATAACAAATGCTTATACAATAATCTGTTGTAGATTGAAGAGTGCTCAACACAATTTTTGTATATATATATATATATATATATATATATATATATATATACACCCGTTTGCAAAAACGTTGGCCGCAGGTAGATATATAGATAGATACCCGAAATCTAATTAGAATTGCATATGTTGTGTAATATGATTGAAATCCCATGCAAATGTAATCATATGCAATTCTAATTAGACTTCGAGTATCTATCTATCTATCTATCTGCGGCCAACGTTTTTGCAAATGGGTGTATATATATATATATATATATATATATATATATATATATATATATATACATATATATATATTTGTTAAATCTCGTTTCTTTTTCACTAGGTACGTTTTTCACATGTTTTTGCAACAATTCGTGAAGCCGATGATTCAGGTCTATCAAATCTTTAATCAACAATACACATGCTTTATTTCTACGTTCTTCCAGGGTTTCCAATTTACTCACAATTAATTTGCTGCTATAATCCTAATAGCCAGTATGCTCCGGATAAAGAATGTTAAGAGCCCTTCTCTGAACTCTCTCTATATTATCCCTTTGCATCTTTGTAAGTCCACCACTCCTTATCTGCATAACGCACTCCAGAACAGATCGAGTAACTGTACAGTAGAACATCAAAAGTTCCTCAATAGGTGCTCCGTACCTCCTCAAAATTTTTAAAAAATGTAATCGCTTGGTTGCCTTTTTTACAATATATTCTGTGTTGGTTCTCCATTTGAAATCATCATCAATCCATACTCCAAGCAATTTATAGGAGAGTACTCGAGCTACTTGACAACCGCCAATGTTAATCGGTGGTATATCTGTTTTATTCCTTCTAAAATCAATAATCATTTCCTTACATTTCCCTCCGTTCAACTCCATCATCTCATCTCTGGTAAATTGAATTATTTTATCCACCCATTCCTGTGAGATTCCAATTGGACTTACCGATGTATGGGATGATACATCAATCACTTCATACGAGGTGCCTGGTGGTGTCATAAACATTGTTACATCATAGACAGCCCAGAAATCTGTTTATACTCAGTCTTCGACTGCATTGTTTACGCACGCGGTCAGCTTCTCCTGCTTGTACTAATTACTGTATTATATATTAATATATAATACAGTAATTAGTACTGTATTATATATTAATATATAATACAGTAATTAGTACAGGCAGGAGAGGCTGACCGCGCGCGTAAACAATGCAGTCGAAGACTGAGTATAAACAGATTTCTAATGCATAAATTGTTGATGACCCAGGGAGCCCACCAAACTGGCATCGACTTATTTTTTCTCCAACATCCTCAATGATCCAACCGTTAACGTAAGATTCTTGAACTTTGGATAAAACACTCGTTAAGGCAACTGGTCTCAATTCATCAGCAGAACAACGTTTAGTTCTAGGAATAGCACATTAACGTTTGATATTTTCTAAATATCAGGAAAAACACGTTCTTTAAATGATTCGTTGAAAATATGAGCTAATGGGCAAGCAAAGTGCTCAGCGAAATACTTAAGACTAAATTCTTGCTTCTTTTTGCCCACTATCTTTTTAACGTTTTTCCACCATGCTTTCGGTTCATGAACACGTAGAGGCTTGATCCTTTCGTACAATTTACTTTTTTCTTTACGGATTTTCGATATAATTTTATTTCTCATTTCTCTAGATTCTACCATTCTTCCTTGCTGATACAGTTTGTCTCTCTTGATTATCATGCCCTTGATTATCATGCTCTTGATTATCTCTTGATTATCATGCTCTTGATAAAGTATCCAAGAAGAAAGAGTGCTCGATATCAAAATTTAATAGAGCAATTAAAATAAAATAATAAATATTTACCAGATTGGAGGTCTGTATAGGGGAATATTTCAAGTGAGCTCCTTAGGGTTTTTGAGGCACTTGCAGTCAAACTCTTGGGTCTTGCCCTCAGTGCAAAGCTAACTTTTGACCAGTCTGGTTTCAGTTTAGTGTTCTAGAGTTTTATGATATGAACAAAATCAAAGCTTTCAAAAAATGAGTAACTGAGGTTACACATAAAATTGATACAAACATTAATATAAGAGAGCTCCAAAAGTATTGGATCATGACCTCTTTCACCTGTTCAATTCAATTCTTTCCCAAAGTAAAGATTCTATCTCATCCACTGATAAATATGTTATTTTGCTTATATGCAGATAGATATCAAATGTTCTTATATAATTGTTCTTATATTTATTACCATAAACTGGTTACACTGGGTAAAAATGAACATTCTATATGATAAAATAATTGATTGTGGTTGGCATTCTTCTACGCCCACATTCATCATTGTGTTGGGTTATTTGAGAAGATGTCCACCATTTTGAACTGTTGTTGTGTTGTGTGCATATTTGAGAAGACACTGTGTTTTAGCGTACTTCCGCTTCGATAGAGTGCTTGCATGTATAGTTACAGGACTTATATTGCCAACGAGAGTACTTTCTCTTTCGTGCCAACTTTATTTTTCCCATTCAGGTAATTTGAAAAGTCTAAGAATGCAAAAATAATTAAAAATGAACATTCTATGAGGATGAACATTCTTCTACGCCCACATTCATCATTGTGTTGGGTTATTTGAGAAGATGTCCACTATTTTGAACCTGTCGTTGTGTTCAGAGTTGTGTACAGGAAACCATACACAATACTGAGCACAACCACATGTCCAAAGCTTATCACAATCAGCCAAATCAGGATATTGGGAAGATAACGAAGGGAGGAATTTGTGTGCATATTTGAGAAGACACTGTGTTTCAGCATACTTCCGCTTCGATAGAGTGCTTGCATGGATAGTTACAGGACTTATATTGCCAATGAGAGTACTTTCTCTTTCTTGCCAACTTTATTTTTCCCACTCAGGTTATTTGAAAAGTCTAAGAATGCAAAAATAAATAAAAATGAACATTCTATATGATAAAATAATTGACTGTGGTTGGCATTCTTCTACGCACAGGTTCGTCATTGTGTTGGGTTAATTGAGAAGATGTCCACTATTTTGAACCTGTCGTTGTGTTCAGAGTTGTCTACAGGAAACCGTACACAATACTGAGCACAACCACATGTTCAAAGCTTATCACAATCAGTCAAATCAGGACATTGAGAAGATAACGAAGGGAGGAATTCATGTGCATATAATTTTGAGAAGACACTGTGTTTCAAAGTACTTTCTCTTAGATAGAGTGCTTGCATGGATATTTAAAAGACTGTTGCCAATGAGAATATTTTCTCTTTCTTGCCAACTTTATTTTCCCCATTCAGGTTATTTGAAAAGTCTAAGAATGCAAAAATAAATAAAAATGAACATTCTATATGATAAAATAATTGATTGTGGTTGGCATTCTTCTACGCCCACGTTCGTCATTGTGTTGGGTTATTTGAGAAGATGTCCACTATTTTGAACCTGTCGTTGTGTTCAGAGTTGTCTACAGGAAACCGTACACAATACTGAGCACAACCACATGTTCAAAGCTTATCACAATCAGCCAAGACACTGTGTTTCAGCGTACTTCCGCTTCGATAGAGTGCTTGCGTGGTTAGTTAAAAGACTTAGTTATATTCCCAATTTTCTTGCCAACTTTATTTTTTCCATTCAGGTTATTTGAAAAGTCTAAGAATGCAAAAAATCTATATGAACATTCTATAAAATATTATGATAAAATAATTGACTTTGTATTAGACTAGCTGCTTCAACTCAATGCTAGCTGCATTTTATCGTAAATATTAACCGTCAAATGACGATATTTTGCTAGAACCGAGTTCAATAATTGTTTTATCATTCACTTATCTGATTATTTTTTGGTATTTTCAGCGTTTTTTTCTTCGAGTAAGCAATACAACTCATTTTCCGAAAGTTCAGCAAGGCATACGTGCCAACTGAAGGCGAGTCGCCATTATTAACAAAACTGAAGCCAATGCGCATGCTCAGTACTAGTGTATTATTTGCATTTGGAACACTCAGTGATTTGGAATTTCAATTTCCGATACCTTTTATGAGCCTTGCAGTGTGTGGTCAGTGGTAGCGTTGACGTACTTCATTTTTCTCTTAGTGTTGAACTTAAATAAATTTTTAGAATTTTTTAAAAACTTTTAATTTCGTCGTCAATCGTGATATCACTGATATACAGACAATAGTGTCAGTCGCATTGAACGACCAGCCTTAAAGAATACGTAACTTATATATTTCTGATTTATTATCTAGGGGCCCGCAGGCGCCTTAGGCCCGTTTCAGACGTCGAACTTTTCATATGCAGAATCGAATGGAAATAAACTTAATAAACAAAAGACTTAATTTGCATTCGGTTCGGCGCATGAAAAGTTTGAAACAGGCCTTAAAAAGCCATATGCCGGTTTCTAATAGGCTCCTAGCCCATTTCTTCAGCACTTACGCAGAATTTGTGATGAGCCTAAGTCGGGCAATGAGCCTAATGCTCTCCACATTAGCGTTCGATGTGTTGTAATCCATCTTTAACACGAAGAAACTTAAATACTCCTTAAAATCAGGTATCTAGAAACGAGGGTTCCTATGCATATTATATACCTGGCAACTCTCGCTTTAGGTCGTCAAACAAGTTATTTGGTAAAGATAGGGATTTGATCAACTTTTTGGGTATATAAGCGTCGTTTGGGATGGCATGAATTAATGAACTATATATAACATTATTACTATTGAATGCATACAAATAAAAAAAATATACGTCATTCTGGAAATGTGGCCGTTTCCAACTCCTAAATTCACTAGATGAAAGAGGAAGGAAAATTTTCCCATTCGACAGCCGCGGCAGTCTCTACCATAGGTAATAAATACCTATAAATACATTTGTATGTATCTTTTATATAACAATATATCTATTGAGTTTTATCTGTACAATTAATATAACTAAAATATTTTAAAAGTCCCATTTAAATAATTTTTCTTCACAATGTGTTGGATTCGGGATCTTCGACGACCAGTATCTACAACACGATGAACGAGATAATTATACTTTGATATTTGGAACATATTTGTATTTTTATTTTCATTGTATTCCTTTGCATGAGCATGGACATTCGTAAAGGTTGTCAATACAGAAAATTCCAACTTCTGTTAGTCTTAAAAATGATAGGCACCCGTACATACATTATGAAGAGTATCTCAACTTGTTAAAACGAACCACTTTATCATAACCAATATCATAACCTGGTTTCATTCCTAATATTTAACCAAACCAGACGTACGCATGGTAATATTTTATCGATTAATATTTTGGCATCTAATTCGATGTATATAGGATTGTCGCGAAAGAGTTTAGGGTCTTAATTTCGCGTGGAAAGCACACACATCTCAAATTCAAGCTAGGAACAGTTGGGAAAAACGTGGTCCTTCTACATCTTCGGGACACCGGTTTGTTCCAAATGAAAAAAGACTTTGCAAGATGGGGCAACAGTTTATCTAATATGACACAAACAGTTTATCTAAACATAACACAGAAAACAGCGTGTACAGTTAAAAAAAATGGTTTTACATACCAATTGATCCCATGCAGAAAGCACAATTATTCTATCTTTGTTGATTTTTATCGTTCATTTCTATTCGACAGTCGTCTTGTGACTTTTTCATTTGTATTTCAATGCTAATTTACGAAGAAAACGTAAGTTTAGAATGTTTATAATCGGCTGAATGCAAAAGACAACAAGATTTTTAAAAACAACATAAAGTAAGGTTGCAATGCGATCATAAATCTCCAAACTCTAGTCTCATAACCCCCATACTCTCCAACATACTCTCTACTCTTCAATAATCAAAAAGCGCATTAGATAAAAGGCCTAACCTGATGCAGTTTTCACCTCGCCTAGCCGGGATAACTCGCTCCATTCCATCAGCCCTGATTCCATTCATACATTCACGCGATGCGTGTGTGCGCGAGTTAGACCTAGTAGACTCGCGTACACACACGTCCCGCAAGCGTCACGAGAATATTTCTGGGCTGCCTATGCTTAAACCTGCCCTAGCTGTCACTTTCTCATATAGCTCACTAATTCCCATGCAATTAACTTCTATACTCACTCAAATAACTTTCCACCCTCTACAAATTCTCCACTCTCCGATAAACCTTCACTTCCTAATAACTCACCTCCCCTCCCCAACTCTCTGCTGAGACACCTTGTTTGCCTAAACAATGTAAAGGGGTTATTTTCAGAAATATTTTTAACCGTTTAAAGCCATTTAGAAGTAATTCAGATGTTGCAGAAGGGAAATATAATGATAACGGGATCGACCATGCATCATGGAGCTGTTTTGGGAACCTGATTCTTCTTTATGCTGTCAAAACAGTAGCCTGCTTGCAGCACGAAAATCGGAAATTTCTGTTCTCATTTCCAGCCTAAGTTCCAGGTGGGGGGTGCAAGCAGGCTACCAAAACAGTCCCTTGATGCATCATTGGCAACCTCACTATCACGAGAGTTTTCTACTGCAACAAAGAAACAGCTAGTTACTGTAAACTTTAATAATTAATAAGTAGACTAAATGGTAGTAAAAAAGCTCACTAACACTCACACTCGTTGAGTAGAAATTTTGTTTTACTGATCAACGAGTATAGTCCTTTCTTAATCAGTGGAAAGATTTGAGGCAAAACATTGACAATCAAGCTCTTATTTGAGGGAAAATACCGCTCAAAGGATTCGCTATGAAATGACTGAGATCTCTCATTCAACGAGTGAGACAGCTTTTAGAATACAGACGTTAGACCTATTCAGAAACTTTGTGCTGGTTGTTCAAATTACAATCTTCAAGTGAAAATGTGTGCTTTTCTTGCAAATTCTCGCACCAAAAAGACACAAACACAGTTTCCACCATATTAAAATCAAATCAGTTTCCTCCAAAGCGCAAGTGGCCTAATATCGCAGTAACATGCTTCTAAAAATGCAGATATTATTTACAGTAATGATGATACCTTGCATGGCTTTATTTTGTTCGGTGATCTGACAGAAATCTCAGACTCTTCAGCCGCAGCTGCAGCGGCTGCTCGTCGATTGTAAACAATAAAATCATACGTTGACATCCCCTTATGAACTAAGGTGGCAAAGGTGACAATGAGTTAGTTATTTTCTCATATAAAATTATTAGATCATCACCATCTAAGCAGCCTGGTAATAATGCGACAGAGATCCTCGTCTGAAAGCAATGGCTTAAGTCCAGTTGTATTGCCTGGAATTTTTCCCAACTTTTTTATTTTATATCTTTCTTCGCCATCACGAAATGAAAACATAGAGAAGTGTTAGGGTCTATTTTATATAGCCAGTTGTTATACCAAACGTGATGGGAAGTGGTTAAAAAGCAAATACTGCCACGCTACTTCTTGGTTATATTGTTAAAATAAATATGAACTTACTTAAAAAAGCATGAAAACACAAGAGATGCCCCAACAGCATGATAGCAAGCAATAGCAAAACAATTAAAACCGAAGTGAGTGAAATAAATATCCTCCGATCCTGATCACCAAATATACTCCATACTGGAAAAAAAAGGTAAGATTTATTGACATGAAAGACAACACGGACAAAATAAGACTAAAGGGAAAATATGCAAAACGCAAGATTATACTCCAGGTGATTTCGCGCTTATATTTTAGCCAATCAGCGCTCAGAAGGGTCGTTGAAATAGAAATCCATTTGGCAGCAATTAATCGATAATATCTTTTTTATTCTTTATGAAATGTACCTGTCGAAATTTTGTGATTGTGCTTAGTTATACTCTAAGTACTATAACTCTGAGGTAAATTTCAAACTAAAACAAAGTATATTTCAAGAGACTATGTGCACACGGTAACGTTTTCGAGCGTTTTCATTTTCGTTTTCAAACACCGTCAATTTACAATAGAAGTTGAAGCTAACTTAGCATATTAAGTATATTTTCCCTCGGATCGTGTGGACAGGGCGTCAAAGCGATAGACTTGATAAAAACGATTCTGAAAACGCTCGAAAACGACGCTTGTGTGCACTTAGCCTAAGTTGTTTCAACCGAGAAATGGATTTCATTTGACAACTAGTCCCAGTCCTTTCCCGCCATTTCAGATCACCTGGTTACCAACACCGTGTAATTCGATGTGACAATTTAATAAATACTATTAAATACCGTAAACCAACCTTTGTCGCTCGATACTTCGTCTTTAAAATGCATGATAAAAAGATATAAACAGAATGCCAGGAATGACAGTGCAGTAGCCAGTGCCGCTGATAAACAGCCGAGAAATAATCTATAATGGAAATGATGCATGTATTCAGAAAGTTTTTTGATAAAGTTACATGGCAAAATGATTAGAAACTGCGATAGTACAAAAGTCGATATCAAATATCCGAGATTTGGAGTTGTGTGGTAGATTGGTTAGAAAGAGTTACAGTGTCTAGCACTCTAACAACATTTTTTCATGTCATAATGGCTGGAAATAAATGCATTGGGTTATATTTTGTCTGTGGAAAAACCTATACGAATTAAATGGACATTCCTATCGGCGCATACACGCAGTAAGTTCACGCATGATAAATTCAATTCGCTTTGATTCGCACCCAATTGGACAAGTTTGAATTTCGATCACTAATTTCTATGTAAAAAGTATTTTGCCGTTTTGAAATAGGAAAGGTGTCGCTGAAAAGCCACATAACCCGCTTTTGCATTCTAGTTCTACACTAGGATAACACCACTAAATTCAATCTACACTGTATAATATTGTTTGGCAATGACTAGTGGTTTTTTCCATTGGGAAATAATTGGATATAGCTATACATAGTTTATCATATAGTTCAAATATTTACCTGTAGTTTTGGCCACCAATACAGTTATTTAACCACTTGCAATGGTGGTCAAATTCACTGATGCATTTATTACATAATGCACAATGCTTGCTCTTCCGTCCTCTAAAACAAGAAGCAAGAAACGTTACGATAATCACTTTATACGCTCGTTAGCAATTATTTTCATATTCAGTGGCACAGAAGTAGACACGAGTGGAGTTGAGGTGAACCCGAGTGGTTTGGAGGAAACACGTTTGGAGCAGAGGTGAACACAAGTGGTATAGAAGTAGATACGATTGGAGCAGAAGTGAACACGAGTGGTATAGAAGTAGATACGATTGGAGCAGAAGTGAACACGAGTGGTATAGAAGTAGATACGATTGGAGCAGAAGTGAACACGAGTGGTATGAATACGATTGGACAGAGGTGACAGAGACGATTGGAGCAGATACGATTGGAGCAGAGGTGAACATAAGTGGTATAGAAGTAGATACGATTGGAGCAGAGGTGAACACGAGTGGTATAGAAGTAGATACGATTGGAGCAGAAGTGAACACGAGGGTATAGAAGTAGATACGATTGGAGCAGAAGTGAACACGAGTGGTATAGAAGGAGATACGATTGGAGCAGAGGTGAACACGAGTGGTATAGAAGGAGATACGATTGGAGCAGAGGTGAACATAAGTGGTATAGAAGTAGATACGATTGGAGCAGAGGTGAACACGAGTGGTATAGAAGGAGATACGATTGGAGCAGAGGTGAACACGAGTGGTATAGAAGGAGATACGATTGGAGCAGAAGTGAACACGAGTGGTATAGAAGGAGATACGATTGGAGCAGAAGTGAACACGAGTGGTATAGAAGGAGATACGATTGGAGCAGAGGTGAACACGAGTGGTATAGAAGGAGATACGATTGGAGCAGAGGTGAACACGAGTGGTATAGAAGAAGATACGATTGGAGCAGAGGTGAACAGAAGTGGTATAGAAGGAGATACGATTGGAGCAGAGGTGAACACGAGTGGTATAGAAGGAGATACGATTGGAGCAGAGGTGAACACAAGTGGTATAGAAGGAGATACGATTGGAGCAGAGGTGAACACAAGTGGTATAGAAGTAGATACGATTGGAGTAGAGGTGAACACGAGTGGTATGGAAGTAGATACGAGTAGAGCAGAGGTAAACACGATCGAGTGGTATAGAAGTAGATACGATTGGAGCAGATGTGAACATGAGTGGTATAGTGGTAGATACGATTGAAGTAGACGTGAACACGAGTGGTATAGAGGTAGATAAGAGTGGAGCAGAGGTGAACACGAGTGGTATAGAGGTAGATAAGAGTGGAGTAGAGGTGAACACGAGTGGTATGGAAGTAGATACGAGCTAGTGAAATGCAGTAAACCTGAGTGGAACAGTAAAACAGAAGTGAACACAAGTAAGGAAAGCTATGAGTAGTAGAAATAAACATGAACATGAGTAAACCCTAAAGGTAAGAAAGCATAATGAACTTACACATCTACTTGACAAATATGGCAGTGAAAATTTTCAATCACATGTTTATGAAGTGATCGATTAAATTCAACTGCTTTTTCTACCCGCTGTTTTCTGATCATTGGGTCTGCAGGATCAACTGTTAAACACACTAAATGAAGGACGACATGAACCAGAAGAAATACACCAGGAACCTGGCAGTTTGTTAAGGTGAATAATTGCGACTAGTGAGGCTATTGGAGGAAACATCGGTACGTTACTCATAACCTTGTTTGATAGGTATCTGACTGTGCATGACCGCACTTGTACCAAGGACGGGAAACTTCACATCACTTATTATAATATAATATTTAAAGTACGCGCTTGCTCATCAGTCTGTAAGTATGTTTCTTTAGCTTTATAGAATGTGAGAATTTGCAACTGAGTGTAATTAAAAAAAAATTTAAAAAATCGAAATATTTAAGCTATACAAGGTGTCTCAAAAAAACCGGACGCCATTGAATTCACCTATTTGAATGGCATAGCACTATAAGTGCTCCTGAGTGTCCCTGAAAAAGTGGACGCTGCCTAACAATAAGCCTGCGCGCAAAGATGTGTAAAACGACTCGTTAAGGCGTTGAAATTTATGTGTAAAGCGCACGAATGACGAATTAAGGCCTTTGGGAATTTAAAGTAGCTTCGTGAATAATAAAAAAAAACCTTGCGAAAATGATAAAATTGGAAATTAATAACCAGTCCGGGAGAAAATGGTTCAACTGACTACAGAGGAACGAGTTTTTGTTGCTATAAATTATACGCTGACTCAAAGTCCAACTGCAGTGCGAAACGCTGAAACAATCGGTTTATAGGGTTTTCAGGGACACTCTAGCCTCTGGGGCACTTATTGTAATGCTATATGCCATTCAAATTCTAACAATAGGTGAATTCAATGGTGTACACTTTGTTGAGACACCCTGTGTTTTAAAAGAAATTGACAAACATTTTTTCCCTGTGTTTATATATATACAGTTATAACGAAATACTCTAAATAACATGAAAAAGGTTTTCCCACTGATTATTTCTCGTTTTCCCAAACTCCCATGCATGTTTCTATAACTGTATCAAAAAAAAAGGGAAAAATGTTTTCTATTTCTTAATTAATTTGGCATTACTTCAACAGTCCAGGGAGAGTTGGAAATTTAGAGCGGTGAAATACAGTGTCATATTGTACACCTTTCTCATGATGTAAAATGCAAACACAGAAAGTCTAATGTTACATGAAGCTTGATTGGCTTGCTTAGTTTTACTAACCGAATTAAACTTAATGTTTTCATGACATCATTATGAAAAAGTGTGTTGGAATTTATAGATAGTTATTTTACAGGGCTGCTCAACAGATTTTTGACCTTGCATGGCAATATAAATATGAGATTGTTCATAAAACTTCTGGTTAAGTCTTCAAATAGTAGATAAATTTCCAATCTTTTAGCCATCTTGGGCATAATCAATTTTTAATACCACTGCATTAGAGGGATACTTTAGATAGTGGAAAGCAGAAAAACATTTTGGATGAGGTCATGTTTTTTTTCAAAAGGATACACTACATCCAACTGGTATACACCAGTCAGGTAAATATGAAACTATAGTTCCATAATAAACCAAGGGTATTGTCACAACAAAAAACCAGGCAATGACTTGAAATGGATGAGGAGGCCACGACCAGCCATTTATTCGCTCCTTTTTCTGAACCACAACAGAACCATTTGAGAGCATTTCATTTCCCATGAGTGTCAATCATTGAACTTGATTCATGTAAAGTCTATAAAATTTAAGTACAATAAATAAGTCCTAATGTCAAAGCAATCATTTTTATTAGTCTGGTACTAAATCTCAGCCAATTTTTTAAAGTAAAAGTTTCTCTACATATATATACTCCCTGGCTGCTTCTAATCCTAAGGTACCCTCCATTAACAATACTTGTTTGTGACATAAATTCTAGCTGTGGATGACCACAAACATCTGTGAGACTTTTTAGTATAAAAATAAACCAATCAATAATAATGCATTTGCAGCACCAACGCTAGATGTGATAATCAGTGGCTGCAGAAGCTTGTTTAGTGGGGTGTAAATATTTATATATTTGTGTTAGCCAACTGTAAAAACAATCAACTTCAAAAGAAACTAATAATGCAGAATGTGAGTATATTGCTCCCTAATGGCCCTTGGTGATAGTTGGGTGGTGCATATTCATATATTTGTTCTTTCCCGCAGAGTTCCTTGGTACATATATGAATTTTCTAAGGAAATTAGTTGGCAGAAGAGAATATATGAATATTGAAAACTAGTTAAAAACAGTGAACTTGAACACATTGCAATTTGGATAAAGCAATTAACTTTCGGTTTAAGATAAAATTTAATGAAAAATTTTAGTTTTCTATTATTATGTGATATACAGTGGTAAATTCATTTTTATGTGCAATGTTTTTTATGAATTTCAATGAACAAACTTGTCTTGTTTATAACATGAAAAGGAAAAGAGGGCAATATAGTGAGGGCACAGATCATCCATTGGGCAAACTTGTTAAGAGAAAGATTAAAGATCTCATTCTCTTGAGAGTTGAGAAGTCAGATGAGATTTGCAAATAGTTCAAAATATATTCATTTCCCCACAATAGTTTTGTGCACTGATAAATTATCTGACGAACTATCAGACGAACTTTGCCCACGATCGTTAATTTGGAGGGGTGTCTGTCTACCCTATGAACATATGTCATATATGTGCCCATTGACTGGATCTCAATGACACTCATAAGAATTTTCCTTCATCAAAGTCAACGTTGGATATTAAGATAATAAGTTAAAACTAGATCTTTCGTTGAAACGGGACGTTTTATTTCTCGAAGTTCACAGATCAGCAAACACACAGACACAAAGAAATAATTTTGGAACGACTCATTTTATAATTACAATTAAAATTAAACACAAAGGTTTCATACAAAGACGAAGTACCGTTATTCTTTCGACTCCATTAAATGCCATAATCCCTCTCCATAGTTAGCCATCCAAATATTCACTGAATTTCAACGATCTAAAATGAAAACGCAAGAAGAAATTTGATAAAACCAAACATGTTATTCCATTTTGCCCTCGACAATATTTATCTTTCATTCGACAGACGCATGCGCATATTGGTCATAATAATTATCGAAGACATGAAACCATGGTAACGGTTAATATTTAAAATCGTATGACATTATTATGAGAGAATATCATGCAGAAATTGTCTTTATACAGAGCTACATAAAGGGTAAAAAAATTGCTCGCAGGGCAAGACATTTGACAGGTCTTTGTTTGAATAATAATTTTCGTTTTGTGTTTGTGTCCATGACCAAGATGTACGAATTACGAAAGTGGGATGTTATTATCCAGTGCTGCCATAGCTCAGTGTGTGCACACGTGACTGACGTGAGCGTCGTTTTCGAGCGTTTTCAAAATCGTTTTTGGCTGTTTTATTGTTTAGGCGCCTTGTCTACACGATCCAAGGAGGACAAGAAAAGAATTTGCCTAATATGTTGAAACGTTAATGCGAAAACATGGAGTGTCTAGTCAGACTAGTTCCATCTCACTCAGCCTTTAGCGCCGCGCCGCCCGCGAGAACAGGTCCTCGGCATGACTAGCACTTATTGCCGGGGGGTCAATCTTCTTCAACGCATACATGAAAGAGAATTCATTTTAAAGCTATTTAAACAATGGAGGAATTGGCCAATAAAACGAAAACGAGGCTTTAGGGGTTTTTCTGGTAAAGGTCGTTTCGCATTCAGTATCCGTAACTCGAAGGAAGTCTTCTATACAATCATGGAAATTATATTCATGTGAATTAGTGCCAGAATCCCCGGGTAGGGTCGCAGTTCCTCGCAAGAATGATTTTCATTGGCTGAACTTTACAATACATTTCTGTTTTAACCAATAGCATAGCTTCGCATAGAAAAGCATTGTCCAATTGGACGAAAGCTTCCAAGCACTGCGACATGTCCCGTCAGAACACGCGTGAAACCGCATTGATTTCCAACAGTAAGAAATGAACATCTATGTTTGGATAAGTAAATACCTTCCAATATAACCAGGGAGCAGCGTGGCAGTTTTGCTACACAAAAAGTACGGCTGTTGCAAAGATTCCATAAACTGTGGTTTTAAAAGACGATATGTTAACTGAAGATTGACTGGTTGTAAACATAGATCTCAAAACCAGGTGAAGCCAATTTGGGAACACTTTCCGTGGTCTGCTTAGGTGCCTAGATTTCGGGCTTATGTATTACAATTTACAAAACGCAATCCAGGTTTATATCGTTCGGGGCATTGTAAATTGTGTTGAAATTTGTTCTCCAAACGAAAACTCAGTTTAACGTTGAATTTTTCTATTTAAACTTTGCAAATAATTACAGAAAATATAATACATATTGCTAGTAATTAATTGCTAGTAATTCAATATCTAAATAATTAAACTATATCTCTATATAAATAAAATAATTTATTTAATCTATGTCGTGTCCGTTGGAAAAATATATGTTGAATTAATTTTGTTCATATTAAATATGCTGTATCAAGAGGTTCATCTTCGACAATCCAGTTTAGTCTCGAGTCCAGTAGCGCCATGCGACGGATGTTGTGCGTCCTGGTCTTCTTCGGCGAATATAGATTACAACTTTGAAACCAGATTTGATAGGCCCTAGAAATATAAGCAGGAATCATCGTCAAGCACGAGTTTAATGTCCAACTATTAAAATATATTTTGTAATTCACGTATAGATGTACCAAGAAATAAGCATGGTTTTGAAGAAATCGCTTACACGTCATTCTTACCATCAATAGCAATCATTGGCATGATGTTCAATCGTCCTCGGCCAACTTGCTCGGAAAATGGCATCATTTCTTTGCCGTATTTCTTTCGATAAGGCACTGGCTTACTATTGCCTACTTGAAATCGCACAACTATACAAAAAATACATCCAACGTAAATATTCAACTCCTATGCAAAAGATTTAGAAAAGCATCTATACCACTATGGACTTACAAATTTTTGCATTTCGTGTTCTGGAGTTTTGCACGACTATCTCAGTTGCTCCACTGGGAATGATAACAAGAATTTCTTTACGGTTTTTCATAATCTTTTGGAATGTCCCAGTAACGAGTCTCCCTATAAATGGTTGAAACAATGACAATGTTAACTAATTCGCACTCCATTCGCACGCCGAGGTCGATTTAGTTCGACAAAAACCACTGTCCAACCGAGAATATCATAAAATACAAGAAGGCATTGTGAATTATGGCATCAATTATCTCATGAAACTTAAGATACACGAGTCAGACACTGATCTGTGCATATTATGATGACTTTGTAATAATGTCGAAAGTTTAAACTCATATATAGATTTGCCTTTCTCGATAACGACGTTCGTGTGCATGCAGATATATATGGCTCGGAGAAATGTAGATATATGTTTTCAAAATAAAAAATCTTACTTGCTGGAGTTGTAGGATATGTTGTAGTCGTTTCAGGTGTGGTAGAGATCTTTTCAAGCGTCGTTGGGGAAGTTTCAATTGCCGTTGGGAAGGTTTCAATCGATGTTGGAAAGGTCTCGGTTGCCGTTGGGAAAGTTTCAATTGTCGTTGGCCAGGTTTCAATTGCCGTTGGGAAGGTTTCAACTGTCGTTGGGAAAGTTTCAACTGTTGTTGGGAAAGTTTCAGGCGAAGTGGTTGTCGTCATTGGTTGCGGGGTTTTGACAACGTAGTCAGGCATGTTCATGCACACACCGTTGACACATGCACCGCTATCATAATCGCAATGAGTACCATCATCAACATGACCAACAAGAAGAAAGTGCGTCTCACTAATACGACAGTGCAATTGACAATCCCCTGAAAAAAAGGCGAGAAATTCAATCATAAAGATATACGGTTTTCTATATGCAACAAACATTTGAAATTAAGGTGTAATTTAAGTGCATTCTTTCGCCATTTGCTGTTGTAATTTACATCGTGCAAGATATGCCTTGAGGACGCATACAAAAATACATACTTATTCCTCCGAAATTGTGAGCATCTGGTGTTTCATGGCGGGCTTCACATTGTAAATCACGATGGCTCAATTTTTCCGAGCAAGTCTAAATCAGGGAAAAAAACTATCTCTTTGTTATAATAGGCACACACCAATAACCTAGAACAGTTTGATTTACCAGAACATCTCTTTGCTCTCTCCCCTAAATTACGGTTCACATTCATTTGTGCATTTTTGTTTGACTCAATGAAAACAGTATTGAAAAATTTAAAACCAGTTCAAATTTCCCTCGGAATACATACTCTTGAATCTTAAAAGCTAATCGAAAACATGTGGCAGCTACGAAATCGCCATTTTGAGACGTAAATATATACACAAGGTTATTAATTTAGTCGATTCGTTTTTGCCGTGTGTGAGCTTCAACTTTAATGCAAGACATATTTTGTCGAGCAGTTTAAATTTTTTTTTGCAATTTTGCTCACAAAGTTTTAAGTCAAAATATAAAGAATTGCGACTATATTGAATGCAAACGAATTTTCGTGGCGCCCATCGCTGTAGTCATTTCAATTCTGACGCAAGTCCTTTCATAATCGACATGAAAATATATGAATATAATTGACTTACATAAGAGTTGCACCATTCCGGAATAAGTTCTTTGGTCTCTCCTTCACAATCTCTTCCATTAAGAGAAGGTTTTGGATTGGTACAGGCCTTGGTATGAAATCGAACTCCACCTCCACAACTGCGTGTGCATGGCCCTGGTCCTATCCACTCAGAGAGACCACCGTCTATACCTGAAGTTAAACACGCACCAAGGTGATAAGTATATGAAGCTCTTAGACGTTACTGACTTTCTATATTTTCAATGCTATTCCAAAATAAAATTTGTTAGACCAAAAATTGAATATAAACTACAAAATGATATCCTTGGGACTTTGGGCGACCACTTGTTTGTTTAAAACGAATATTTCTGGGTGATAGAACAAATGAACAAATAGCAAATTGTACGTACCAAGGCAGTTATCCTGAAAGGTATCCAGCACGTAGAGAGGTCGTTTCACGTAGATAGGGTAATAACCAATGACATTGCCATGAGGTTTGTATCTTGCCACTATGTAAACCTTGAATCTGTCGCTTGTTCGAGCATAACCAAAACCAACTGATGTGGAAAGCTCCCACTCCAGCTGTACGGAAAAACATATATAGACAAGTTAAAATAAGGCATTGAGCTGAAAGATCGCACATACCAAATTGTATACTTCATCAATAAAGCTGGATATAATTTGCTGTCTCATAACTACACGCCTAGTTATAGTTGAAGTAGCTGAATTCATTAAATGCATATTCCAATAAATCTAGATGTAATGTTAGCGTCATATATGGGAATTCCATGTAACAGGACTTCCATTAAAATCAACTTTTTAGGTCAGCTTCATGAAGTCAACTTTTCCCTATAAAGCCGTAGTACTGAAAAGTAGAATGTATACCACACCTGCGTGAAATGTCCAATCGCTTTGCCTTCACGACCAGGTCTATTGCGATCTTCTACACCAGTCGTACAAAAGTTGTAATCCCATATTTCCTGATACCTACATGTATAGACAGAACGAAGAAATGGAAATGGAGAGATCGATACAACTACTCGAAAAAGCTTCAGAAATTTCTGTAATAGGAGCAACTGAATTTTAAAACAGAAAAGGGAATTACCACATGATGGTCGCATTGGCCTCAACTTCAGGATATCCTTCTGCAGATGCCAGATTTTCAGCGGCTCCGTACTGATCACAACCTTCCACATTGAAACAGTGAACAAGTCCTTTATCATTCAAAGCCAATTCTTCCGCATATTCTTGAGCCTGTTCTGTTAAACTGGTGATACGAAGAGGAGAAATACTTTAAATGCAGGCTGGCATTACGTATACCTATAGTTATAAAGTAAACTGACCCAAATTAGGCCCAGAAGCAGAGTTTAGCTCGTGCGGTGAACTTAACAAACAAAACTGCACTTATCCATAGGTCATCAGTATTAGGTGGGGCCGGTGCGATGCACACAACGTCACAACCGGATTGAAGATCCCTTCATTTTTGTACAGGAAATAAGACTATTACTAGTAACACGATCACACTCGCGTGACATCCATCGACATTAGAGGTATTCCATGCAGATGTCGATAATAGTTGTGAAAACGAAGTTGTTTTTCTCTGAAAGCATCAAGGTCAAAGCCAGCGTTCAAGTTCGCGTCGTTTTCAAACAGCTGAGGATAATAATCGTCGTAAAAGTCATATCTATAAAGGAGAGATGGCGTAAAATAAAAGAATCTTGATGCATTTGCTTGAGTTCCACAGTTAAATAATTCGTCTATCCAGTAGATTTGCTTAAATCCAAACGGCATATACTCGTCATGAAATGTTTGTCTCGATCAAGCTATATATTAATCACTTTCCTATGCTGGTTTTAAAAGCGAAAGCCCAGGGCTACGCTTGTATCATCACTTTGAGTATTGAAAACGATAGCTGCATGCTCAGCTAGGCTGGCGGCGAAATATGCGAAACTTGGCTCTAATCTTTCAGTTGTAACATCGAGTAATATGAAAACACAAACCTGGACGTGAAAGCTGTTGTTCCGTACAAAAGACATAGCAGCAAGACACACAACATCCCGAGAACTGTTGAAAAAATAATTTAGAAATCGTTATTTTGGCTTTAGATTTTTAGAAGAAATATTACACACAAGAGATTGCTTCCAAAAGCCTAGAATTTAGCACATTCCTATACACATGAAGATGATTCTGCAACGGTTATACTGAACTTCGTGCAAGACGCGTGCATGGTCGCCGATTCATTACAATTTTAGTAATTCAATAATTAACGGATCAAAAAACACGCCTTTAAAACGCAGCATAATTTTAGGGAAAGAAAAACTGCAGGGACGTACTAAAGAAGTTTCAAAACTGATCAAGACTGTACTGCATATACCTTTGAGCTGAAACTTCTTGAGCTTGGCGCCACCAACTCCTTCTTTATCCTTATGAACCACGACTAAAGTTGTTTGTGCAAAAAGCCACGTTTTATATCATCGCTGACGCTGAAACCAACATGCAAATCAAGTTGCCGTCATTAGAGATGCAAATATGACCAGGAAGAAAACATAACAGAAGCACCTTGTTGTAATAACAACTGAATTTCTATTGTCTCGCAAAAAACAATTGGCAGGTGCACAATGATAAATGGCCTAAAATAATATGCATGCATGTACGAATATACATTTGATTTCACTACTTATTGGTACCTAAGGTATAACACACTAACGGTGCTGCCATTTATTACAATCTAACAATAGGTAATCCGATGCCGACAATGTAGTCCAGTCGTTATTTTGGTATGCAAAGGTAATTGGGGAAAAACAGCCTGACATGCTCCAAAGTCAAAGTCATTTTCACCAACATTCGTATATTAATAATGAATTCATTTAAAAGCAGACCCTGGGCGCATTTCTTTCTATGGTAGAAACGGCCAGACGGTCGTGTTGAAGAGCTCTGTATTCCTGAAGTATATCATTATTTACATCTGCCTAGGACGAGAAATGCAGTTCGACCGCTTTATTTTTAACGAAATACTAAATATCAATTCCAAATGTGATCGATTTAACCATTTTGGTAATTTGGTTGCTTAAAGGAAGTGCCCCACACCACCACTTGTAGATCACCACCTCTGGCAGGTTATCTCGGGATGTTAGCGAAATTCATGAGGGAAATCTAAGGAATATTTTAAGTAAAAATAAGGAAAGTGAATTATTTTCCCGCTTTTCCCCGCCATTCTCGCCGTTTACATTTCATTATTTGTGATTCGTTTTACTTTTAAATATCCTCGCGTTTGTTGTCTCAAGTGAGCTTATTTTTACTGCTTTTCTTTTACCGGATACAATTCAAGCAACTAGAATGAACTGGGGTGGAGCTGGTATGTACTGTTTGTGGACTGTGAACGTTAAAACATTTGTAATACCCGAACTTCATCCGTATGACAATACCCAATAAGGCAATCACCAAAACCACGACCTCTGGCTCTGATGTTATATTTAGAAGTTCATCAATTAGTGTTTATTAAAACAATACTTTATACGAACAAGTCATGTTGAAAACGAAATCTAGAACTAAGCTAAAACTGAGCTGAAATATTAATGTCTGTGAGTACCAAAGGGCATGGTGATGCAGACTGTGCAGATGCTGCTGATACCTCAGCTCTAGTAGCTCAAACCAGCATAACGTCTTAACTTTGGTGTTAAATTCACCACCAAGGGTTAAAATTTACCATGTACTCCCAGATTTTTCTCAATTAGTGTTTTACAGTAAGCAGGGCTTAAATTTCAACCAGTTAACAGGGCTGAATTCAACCTCAGGATGAAAAAGTAGTGCATGTATTTAGTCCTTTATTGACAGTCAGAAAAATGGTGGTCAATGATATTAAGTTTATATCTCAATGTGAAAGCTTCCCAATCAATGGTTTTCCATATTAGGAGTTGAAAATTAACTGAAGGGATTTAACACAATTTAATTTTGGCACACCCATCAACGGTTTACCTGATTAGGGGTGGGTATCAGGTATATCCAGAGAACCACTAACTACCACTTGTACCTTGGCAACTACTACAAATATATTACTATTTTTATTCTCTAGGAAGTCAAATGGGGAACAGCAAAGTAAGTTATTATTAATCTTTTCGCTTAAAGACAGATTACATGGAGCTTGAATGTCTGCACATCGGTTCTGCTTATAACATTGGGGGACTCCATGATTTAGTAATTGCCCAAATTTTGCATGTTTTGAATTTCTTCTTTGAACATGAACTCAATCTTTTATTTATTTAGAAATATAGTGAACTAAAATGGTAATAAATATTCTGAGAGGGCAGGATATTTTTATCATTTATAGACCTGGAGCGAGGGGAATTCGACGAAATATTACCCCCAAGGGAAGATATATCCCGAGGGCTTTGCCCAAGGGATATATCTTCCCGAGGGGGTAATATTTCGTCGAATTCCCCAAGCGGAAGGTCTATAAATTATATTATATATCGAAACAACGTGTAGGCAGCGCAAAAGCTGGGTGAAATGGCTTCTTTTGCCTCCATGTTGAAATTGTTGACAACCTCGAGTCGTGTGCGAGGCATCCAAGCGTGGTACACGCAAACTCGAATACCCCGCTGCAGCAGGGTATTCGACTTTTATAGCATAATGTAAAAAAATTCGATGGAACTCCATGATTAATTTACTGATCACGTGGTACAAATCGAGCTTTCTGATTGGATGATTTACAGTTGAGATATGTAAAAACAATGTTTGTTTACATTACCGACTGTAATCAACCTTTAACATACATGAATAGAAATATATATCTTCAACCATGTGAATCTGAATACATGTCTAAATATGTTATTTCAGATGTCTTTCAACAGTCCCGGAGGTGGTGGCTTCATGAATAATACATTTGGTGAATCACCATTATCTCAAGAAAAGGTAGTAAATGGTTATCCTGGACTCCTCTTATGGCAAGCCTCCATTTTTGCACAATCTTGTATTAAACTTATCAGAATAATCTCCTGTCTGATATGTTCTGCAAGCAGTGCCATAGCTAGAAGCTAAATTAGTATGAATATACTTCCCTCACCCCCCCCCCCCAATCAAGCAGTCTAGCTATGTGAAGAAATTTTGTGGGTATCTTGCAGAGAAACGTCTAACAACTTGTTTGTTGACTTGTGATAACCTGTGCAATTTTCCAGTGGTGCACCACAAAGTTTTCATAATGCGGAAGTTAATGTACCAGTTCATCAAATCAAATTTGCAAAATCCAAATGAAATATTAGTCCAAAATGTACACTTTTGTTAGGCACTAATAACCAATGTAATTCATACCACATGTTGTTCTTTGGCTTTAGACAAATTCATCCTCAATTGATTGATTTATTTATCTTAGAGAGAAAAAAAGAATCTTGGTATTGTTCCAGCCACAGGGGCAATGTTACATAATGCAATTTATGATGTCACTACAGATTGCTTGGTGATAAATAAAGTCCCATTAAACCAGGTACTGTGAAAGATTTTGCATAGCTATAGAGTTTATGTGTAAGTTGTATGGATTATTAATGTACTGAGTATCAGAACAACCAGTCATGACCACAAATCAGTGAAAAAGTAATTTACCCTTATATGGGTGTCTCAAAAACAACATGATGGAAATCTGGAAACTTTTGAATTCCTTTTAAAAAAAATTAGTGATCAAACTTTCCCAATTGAAGGCACACCAGGGGCTGGTTGTATAAAATTATTTAACTACACTTTCCACTGTAGTTAAGTTAAATCCTAGTTAACTCAGAAATACACAACTCTGATTGGCCAATTCTGTCCTTAACTAAAATTAAAAGTTAACTAGCCTTTTATACAACTGGCCCCATATCATCTGAAATGCTGAAAGCACTGGGACTAGACTAAAAATCCGTTTCTCGGTTGAAACAACTAAATTTTCTCGGTTGAAATCTACTTTATTTCGTTTTAAAATTATGTCGGAGCTGTTGTTGTGGTTGTAACTAAACATTTTCACAAAATTTTGATTAGTTTCATAAATAATAACAAAAGATATAATCGTTTAAATACTGCAGAATCAGTGGATTTCTATTTCGACAACCCTTCTGAGCGCTGATTGGCTAAAATATGAGCGCGGGAATTCACTTGGAAACGAAGCTGATTTGAATTTATCGCGAGCTTGATGTGTATAAGTTCGATAATTGATGGGTTGTGAACATGAGCCCGGTTACCTAGATTTAACGAAGCGTAAAATGGACTTCGAGGTATTGAAAAGAGTCTTTTTGAAACAAAACAATCACATTCTATTGTTAGGATGATCACACGACTGCCAGAATCGTGTTATTTACTCATCTCGATACCTCAAAGTCCATTTTACGCTTCGTTAAATCGTAGCTTCGGTAACCGGGCTCATGTTAACAAACCCTGAATGTTCTGTTAACCACTCTTCCACCCAAAACCTAACCCAATCCAGAACGTTGAATTAACGGTATATATCTTTGTTGTTTTAAAATTTAATTGCAATATCTGGTGAAACTATTTAGAAATATCTTTTGATTGTTTTTTTTTTGAAATATTCACTCTTCAGGTGACTTACGTTGGTATGGTGAGGTCTGTAAAGGAAAATCGAACTCATTTGTTGTTTGAACTTGATGATTTCACTGGAAAAAGCATCATAGTCAATCGATGGATTGATCAGGAAGTATGTAAATCAGGGGCCGGTTGTACCAAGGCCGGATAGCGCTATTCACCGGATAGTGACTTCAACCGTTTTAAAAATGCTCGAAAAGCTATAAAATTTCATCTTTGGAACAAACAATTATTAAAGAAGATCCTCGACTTAGGAATACTAAGATTTAAACAAAGTTATACCCAACAAAAGGCGATTTTTGGAACGGTTTAAAAAATCGCTATCCCTATCCGGCTTTCATCCAACCGGCCAATCATTTGAGCGATTTTTTGTTACACAAATTGTTGTTGCTAATTTTACATCTCTTGTATATAATTTAGCAAAGTGCTGAGGAGTACGAAGCTTCTACATTCAGGTGAGTTGTAAGAAAATAGACATCTTGAGTTCTTGATATTCAAGATAAAACAAGAGTGTAAAAATAGAGACGTATTAGTTTCTGCCGGCTGAGGCACAAAAGAGGCAGAAAATGTTTTTCTTACACATTGCCGGGGGGGATTATCCCAGGTGGTCCAGGGGGAAAGGTCAGTTTTATGTTTTGCTTTGCTTGCCTGGCCTTAAATTCGCGCCCACCCTCTTTTCAGGTTCAGGGCTTCAAGCATGTCTTTGTAATGAGTTGGAAGTTGGAAGTCTTCGTAGGAAGTTGTGTTTGTATTGGGGTGTCTGGACCATACGGGCTGTAAATAGATTAGGAGTAAGGCATCCCAAACGCAGCCATGTGTGTGAAAATGATATTTCGTCTTTATTCCAAAGACATCGTCAGACTATTAAAATCACAAACAAGCGGTAACCTATATGTAATAAGACGTATATTTACAGACGTAAGGCTGTGTGATAACTAATGGATTAGAACAATGACACTCTTGTTTTATCTTGAATTAATATCAAGAACACCAGGGGCCAGTTGTACGAAAGTCGGATTGCGCTATTCACCGGATAGTGGTTTTTTCAATCCCCCTCAAATTGCCCGTTATTTGGTATCACTTCGATTAAATCTTAGTACTCCTGAATTAAGGATCCTCGTTAACGATTGTTGGTTCCAAAGCTGAAATTTTATTGCCCTTCAAGCATCTTTAGAACGGTTGAAAAAATCACTATCCGGTGGATAGCGCTATCTATCTTTCATACAACCGACCCCAGATGTCTATCTTCGGAATCTGTTTTATTCTGTATTTTCATTTCTGAGACGCTTTCCCGCCACAAGAGAGCAGGCAACATCAATCCATTTATAAACGTTTATCGCTCCAGGTTCTATCGAGTTCACTGCCTAAACCACCATGCATTACACGCTTCTCATATTCTGTTTTTCTCTTTTATTTTTGTCAGAGAGGACGCCATCGTTCGTGTTACTGGTTATCTCAAACGTGTAGATGAGAATAAGAGACATATTGTCGCGTTTGGCATTCATGCTGTAAAGGACTATAATGAACTGACCTATCATATGTTTGATGTTATTCATTCCAATCTTTCGTTACAAAAGGTGGGTAATGTAAAGAATATTCATGTACATGTACATGTATAGGCGCTCTGCTATAAAGCATACTCTGTATATTCGCGCTGTATAAAACATACTTTGTACTTGAAGTTACGCTTTGTGACGTTGTGTTTTGCTTCTCTTTACGACAAAGCGTCTGGGGACGAGGCAGCTTTTGATACACCCTGTAGTCTGTTGTAGAAAAGAATCAACGATTTTCGTTTGTTTTTTTCAGAAGATGCGCGAGAATGATAATGCCAACACTTCAGTAAGCGGCGGGCCTGGTGGTGACTTTGGAAACAATTCATTCTCCGCCCGCGGTGATAAACCTGGTGAAACGCCCAGCGGACTGTCCCTTAATGATAATAAGGTACACTTTTGTACATTTCTATTATTAAACTCAGGTGTATCATACATGCGCGCTTTCCTATATAGTAAAAACGGTCAGAGCAATCCTGTAGAATTTCAGTACAGAGACATTACTGGTATTTTAGAGTGTTTCAAGAACTCTGGATTCAAGTGTATCGTTATTTACATCTGCCCAGCACGGGAAATGTAGTTTTATCGCTATATTCCTAAAGAGATTGTACATTTCAACAATATAACCCGTTTAAAATATGACCCGTTTGACCATTTTGGCCGCTTAAACGAAAGCGCCCCATGGGTGATATGTACGTATATCCCATCACACACGGTGTGGAGGAGATATGGATTTTACACGCGAGTTGCCACGAGAACATAGCTATTTATCAGCTTTTCGAGGCTATAATTCTCTCCGTTCATGCGGATTTGCTTTTTTTTGACAAGAATACAACACATTAAAACTTAACATGCTAGTAAAATGTTAAAAGAATCACGAAAATAGCGTCGATAAATCCTGAATGTAGCTTGTTAAAAGAATTCTTTGAACCAGTAACATCGTAAATGGCCGTTTAAGGCGCTGTTACACTATGCAATTTTCCTTGCAACTTGCAACGCAATTATAATTTTGAGGGATGTTAATTAGTAAAGAGTGTTCGAAATGCTACGAAAACGTCAGTAGATCGTGAGAAATGTTCGTATTTGTCAACTTTAGATGCCTCAGGAGTAGAATTGCATTGCAAGTTGCAAGGAGAGTTGCATAGTGTAACACCGCCTTTACACTTTCGATTTTTACTGCGACTTCATGTGCGATTTTCTTCTTTTGGTAGATGTGAACGAGTAATTAGTTACGAATGCTTTGATGTATACGAGTTCCTATTTGAACATCCGTAACTAATTCACTCGTTCGTATCTATATAGACGAAAATCGCACATAAAGATTGCAGCAAAAATTGCAAGTGTAAACGGGGCTTATAATCATTTATTTCTTCAGAAATTTATTTAAACTCTAATTTCATTTCTGCATGGTTTTCTTCCCAGGTTTATCAAATCATTAACCAGGATACGGCGCCAGCAGGAATATCCGTCATGGACGTGGCAAGGCGATTAAACATGCCCGAGAGGACAGTACGGTATGTGTAGGCGTATACATTATGGAGATTTTAGTTTTTGTTTATGGTTTTTGCGCGCCGAAAACAACAGCAGAAACAATTTTAGAACAAGCCTAATGCTGAGTAGACTAAATTTGAAAAAGCCCATCTGAAACTTGTTATGATGATGACTTACGATTACTAAAGAAACTCCACACCAGAGGTGGATCCAGCACTAGTGCACTAATTTGCATGACACAAGAAAACTGCTAAAAATAACCACTTTGTTTTGTAATGCAAATTTGTGCACTAGTGCTGGATCCACCCCTGCTCCACACCATAATTTGTGGTCCATGCACGACAGCGTTGTCATTCTCACGACGCCTTCAAATGGGGCGTTTTCACGGCCTCTCGATGACATGAAAGCAACAGTAAAGCCTGGTTTCCATTTGGTCGTAATAGTCGTGAACATGTCATTTTCACCGATGGGAAATTGCCGGGATGTAAATTCGTCTTCATTCCTGTATTCAAATCTGTCATTGTTGACTGCACACGTATAGAAATATTCTATAACATCAGCCACCTTGACATGTTCACGACACTCACGACTAAATGGAAACCAGGCATAACTGATATGAAACTATAATATCAGCTAGATATCGGAGGTTCTTTGCAACACGATTATCCTATCGAAGCTGGAAGCTTGCATGAGCGAGAATATGTCGAATATGTCAATATTTCAAATCCGAGAATTTACAGCTTAAACACGAAGCTAATGGTTTACTAAAGCTAGTAAACAGTAAAGTTGTTTAAAAATTTAAATTTAAGACTAACAATAACCAGAGTTGCAAAAAAGCTGCGGGTACGCGGGTACCACCCGGAGGAAGGTTTGCTTTGAATGATATTTGTGAGGAAGGTTCAAAGTTGAACACTCTAATTGATCACATGCATGTACCAAAAAACCACATATTTCTTTATGCTGGTTGCCACTTGACTCAGTGACGTAACGTCATTTTGAGGAAGGTTTTCAAAACTTGAAATCCTACCGGAGGAAGGTTGAACTCTTTTTGCAACTCTGACAATAATGAACAGTTAAATTAGCCAATAAAGCTCGCCGCACACGAATGCTATTAGCAAGTTCCTCTCGTGTGCGGATGGTTTTCGGGTTCAGCTAACTGCCTCGCGAGGTCTTTCGCTCAGCTGATAGCTCTCGTAAGTCTTTTGTAGTTCAAATTAATTTAATTTGTTGTAAAAGTTTAATTTCTATATTGAATTTTCTAATATCGCACAATCTTATACTTGACTTGCAGCACCAAACCACATTCAATATCTCGTGACTCGCTACAAAATTATTCGAGTTAACTAATTTTGGGTATTTTTTTAAAACATATCCCAATACATAAGAGTTCATTGAGAAATGATGCAATCCATTTCACCCAAATAGAAGACTGTTCTGAAGTTGTCAAATTCCCCTACTCAATTTCTCGCTATTGTTTTGCAGAGAGAGTGTCGAACGCTTGAGTGACGAAGGCCATATCTATTCTACGACAGATGACGACCATTTCCGATCGACGAATGCTATGGCGTAGGTAGCAGTACTCTATGTGTACACATACCTCTCACGTTTACCCCCCAAATTGTTGCTTCATGGACCGATAATCGGACCGATACCGTTATAAATATGGACAAACACGGTTTGCAAACATTTTCAACTTCAGGGTCTAAAGTTGTGTTAATTATTTTGAAGAAATAACGCTAGAAAGCAGGGACCGGTTGTTCGAAACCTGATTAGCTTACCCTCAGCCTGGGCGATGCAAATCTGCAATGATCACTTTCGAACAATTTGTTCACCAAGCTCAATATTTTGTCCCAGAAAACTTCTCTGATTTTATGAAGATTTTATAAGTCTTGAACCGAAAAGCTATCCAGAAATACATAAACAAGAATAAATCAGGTTAAATTAAATCTAATCCATAAATTCATAAACAAGGTTAAATCAGGTTAAATCTAATCCATAAATACATAAGCAAGGTAAAATCAGGTTAAATCTAATCCATAAATGGTTAAATCAGGTTACATCGAATCCATAAATACATAAGCAAAATTAAAAACAGGTTTAATCTAATCAGGCTTTGAACGACCGGCTCCAGGGCTGTTTAGTTAACTATTTAAGTTCTGATTTGTCCAGAAGAATAATATATGTAAATCTGGTCTGGAAATCGTCTATATTCCGCTTTTGTTACCATATATATCTAAGGGGCTGTTTACATGAGCCCGGTTACCCGAGATTCAACGAAGCGTGAGGGGACTTTGAGGTATTGAAATAAGTCTTTATGACACCAAACAAGCACATGCTATTGTTGTGGTGATTATACGACTGCCAGGATCATGCATCTGCTCATCTCATTACCTCAAAATCATCTCACGCTTCGTTGAATCTCGGGTAACCGAGCTCATGTAAACAGCCCCTAAGAAGGAACGAACATGCCAACTTCAGGACAAAAGACTATTTTTAACCCATCGCGGGCATCGCAGTTGGGATTGCGGTCGAGGGAGGTCAGCGATTATAGAATGAACTCGTATTTTTTGACGTTACAATTTAAAGCGCAAGTCGTCCATTGTGTATCAATGCACAGGGCACGAGGGTGTGTTCCTCTATGGTTATAAATGTAATATGGGTCCAGTGAGTCTTGCGACATATACCCCTTGACTTCGTAGCGGCATATCACTTTGACTTGAAAAAGTGAAGATTCTTATTTTTTTAGTTCAAACTAAATATACCAAATCTGCAATTTCTGCTGCTATCCATTGCTCTTAATGGCGAACAAAGATGTCAAAACTCTTTTATGGGGGTCTGCCGCCTTTGTTCGGGCTTAGGAATGAATCGAATGATCCTTTCTCGTACAAGACAATAGTCATGAAATTTTTATGTTCCAGCAGCTTTTTGCGTGATATTGCAAATGTTTATGTCGGCATCGCCTTATTTGTATCACATGTAATATGGGACACAAATGAAACCCCAATCACAAGATGTTTTTATTCCACAATATACCCTCTCCAGGTCACCTTGCTGCACTGCGATTAACTGAATGTTATATTAATAATGTGATTCCCTTGTAAATGGATCGAATATGTATATGCCAGTTAAATTTTAACATTTTGTTGTTATTTATAATAAGTATACATGCAGCTCTTTCCCCCTATTTGCCTGGAAAGTGCGAAGTGATTTTCGCTTGTTTCGACATTTGTCTATAAGCCTGCTATCTTATAATAACGTGCGTGTATCGACGGTTAATGAAATGATGAATGTATTTCGCAATTGTTGTCACAAACAAAGCCATGTTCTTTTGAAATTGATCATTTTGGGAATGTTCGGAATGCAGATGAAGTTGTTGCTGTCTCTAATATGTCCGGCTGCGCTGATTTATTACCCTTCCATTCAGATTGAACTTCGTGCAATCACCATTGTACAACTCATTCTGATAACTTGTTGTAACTTTATGAAAGGTATTTCCAATTCACCAAGGCAATTAACTTGCAGGAAGAAGAATATAGTAAACATGGTAGCTATGCTTTGTGCCGTGCAATTGTCGTCGCTCCTTGTTTAATGAAAAATAGCATAGCACACACTCTGGGGCAACCCTCCTATTGTCCTTTAAACTGTGCCCTATTTTAACTGCAGTGTCATTGAGTTAAGAGGTAAGTTCCTCTTCAAACTATCTGTGTTCTGTTGTTCGTTTTTTGCTGCCTTTTCGGGGTGACATAATCGACTAAACCTTTCAATTATGTAAGGAAAACAAGCTCGAACAAGAATGCCGTTCGTCCAAGACAATAAAAAGTGAGTTTTATTACTTTTATGTCAGTTTTCATTCATTAGATTACCCGTTCTGCTATTACAAACAGCTGCGTTATTCTCGCCTTTTTCTGCAACAGAGTTTCGATAGGAAGTGGCGTGATTACCATAAATAACAAACTCTAAATTGACTACACTTTGTGGATTGTTCCTAATTTAACCAAAAAACCTTTTGTCGTAACAATCTTGAATGTCTGTCTGCCACTATGTATACTATCATACTTTTAGGCATAAGATATTTTTCCTTATTCCGGGGATTTGTATGACAAATATTTTAAACAGGTTTTAAGCTATTGTATGCGTGGAGTAACATAACAAGGATTTAAATACGTTTGTCGCAAGGTACATGCAGTATAGTTTTGTTCCATAAGTTTTGACTATTATTATTCCACTATCTTTATGCTTATAATGAAACTGAAAAAAATAATATTATTCAGTCTTGTTAGCTTGTTATTTATATGCGTTCTAACGGAATAGAAAAAGTATTACTTTTATACTTATTAAAGCTACTTCCTATATTTACCATATAATGTCGTGATTCATTGCAACATAAAAATTGAATTAAGGTGCAATTTTCCTTGCAACTAAATCGCGATGCAATTCTTATTTCGAGGGATGTTAATTTGCAAAGAGTATTCGAAATGCTAAGGAAACGTTAGCGGGTCGCAGGAAAAGTTCGTATTTGACAACATTAGATGCCTTAGGAGTAGAATTGCATTGCAAGTTGCAAGGAAAGTTGCATAGTGTAACACCGTCTTTACAACCAAACGGGGCTTGTGATATACCACGAAACACGACGAATTATTTCACTTAAAAGCAGTTTCCACACGACTACATGATTATGAATTATGATAAAGACCAGTCTGACTAAATGCAGGTGAAATTTATAGCTAATTCTATACCACGATTATATGACAAGGGTTGCTCGTGCATATACATGCTAATGCACCCATACTATAGACCAGCGTAAGGGCTATTCATAGCTAGCCACATTTTATGATTTATGCATGCCTCTTGTCTGCACGGGATGTTTTTGATGAGTAAATTTTATCAGCTCATTTGCAAGTGACCTAAAGCTGATATCCAATTCAGTTTTATTTTATCCATTCAAGAAACCACAGTTTTTAATAATCTTTGAAAAGAAGTCGCGCAGTCCCAGTGATCCGAGCCAATTTGCAATCCAAGTCAATGATCAAAATTTCTTCATAACATTAATTTAAATCAAAGTTCCTCAACGATAATCGCATTATATTCCTAAACAAACCCCATACAGACCATAATTTATATAGTCGCCCTTTATTTTGCTATTATGTATATGTCACTATACAGTGATAAGTGCCTTTAGCAGTCACTGCATAACAGGTTTATAGTTTAAGCATGCATTGTGTCCGGTCGGTATTCCACCAGTTTTAAAAATGCATAGCATTCATACGTTTGAAATAGATTTTAGCAGCTGTGCGCTGGTTTTTGCTGTAATTGTTGATTGCAAAGTTGATCTATAACGTCATCTATACACTAATTTGGCAAAGTAGAGAACAGATTTTGGAGTTTCATTCAAAATGCTCGATATTTTAAGTTAGACAAAGCGGCTATCATACCCCACATATGGTCTTTGTGGAATATATTGTTGAAGTATGTTATAGAATCTTCCAGATTAACAGTTAGACACAATGTTTGTAACCACAGGAGCATGCATACATCAAGTAGTAGCTTTATCGTACTCCTACTGAGATTCTACAATGTCAATTGTATATGCTTACGAGTTTGTCGAAAGTTATTAAGCCTTATGTCTGCTCAGATGAGGTCTGCTACATGGTATATGTTTTTAAGTATAGTTCCAGAATTCTCATGTTTAGCATAGATCGAAGATGTGAAGCCAAATTTCACCTTTAAACTGATCCTAATACTTCGTTTCACTATTTAGAAGATAACAAAAAAGAAGCTAATATCCCGCCTATATGTGCATGAATTAAGAAAGCTGTTTTAAATAGAAGTTACACACAAAAAGATCATATATTTTCTAAGAGACTAGTGCTTTTATCAGGGCCGGTTGTATCAAGCCCGTTCAGTTCAAGTTTTAAAATAGAAAGTCATGCAGTCTATCGTTTTATTCAACAAGCAAACTAAATGTTTTTAACAGCTAAATACAAAAATACTGTTTACAACTACATATTCAGTGCATAATATTCAAGTTGACTCACTCAAAAGAGATCTAAGAGTAAAGAGTGTTATTTAATTTTGACTTATCCACCGTTCAAGTTAAACGGGCTTGATACACCGGCCCCTATAGGCTATATATGTACATATATATGCTTCTTCAGTTCTTATACACCTTGGTGAACGCTGTGGCTTGTATTTTTTGCTAATAGTATATAGACGAGCATTTAAGTCTAAGACAGGCTATTTTGTTATTTAAGTGTAAAGAGTACTTACCAATTAAAGGCTTTAAAGCCTATATATTGACGAGGTAAATAGCAATAATACACATGTAGTTGCTAATATACGTACCTAAAAGAAGTTTCTCGTCTCATTATTTCAAGTGTAGCAAATTGTTACTTCTCCAGTGGGATTTTGGACTGAAGTACTTTGCAAGAATCGCAGAATAGAAACACGGAAAGTGTTTCCGACTTTAGCTGTGATTAGGAAATGCAGGTTGGAGCGATATTACCAGGGGTTTGAAAGATGAAAAATGCAAAAAAGATTTAGCGTATAAAAATATAGTTAACTTTCATAAAGTCTGGACATAGCGCATGATCTGGTGACTTCAACATTTTTAATTATAGAATAAAAAATATTTTAAAAAACGTCTTTAGACAATCCTAATATTTGCAGCCATTTAAGCATCGCTAAGACAGCCGACACCATACTTTTTCCATTTCTCAAAAGCCTTAAAACCTATCCAAATTAGGGTCATGTATGCATGCTCTTGAATTGTTGAAGAACAAGTTTTGTTGAAAATTTCAGCGTGGCTGCTGCTCCACTTGGCAGCATCAAGGACAGAATAAAAAACTTCGAGTTTATGCGAGAGAGTGGTTCGACGAGCCCGCGAGCACGTTCACCGATAACGCCTAATAATGAGAGTCCAGTTACAAATAGAAGGACTTGGGGGAGGGATGGTGGTGAGCGACGACAAATGAGACGTTCAGAGAGAAGGGAGGCAGAACTAAGGAGAGAAAACGAGATCAAAGCTTCCAAGGCCAAAGAACTATCAGCCACTCCACGCGATGTCAAGAATGTCAACATACAAAAAACTCCGCCCCAGCCTACGGAACGGCAAATCCCACGCGCTGCACCACGTGTCACGCCACGTGTAATCCCACGTGAGAAGGACAAACCACCCGAACCTGCGTTGAGAAGACGAAATGAAAATAACGGTAAGTAACCGAGTTCCCCAAATGACCATAGAGAAATATGAAGAACATTGTACTTCATTAGCTGGCTCTAGTTAGTCATATGTAAATTGGGAAAATATATAATTATGAGGTAACATTGCATAAATTGCATATTTAACGTGGCAATGTCGAAAATACGTGAACTAGGCGAACTCACTTCGTGTCTTGTGAAATACAGTTTCCACCATTTTGATAAAAATCTAGTCCTTTAGAGTTAGTTGGGTAAAGTTCAGGTTTAGGATTAAAGTTAAGATCATATACATGGATTCTAGACATGGAGTTAGGTAGTTGTCTCGTTTTGTAAATCGATTTATGATCATTAGGTTTTTAAGCAGTATATGTAGTACATTATATACATAGGATTTATGGCTATCATCTTGAAGCTTTGAGTAATAATTTACCCACCCGCGAATAAGGTGTAGTGTTCAGCGAAGAACGTTTATATATTCACACAGGTATTCTTACAGGCTTATATCCACACAGGGGTGGTTAAGTGTTTTTTTCCATCTTTAGCAACTTGGAGCAGCCCTGAGAAAGGCGTTAAAGGTTCTTCCCCCGTTAAAAATTCTTTATCACCTGAAAAACTGCCATCCGCCCAAACCACTGAGAGTTCGTCGAACGAAACGATCGATATAAATTCCTCAGAGGAAATTAGTGATATTTCGAGCGAAGAAGTGGAAGTGGGGAAGGAAAAAGAGAGTGAAGAGGAAGCACGACAGGAGGAATTGGAAAATGAAAATGAAGGCGATGAAGAGGATGCTGAAGATGAAGAATACGAGGATGAAGCGGAAGAACAAGACAGTGAAGCAGAGGAGGTAATCGTCTGCAGGGTGTATGATCCCTTTTTACGATAGCTGTTAAAAAAATACGTTTGTAAACAATTATTTTGGTCTTTACATTCGGAACTACAACACTAAGCCCCACCTTAACCATGTCCATTTTGAACTCATAGTAATGGATTGGTAGCGGGGTAGATTAGTAGTGGAAGTAAAATCTGAATTTCACTCTTTACATTACCTTTATTTGGTCGATGTGAACGAGTAATTGGTTAAGAATGCTCTTATGTATAAGACTTCTTTTTTGAATATCCGTAACTAATAACCTCGTTCACATCTATCAAAAGAAGAAAATACCTACATACCCTCATTCACTGATTTTACTAAACATTTTACTTGTCATAATGTAAACCAACTGTGTGTGAATAATCATCTGGATTATGCAGACGAATTGCAGCAATATGACGTCGGGGAGGGAGGGAGGGGGGTTTAAGGGGGGCGGGAGAGATTGAGTACTTAAAAATATGGCTTTTCCTCTAGGAAATCAGCGAGACTGAGGAGAATGAAGAAGAAGCAGGTGATGATGAAGAAAACGTGGAAACCGATGAAAATATCGAGCAAGAAGAAACAGGAGGAGAACAGGAAGATGAAACAGATGAAGAGACAAATGAAGACGATGGGACCGTATTAGAACCACCAAAGCGGCATCATGACCCCCCGGCAACAGAACATCACAAAGCAGGACGAGGTAAAACTGGAAACCACACGAAAACTCGGAAAATATCCAGACAACATCGGGACGGCGAAGGTTGCGAAAATGACAACGCTGTTAACCGACAAGACAAGCGACAACATCACGAAGAGAAACGGAAAGAAGAAATTGAGATATCATCCGAACGACGTGGTTCTCATGAACAGAAGACGAAGCGACATCAAAGACAGAGCAGTGTGAGTGGCAGCGAGTGCGGAGACGTGAAACGATCTCGAAATCGTAAAGATAACGGATCGTTACAGTTAGAAAACGCATCAGAATCTCCTAAAGAAATGAAAACAAAACAACATCGAAGGCAAGGCAGCGGTACTGGAAACGATTTTCAAAAAGTTCAAGAAGAAAAACCTCGCAGAAGTTCCGATGTTTCGGTGGAAAAGACGACGAAAGAGGAGCAACGTCATGCTAGTTTGGCTAGGACCAAGTCAATGCCCAAAAGCACAAGAAGGTCCAGTCGAAACTCTTTAAAGTCTCTTACCACGGAGGAATTGGAAGAAAGCGGGAAAACTCAAACCGGGAATAAAACGAAACAAACTCCAAAGAAGGAAGAGACTGGAAATAGCACAGCGTCTGGACAGAACAGCCGTAAAGCAAGCTGCGCTGATGAGGAAACTTCAGAACAGACTGGGAACGATAGCGAGGTAAGTAATGAATGTAATTAATATCATACAAAACTACAAAATTTAAAACGCTTCGTATGAAAACGTCATTCCAACTGTATTGCTTCTTTTCTCGTTTGATTAAGGTTACCACGCCAACAAGCCCTCTAGACCTATACTCCAACAACGTCCTCGGTCTTGGTCCTGCCAATATCCAGCCGTCCGCTGACGCCGAGAGCGAAGGCACGTCTTCCCCTGACCTTAACCGACACGACGAACATCCTTCAAAGAAAGCATTTGTCTGCGCCATTCACGAAGAGCCGTGTAAGTATTACTGCCAGGATTGTGAACGACTCATTTGCAGTGAATGTGCCATGCGTTGGGGTGACTGTCACGAGCACTACTACCTTCGAGTGAAAGACGCTTGGAAGAAATATCGCGAGGAAATGATGAAGATTTTACATGAAGCTCGTTCTAGTGTGTCCTGCATACAGCAAGACATCCTGGAGAACTCGAAGCAACGAGACAGCTTCAAGTTGAAAGTCGAGTCAACGATCAAGAAAATCAACAGCTTCTTTGACGAGCACGTGCAAGCTTTAGAGAAACGACGTACGAACTTCCTAGAAACTGTAGAAGAGATTATGAAGTTCCGTGAAATCGGAATTAACCAAGAGATTGAGAGTCTGCAGAATAACTTAGTGGAAACTAACAGCACCATCAACATCGCTGGTAGGGTGTACGGAACCAGCACTATGATGGAGTTTCTCCAGGTTTGTAAACAACTCACAAACCGACTTCTTGATCTGGGACACAAGAAGATCAAGTTGAACATTACGGAAAGCATTGATATAGATTTTATTTCGGAGCCGAGTTTGTTTGACGAAATCGACAAACTTGGTCAGCTGAAGAAGCACAGAGATTCGTCTCCATCTTCGTTTCACTTGGATGTAAATAACAAAGAATTGAATGGCACGGATGGGAGGTTGCCCCAAAAGAAAGATGCGGTAGAATCAAACAGCGGAGCGAAAAAAGGAGAAGAAAACGAACAGGATTCAATGGATTCTGTATTCGGAACCTCGACAGAGAATCTGTCCGAAAGTACGTCGGCTAAAGATAGTAATGATGTCAAAAGAAAACTTGCGTCAAAAAACGAAGGACAACCTGCTCTACCAGGCGGTTATAAGAGTGTACCCAACAACGACGCTGTAGCAATGAAAGGAGTACACGATTTGAAGAATCGCAATGAAGACCCTGTGAAAATGAAGTCCAATGATGGGGTTAAAAAGGAATTGATTTTCGGCCAGCAAGCGCGTCCGGGGGTAATACCCGAAGAGCCACGTAGCATGAAAGAGATATCTGCAGACCACAATCTGAGGTCTGCGGTAAGAAGCGAGAAAGAAGTCGCAGACTGTCCTTGTGGGCTTGCCGATGATGTGGAACACAGGAATGGTTTACCAAGCGATGCAGACAAGGTCGCAGACGCTGAAATCCCAGTGAAACAGCAAGCCCATGCCGAGCACCAGCATGGTCGTCGGCATAGCATGGACGACCTTCTTGGTAGTTTCAGCAAAAAACAAGAGATTCAGCGTCGACTCGGGAACATTGGCAGGTACCGTCCTCCTAAATCGGTCGCGCAGTTCTTGGACGAAGGCGAGCGATATTTTTCGAGTGGAGAGGCCGAGCAGCGACGGAGGAAACAAGAGTATTACAAAGTTCGCTTTAACGATCGTGCGTACTACAGCAACCCGAGCGACAGTTCTGAGCTGGAAGAAATGCGAGGTTATGATTTCGAAGAGCGGCCAGTGAAACACAAGGTGAGACGGCATCGTACCATGCCCCTGATTCGACCCATCTCCGAACGACGGGATCTGAAAAGTTCTTGGACTTTGGACGTCTTCCGTTACCATGGCAAGATCCACTTCTCGCGCAACAGTCTCAAAGCGACCGGAAAGGCATTCGGCTGGAATGCGGTCGTTGGATCCCAAGGATTTTCCCAGGGAAAGCACACGTGGAAAGTACGCGTTACCAAGTGGACAGCGGTCGGCGTATGCTACAAAGATGATCACGTGGATAACCCAAGCTGGGGAGCTGGTAACAAGTGGACGTGGGATTCAGCTGATATGTGCTACTCCCCCCGGCTCGGTGTGTGCGAATCCCCGGTCGGAGAGTGGATCGATGGTGACGTCATAGCTTTGGAACTCGACTGCGAGAATAGCGTTCTTGTTGTTCATAATTTGCGTACCTCTGAAACGGACAAGTTGTACGGTTTCAAGCAGCCTGTGTACCCGTATTTCTATCTTTCTGTGTTTCGAAGTATTAGCTTGGTTGAAATTGACGGCATTCAAGTTGGATCGTAGCTCAGCGAACGATGAGCAGGGACTATAATTGACTCCATAACATAATGAATATCAAACAGGATCATAGCTTAGCGCATAATGATTTGCTAACCCAAAGGGCATTGGCATAATTTTCACCGTCTCAAATCGAAGAATTCGTCAAACTATTTAATGATTACGGCTAATTTGGAGATTTTATAAAAGCAAACTTTGGTAGAGGTTGACAGGTGATTCTCATTAATTTACACATCACTCGATTTATTAGCTCGGCACAGGCAAAATGGGTGCTCGTGTCCATTTCATCCGTGCCCGGCCTTTGTTTTGGTAGCCTGATCACTAATAAAATTGGTCACGGGTACCCATTTTAACCATGCCGTGCCAATGTATCGAGTGTAATGTACACGGGGCTTGTATTGACTAGTGCATTCAACTCAGTGTTTTTAGGACGCTATACTCATTAGCAGCCATATACCTGATTTTCAGGGGGAGGAGTTAAATACAGTCCCACTAAACTTGAAACTTCTTTGTACAAGTCTGGATAGCGCTATCCACCAGATACAGTTATAACGGTATAACTTTCATTAGGCCTTACTATTCCTAAATTGGGAATGCTCTTTAATATTTTTAGCTGCTAAGCCGTTCGGTTAGAACGGTTGAAAAATCACTATCCGGTGGATAGCGCTGTCTATCCTTCGTCCAACCGGCCCCAGTGTCACAGTTTCTTAGATTAGTCGCATCGGAATGAACAAAGGGAACATTGAGGTAGATTTTCCAGCTTTACCTCAAAAACTAAGACAGGAATGCGGAAAAGATAAGTTATTAAATAGTTTTACGAGTTCTTACATTCGACACAAAGATACATTAGTAAATTTGTAAAGAAAATACAAGAATTCTTGTGGTACCAGCCTCGTTCCCAGGCTCTTTGAAGTATTTCGCGGATAAAGCACTGAGCGCACGGGGGTGCTTGGGGAAGTTGCAAGGTCTCCTGCTTATCCGCGAAATACTTCAAAGAGCCTGGGAACGAGGCTGTTGTGGTACCTGGTGGGTCGGTTACCAACCAGGGGCCAGTTGTATAAAACTCGTTAACTACATTTTGCATAGTTAAATTGGCCAATTCTGTCCTTAACTACAGTTAAAAGTTAACTAATCTTTTATACAACTGCCCCAGGTTCTTACATATTTGTCGTGCACAGACGAGCTTATACGTGAATTCAGCAAATCATTTGAAGCAGATGGACCCCTTTGACAGCAAATAAACACAGAATAACACCATCGATGTGATGACATGGCCTCATGACGTAAGCATAAACACGGTAATGTGTCTGAATCAGGGATAATTGGCAGTCGTTAAGGTCTGCCAATTTGCACAATGTTAAATCCTTGTTTTAATAAGTAACTGAAATTGTTTTGCATTTATATGATGATTCTTCTATTTTATTCTTATTATATTCACATTAAAAATAATTGACTGATACTTTTTGTGGAAGGATTTGATCTCGTGTATGTATCACCATAGACAATCCAGAAGACAAGCATGGAATGGAAATCCATTTCCTGTCGATGTTTTCTCGATTGTCTATGGTATCACTGACCGACCCGAAAACCGAAAACCAGCATTGATGAATCATAAAAAATGAAATTTCTTTAAATATTCTGGTATCTGTGTTATCGCAGCAAGAAATCGAAGTATACAAGTATTTTTTTAAATTGAATTGAATAATTATAGATTATAATAATCACATTAATTATAATCTTAGTAGCAGCTATAAGAGCCAGTGATAAGAGCTGAATTATACATAATTAATTACATATAAATTATATAGTTTATTACATGGCATTTTTGTTCAACGGATTTTTGATGAATTATTGTTTGACAACATTTAAATTTGTTACAATTTATCAATTATTTTATTTCGTATGTTTTATAAAAGTGTCTTGAAAATATAAGAAGTGGAAATGATTATCTTTGATCAATTAAAAATTTGGAATAATAATAATTTTCGATAGTTCCGTCTGACGGTAAAAGCTGGACTGTGTTTTTCAAACTTTATTGTTTATGTTTGTTCTTCATTTTTTCGCACAGTTCTGGATTGCACAACACATCTATAGCGGTCATCGCCAGGCATTTTGCCGCAATAAGAGTGGGCGATTGGGCTGCATCTGAACCCGTTGCTGCTGTAAACTCATGAGTGTGATTTCCTGCTTTTGAAACAATACTGTAGAATGGATGCAACGAAGGGACAGCATACGATACATTTCCCATGTCTGTTGATCCAGCAGGTAGGCTTGTTTGGACAACTTTCGGTTGAAATTTAACCCCCAAAGATTCTGCATGTTTTTGATAGAGTTCAGCCAACACTGGGTTGTTCATTACATCGTAATATGGCTGTTCGCCTTTTCCATAACCACACCACTTTATGTCCACAGAACAACCTTGAAAATAGAAACGCGTAGAGCTCTGTAAAGTCTCTTACATACGTCACCATATCTTTGAACTTAATGGTGAATTGTAGAAATAAAGCTTCTCTAGCATGCAAGACCATCGCTAGTTAATTAGGGGGGAGGGTGCATATTCATGCTACAATAATCTTAGGTTAGGTAGCCCAGGGGTATACATTGCCGTCAGTGATAAACGCACGAAACTGGACACATGCACATACTTCTAGGCTATGTACCCAGAATCTATCAAGAAAAACAAGCATGGAGTTGATGGATGAAATGACGAGCTGGAAAACAAGGTTTATAAGGCTAAAAGAGTGTCTGGTGCTCAAACAGCGGCGTAGGCAGAACGATAATTGGGGGGGTCCATATTCATATACTCGTGATACGCAGGATTAATTTCTTTCCAATTCACTTGTCTTTACAGTCTGTTTACATGAATATATGAATATGGACCCCCCCAATTATCGATGCTGGCTACGCCAGTGTGCTCAAATATATAATGGTGAGCTCAAATACAATTTGAAATCAATATATTTCTTTATGATATAGCTGGTATCCAGTTTTATCCTGTGAATGAAGTTGAGGGACTGTTATTCCTGACCATTTTGAATTATTACTATTGATCAATCTCATGAGTAATATTTACCATATATGGTAGGTACATATTTCAACACTTTTTCAACTACTCACCTGTTGCTTCTGCCGCACCTCTAAAACATTTGTCTGCCTTTGTCTTGAATTCATTCAACTCTTTCAAATTTGGAGCACGAAAATAATAATGTAACTGGGACCTTTCCGGGATGATTGCCGGTTCATAACCTCCTCCATCAACGAATACACCATGAGCCCTCCATGTCGGTTTTATCTGCTGTCGCAGCATGCTTATGGAATTGTAGCTGAGGACTGCCGCATCCAAAGCATTAACTCCTTCCCAGGGAAATGCAGCAGCATGGGCAGCCCTACCACTGAATGTGACAAATACCTCTTGGATAGCCAAGCATTTTGCATAAACAGCATCATATGGTGCAGGATGTACCATCATGCTGAAGTCCACTTGGTTAAAGCAGCCTTTCTCAAGCATAAGAATTTTCCCACCACCACCCTCTTCTGCAGGCGTTCCTAAGACAACAAGGTGACCTAAACCTTCAGGACCTTTCTTGAGTGCAGATCTTATCCCTAAGATAAAATAGAAATTGGCAATTCACTTCTATCATGATTGTTTTACCCTGCAAAGGATGCTTGATGTGTATACAACTAGGCCAGCAAGGAAGAAGGGGTGGGGGGTAAAATACCCAGTGCTGGGAGTGCACAGAGGGGCCTCTTGCAAGTATATATCATTACCTAGCAATTCCTGCTTATTAATTAAGGACACACACATTTGATTGGCTCATTATCTATTAACTTAATAGAACTATTAGAACAATGAGCCTTGCAAAATTTGATAAAACGATTTGTGAGTTGACTGAGTTCTTACTAATTATGGTGAATTATGTATCTTAATTAATCCTGTTGCCATTCCAGAATCCAGAGGGAAGTGAAATCAAATTGGTGAGATGGTCCAAAAAGAGCGGCTTCAAAAAACCTGGTGACCAGAGTGCTCAGTGAGTCATGGAATCTCTTGCAAGGAATTAGCTAGGGTTACCCTTGTCGACTCTGAGAGATGTGGATATGAACTGAGGCATACTGAGGCATCTCCCCACACATCCTCATAATGAGATAACCATAATTGAGATAACCAGGTACAGTGTAAATAGTAAGGGGCCTTTGACAAATAGATTTTGTCCCACATGGCACACTTTGTCCACAATAGGCAGTTAGAGTGGAATCCTCAACCAAAAAATTTTTGGGAAAAAAATTAGACGGCGATGCGGGCTTGCGAAATTTATTTGTCAACGAGTCAACGGTATTAAACATAGTAAGTTTAATCATGGATAGTTAAGACTTGTGATTTTATTATCCATGGTTTAATCGATATATCCTACCTATCGCTGCGGCTGCTCCTGCCTCTGCTATCAAATTATGGCCACACGCATGCCCAATTTCAGGTAAAGCATCATATTCACATATTATTGCAACACAAGGAACGTTCTCTTTCTGCGTCGTTTCGCTTGTAGCGACGAATGCGGTCTCCAGCGGGTATTTCTTTGAAACATCGAATCCGTGCTTTTCAAAGCATTGTGTCAAAGTGTCGTGGGCAAAATACATAATTCCGGTTTTTCCCATATTGACTTGCTTAATGCGTGAAATTCACCGGCCAAGTTGTCGATGACCGAACATGCTTCTGCGCGAAGTACTTCGGCGTTTGCCATTTTTTTAAAAGATCACACTAGATCGCCCTCGTTCGATACCGTACGTATTCTCTTCGCTGCTTCCGCTTACAATTAAAAGCCTGGCGTACACTAAAGCTATTAGTTACCAAACATTATTAGGCATGCCGAAAGGCTCTCTGCGAATAGCTATAGCTTTCGTGTGCCTTTACGAAGACTGTTGTCATTCATGCCAATGGTTCCAACTTCCAACGAACGGGAAATATTTGTCACCATTTGCCACGCACGGAGATGCAATTAATAAATGATCATATTAAAATTTGCGTACGTGGCACGAATTCCACGAAATGCCACGAACGGAGGCGAGAGGGGGCGATAACGTACTTTCATGGATCCAATCATCCAAAGAGTTCTATAGAATTGATACAACAATTATGAATTATATTAGTCATGTCATGACTTTGTTTTTACTCAATAGATGCTTAGCTTTCACACTGTTACCCTGCTGTTACAGACTTACAGTAAAACTTAGGAACTCCCAAAATACCGATGACCCGCGGACGAAATTACCCCTTTCGTCGCCCCTGGTTACCACGATTGAAACATTGTGATCTGAAACCATCGTTACAGATCCTTGGAAAATGGCTTTCATGTGAAATATATCATCATTGATATAGCAGAAACATAAAACACGGGTATCAGTCTGTAAAAATATTTTCGCTTTGTATACATTTGCAACAATATTTCACAATCCAATTTCGTTCGCGGTTTTTTCCGTTTTAATATACTTCGCTTCGCCATTGTTACATATCAACTTGATAATTATGACACATGTTCCATACAGTAATTCTGACGAGCCTTAATTAAACGTTTTATATTTGAGCTAAACGATTTAAATTTGACATAAAAAAGAGGATTTAGCTTTTAATGTTAATATTTAACTAATAATATATATAGTTCATGTCATAATAGTATTAATAGGTAAGAAAAACAACTGTGCTTCCGCGATGGTAAACATTGATCACTTCTGTAGAAAGTGTTATAAAGTTCTCAGAAAAGCTTACAAAAATTTCTTAGAAAACTGAAATTGTTCAATCATTAAATTATACAAGGATTTAGAAGTATCATAAGTTATTGGTTTGTGTCGAATCAGTTCATTTTATGGGAAAAAAGTATTTTATCATGACACATTGTGAAGATTTTCCGGCCCCAAATATCTTCAATGGGCTGATTGGTTTCGGAAATCGGAATTACAACCAGGATAAAACGTGATGCGAAGGGACTTAAACAGTAAGTGGAGGAGTGTGTATCATACTTATTGCTGCGGCTGCCCCTCGACTGTTAAATTGTGGCTACACGCATGCCCAATTTCAGGTAAAGCATAAATATTTACATATTATCGCAAAACAAAGTACATTCTCTTTACAATCCTTTGAACATTGAATCTGTGCTTTTCAAAGAACGATGTCAAAGACTCAAAGTGTCATGGGCAAATGCTCTTCGAAATTTAACTCAGGTTTTTCCCATATTGACTTGCTTGAATTCACTAGCCAAGTTGTCGATGACCGAACAGGCCTCTGAAGTTTGCACAAAGTATTTCTGCCTTTGGCATTCTTTTATTTCTTGTATATAAAGCGGGTATCACTGGCATAATTTTTCAACCCCCCCTGTTGCCTACTTCGTCGTTAAGGTTCAAACATATTGTTAGAACAAATGCCGGGGGGAGTTACAAGAATGTCACGTCAATATGACGGTCATTAAAACTATTAAATATATTCCTATCATTATAGGAAAGTTTTAGACAAGGAAAGAGTACAATATTTTAAAAAATTAAAAATATGGCATCTAGAATGTTTAATCAGATTTTTACTAAGCTAAGAAGTAAAGAATTTAGGTCTTATTTAATGAGGTATTAAATTATAGAGGCTGAAATATGGTTTACATACTTTCATACAAATTGCTTTATATGTTTATATACCGGTAGACACGTACAAACGTTTCATAGATTAATCTTTAAATATTTTGACTTTTTTAGCACGGTAAGTTGGTAAAGGTCTCAAGATTTGATTTGTACACCTCCAGGTCTGTTATATGATATGATTTTCATTAAAAACTATCTGAGATTTTTATTTATATTAAACAACATATATTCTTATTTTTAGCATTTCTGGGGGCCAGGTAAGTTGTATTTTAATGTTAAGATTTTCTTGAATGAGTTGTTACTAAATGCATTGAGCTGACAAAGTCTAGGGGTGCACAGGCACTGGATAGATTTCTGCGATCTCATCTGGCCAAATACCAAATTTGCCAGATATCTGAAAAATGTCTAGCTGGATGCAAAATTGTATGGTGGTGAGGAAAAATATTGCACCATTCATTTTGTTCCCATCGTATTATTGGCCTTTTCTGGAAGAAAATAGGAAAACCTTTTATCAATATATACTAAGATTGAATGATCTTAATAGTGTATCCCCTCAACTTCTTACTGCAAATAACTACTAACCAGCCAGATCAACTTGCCAAATATTGTGTCCAGTGCACCCCTAACAAAGCTGGGTGTATATTTTATACCTATAAATCAAAATTAATTAACACTCTGACAACGCTCTTGAATGAGTGGACTTGAATATTATACACTGAATCAGAAAACATTTATAAGTTTGCTTGTTGAATAAAACAGTAGACTTGTTTCCTATTTTGAACTTAACCGCTGTTTAAGCTAAACACCGAGGCTTGATACAACCAGCCCCAGGGAAATTGTTTCCAGACAAAGTACCTTGATCAGGATTTTAGCCCACGTAATTACTTTACCGGTTCATGGAGCAACCTGCCGAGCTGTTTAATTGTGTTACCCCAGGAAAATTTGTTATTTATTTATTGAAATCCTAGAAAAGTACTCAATATTAGCTTAATTCCTAATTCTTTAAGTGGAGGTTAAAGGTCCATATATAAATAAATGGTTTGTTTACATTTTGAACTTTGATACTTTTTGAAATATGTTGTATTGTCTGAATGTCTAAAACTATTTAGGTTTGCTAAGTCCTTAAATGAATATGATGAACTAGTGGTTTTAATGAGAAAAATTTTAAACATGCAAAATTTGGTTATAATCTAAGGATTTCACAATATGTTATGAGCAGAAGTTAACTTCCACTTTACTGCATGAGAGATGTTTCTGGGAGATGTGAAGATACTTTGCTACCATGAATCACTTTTGTATGCTTTATTCGTATATACTCTAGTTGCAAATTGGGGGATACCTTTGGCCGCAATAGCAGATATGAAGAAAGATCCAGAATATATTAGTGGTAAAATGACAACAGGTGAATGCCTACATTTTTCTAACTACTTATTCCATTGTTGGTTCTAGTCTACCTACCACTATGGTATGAAACCTGTCACTTTTCATTGTTAACTTATAACCCTCATTATCCTCATTATCACCTATAGATGTCTTCACAATTGCTCCTCTCCCCATTATTATTAGAAAGATTTAGCTTGAGGGGAGCACCATCAATGTTAAAGACAATGTGAGAATGGAGAATAAATGACTAGTGGGGTGCATCACACCATCTGCCTATGATTTTTCTCTTAATTATTAGCATCCTTCCTTTCTATTAGGTTTTCCCTCTCTAACACATCATCCCTTGCCATAATCATTGTTCCCTCCATTTGTTTGCCCTCTTCCCATAAATATCCCCCTCATTTCTTGCTTCTTTCTACATTATTAGCCCCATATGTTTATTATTATCCCAGCCCACCTCTATTAGTATTACCCTCCCCGACAATCCACCCTCACTGTTTATTTTCTCTTTATTATTGTCCCTGTTCTCCAAGTCACATTTCCTTTAAAATTATACAAATTTTGGCTGTTAGTCTATTAATTTTGACTGGCAGTTTAGAAACCTCGCGAAAACATCTTCTAACATGCCTTTTTTAATTACAGCACTTTGTATATATTCTGCATTGTTTATGAGATTTGCGTGGAAAGTTCAGCCTCGAAATCTTCTCTTGCTTGCCTGTCATATAACAAACGAGACGGCACAGATTATACAACTAGGAAGACTAACGAGACACGAGTGAGTATACCTTAAGGTGGCAAAAGTCAATGTTTATGGTCTGAATTGCCAACATACATCCTTTTTTAGTACGGGCGGCAGTAAAAATTTTCCCAGGCTAAATTTTCTTCTTTCCTCCCTATTTGAAGCCCAAAATATCCTTAGCTGTATAACCTCATGCAAGATTAAGTTCAGGAGTTTTGGGACGTCGAAAATTAAAACTATATGTTTCTTTTTGCTTGTATTTTCACCTTTTTTCCCGTTTAAAATGTGGCGTTTTGAACACCTGAAAATCCATCATTTGGTCGGACATCCTGTGTGAATGGCCTCTTACTGTAGGTCTCATTATATTTTGATATCTTTCAGGTTTAACAAGTCAAAAGAGCCTTTGTAAAAAGTTACGTATGCGTTACAATGTGTGGTACAATTTACCACATATGAATATATAAGACACTGTGTTAGTGTACAAAATACATGTTTAACTGTAAAGTAAAATATGAAATGTAATATTTATAATTCATTACTTCACAATTAAAGAGATCAAGCTTTTGCTGTCTAATGAATTTTTTTCTCCTGGCGTAGATGACGTATTAATAAGGGTTTTATGTTTAAATTAGGGCATTTTCAGGGAAAAGGTGAAATAATACGGCAGTGGAGTTTTTGTTGGGAATGAACACTCGTAGAACTCGTAATAGGAATATCTATAAAATACCCCACCATTATAAGTTACTGTAGAGTATGGATAAGTTATTTGATTTTGTTGTTAATCCAGTAGCATAGCCAGCCTGACGATTAAAACTTACGCCTGTATTCTAAAAGCTCACTTACACTCAAACTCATGGAGTGGGAGATCTTAATCTTCTCGTAACGTTTCAATGGCGGTATTTCCAACCGAACAGGGGCTTGATTTTCAATGATTTACCTTATATCTTTCCATCTATTCAGAAAAAACTTTCTCATTGCCCAGCATTTACAAAATTTATATGTCACACTCAACGAGTACGAGTGTGAGTGAATTTTGTATTTTGAATACAGGTGCTAGTTTTCTAATGTCGTAATATAATAGATCGTAGAACCACAGAATACCTAACAGAAGTAGAACTCTATACTATTTTTTCGTAAGTGTGATTCGTCATGATTCGTCACTTAGCAAGTGCATTTTTTTGAGACAGTCACCCCCCTGCCAATGCTAAAAATGCGCTGATTTTAGACATTGGCAGGGGGGTGACTACCTCAAAAAAATGCACTTGCTAAGTGACGAATCATGACGAGTCACACTTACAAAAAAAGTACAGGAGTTCTACTTCTGTTAGGTATTCTGTGGTAGAACATCGCCGATGAATTACGAAATGAAAACCAGGCTTTTCCCCGCTAATTGCTAATATGTCGGTGTTCATTAACGTAAAAACAATCAGTTTCAAAAGAAATGAATAATTATAATAACCTGAAATTTGCATAGCGGGACTAAATTGTCAGGCTGGCTACGCTACCTTCGATTTAACTACTAAAATGTAGTTATGTGAGAGTTGGGTTTGTTCTGCCTGCGCCTTGCGTGTCCTGTAGTCAAGGGCGCATCTCGTCCAAAAAAGGGTTGTTGTGTTGATGCTGACGAATTGACGCCTCTTGTTCTATCACAGTTAAAAGTTTTATACAGGGTGTCCCAAAAAACCCGAAAACTATTGAAATCATCCATAACAATACAATTGTTAGAGTTTGAATGCCTAAGCACTCTGTTGGGACCCACAGGTGTATTTATTAAATGTTTACCATACTCATTTTTATGCATGCATATGACGCAGTAAAATTTGCTTGTTCGCAAAAATTATATTTATTAACAATATTTACAATTTACAAATATGGATAACAATATTTAAATGTGCATCTCAAGGACCGTGACCTTAGACGTGTCCCCTTTCTTTAGCAACACAAAGCATTTAGCATTTTATAAGTTGCATTAAATCCTCACGGGCTGAAATTCGTGAACACGGCATTCAAATTTTAACAATGAGTGATTTCAATAGTTTTCGTTTTTTTTGGGACACCCTGTACAACCGGCCCATTGTGTGTAAATAGCAAGTAATGAGGTTAAGGCATTCAAATTGAGCCGATAGGCATTCAAATTCTAACAAAAGCTCGGATTTAATCACACCATGTATAGTTGTCCTAAATTTTCATCCATTTTTACCATGTGAACATCAGAACTGGGCGAATTCAAATGCCAAATTCGTTCAGTCCAGTGTAAACCAAGCCTGAGTAACAAGAATATCGTTTGCAAGCAGGAATCATTGCTGGTTTAAGTTCCGTGGTGTGGCTAGCTGTAGAAAGAACACAAAGGTAGGGTATCATTTTAAAGAGGGGTATGGCTCATAGTGCATGACTGTAGTAATAAACGAAATCATATGGTAGCTTCCTTTTATGTTGGTAATTAACAAAAACGAGACCTTTTAGTATAGTACATGGTTACCGACTACCTCGTGGACGAAAAGGTATTTCGTCATGATATCTGAACGACAACACCAGCACCATTTAGATTGCAATTTGTATTCATTGAGCTGTATAGTAGTTCCTGGAGGCTGGAGGAAGTGCTCGTCATACGTATATCTGCTGTTTGGTCCCAGTGAATTTGAGGCTTGTAATAGTATTCTAGCGGCACTATTGTCGAAAGGCGCTGTTACTCTATGCTATATACCATGCACTATGCATTACACACTATACATACACTATACATATAATATATTTGCATTGCAAATTCAGACTGTTTAAAAAAGCTTTGCTTCTGTCTGAGAAATGACACTGTTTTGCATTCAATTTCACGGGAAATATTGCTTGTTCGCTTCATACAATGTTTCCTGTCACATGATCATCCTAAACTGCCGGACGTTTTGTTGGACAAATAGAGTTTAACATTTGGATTTACCACTTTTGAAACTCAGCAAATTCATTTGTGAATAGTCGAAGCCCTGCTTTGCCTTCAAACTGGCAATAGAGAAAAAGTTTTTTCTCTGAAACTTTTTTCTCGCATAGAACGCCAAATTCTTTAACAAGCTCAGTCATGACAATGGAACTAAACGTGAGCGAAAGTTTAAGGGAACGATCGTACAGCACGAGGGTTCTTTCTCCCTTTTTTCCCCTGTGTTTATCACTTGTAAATACGTTCATGACTTTAACAACAAACTTCGTTCCATCTCGTGGTGGGGCTGAACTGAATATTGGACCAATTTCTTTTAGACCATCAATGGCTGCAATAACATCTTTGGAAACAGCCCCCCCCAAGGAAGCGATCAAATAACTTGACTTCTCTCGTAAAACTTTACATACCTTCTTGTGCTTTGACAAATGTTTTTTTCTACAAGTTAAGCTGCAATACGCAGCCGTAAAGCACTTTTCACACTTGTAAAGTGGGCAATTCATATGACAATGGGAACAATACGAAACCGAAATGTCTAAATGATCAACGATTTCCCTTTCCAAATTATTCCAGACTTTGTTATCTTTATATTTGTTTGCATTCCTTAAATATTCATCTTTTGTGAACATTATTGGAAATTTATTTATATTGCCCAAAAATCCAGGGCCACCATTATCATAAATTTCATTCATTTCAACGACCCATGGAACAAACTTCTTTGTGGAACCTCGATTTCTCATACTAATCCCCCCATTTTTATTGCGAAAAACTCGGTTCGTTGATATATGGCAACCTGAACTCTGTCCAGAGAAAATTCCCCACGAATCGTTATCAAAAATATTGTTTTCTCTTATTTCCGGCGTAGAATTGCTCGTATATACTCCGCTATGGCCATTAGAAAAAATGTTATTGCGTATCAGCGAAACATTCTCGCAGTCAAAGATCAACATCCCATCCAGCCAATTATGGTGAATATCACAATCAACCGCACTAAAAGTCGATGCATCCGCGGTTTCCAATGTTGACAGATTCACGTCCCTTTTCACTGTTATTCCCTCATTTCTATTGAAACGAAAGGAACATTCAGCGACAACGACGATTCCTTTTCCGAAACATGAAAGACCACCGCCTTCACTGTATTCAAAATTGCATTTTTCTGCATTGAAATCACCCCGAGTTGTTACGGTGTCCGTGTTTACACCATCAGAAGTGAAGTTACAGCCAAGCAATTTAACGAACGACTCAGGCAAACAATTCAATTGACCTTTATCAAAATGAAATGACAGATTTACCAGCATGCATTTTAACAAGTCAATGCTGCCATCTAATTTCAGGGAAACAGAACAACTTTTTGCTGTTCCAACAAGGACGCAGTTGTTCCACGGCTTGGCGAATGTTGCAACATTTAGGATATACTCCTGTGATTCCAGAAGAAGAAATTTTAACACATCATCTTGTTGTAGTTCATGCGAATAAATCGCTTTTCGCAGATCATGAACAGAATCGCAGATAAAAATACGATTCTGCAGGTCCAAGAAAGAGTCGTTTAATAAAGAATAGTCGGAAAAAATATTCCTATTGTGATAAAAAGCTAAAGCAGCAGCTATTTCAGCACTGACTTCATTTCCCGAGCGTTTAAGTGCCAAAGCCTTTTCAGCATAACCTTTCCAACAATCAGGACGAGGTGACAGAGGTGTTACGTTATCTTTCGCATCCTCTGACGAGAAATTTTCCCATTTTTGTGCCGAATCGTTTACTGAAGAATATGTTTCACATGAGTCGTCTGAGCGAACATCCTGTTTGTTATTTTGCAGCTCTTTCGATTTATCAAGATCAACATTTTTTGGACCAGGTAACTCAGTCAGAACTTCGCTAACAACAGAAGGGGGCGTACAAAACTGTTTGATCTCGGCTTGCAAATGCTTTGGTAAAGGAATACGAAGAGGAAACAACGAATTATTTGAAATATCGCGTTCTATTGTCGCACAGTCGTTTGACGGCAGCCAGTCTAATATACGGTAGGTAAAGTTCAAAGTGCGTTTAGCTTCATTCTGTTTATGATTTGCACTTGAATGAACAGCACATTCGTAAAACATTTTTGCTGTTTCAGGAAACCATAGTGAATCGAGACAAACGGAGTGCATCGGAGATTGTAACAAATCCTCCATACTTCTGCGAAGATGATGGCCATGCATACAAAATTTAGACCACATGTAGAATTGGGAAGAGTTCTTTTGTAATTCAGAAATTGCTAAGTATTGCTCCTCGTCATTTTCTTCGTCCACCTCCACAAAATCACTGGGTGAAGGACATTTGGTGAATGCATAAGAAAGCATCCGCAAAGCATCAGTGAAACTCTTTGCTTTCGAGCCAAGATCCAGGCTTTCTTTGACCAATTCCTGGACCAAGCGATGGGTAGCGACAGATCTAGAGTGTGCATCGACATACTTGAATAGTGAAAAGTCAGTCAATAATTTCAGAATCTGACGGCTACCCAATGGCGATGACACACATTTACGATACGAGGTGCCTTCCACTTCAGGCTTTCCAACGTTGATCAATTCTTCCTCAATCTCGTTTGGGTTGAAAAACGTACAAGCATTCAAAAATCGCACAGCTTCCTCACCATTCGGACTTTCTTTTATATGCTCCATGTTGATTCGCCATGTTGTGTGGACAGCAAGACGTTCCTTTGCCTCTTTACCTGGTGCTACTTGTCGCCCTTTGTGTTGTTCCAGGAGTCGCAAGCGTTCTGCTTTATATTGCTCCAAGTATGAAGAAAAACTACACTTAAGCATATTAATATAAGCTCCGACTTGTTCCAAAGCAAGTGGCAATCTTCCCAGCTCCTCGCAAAGATATTCAGCATCACTGTCAACGTTTTCATCACAAGTTATGCAAGATCTGAAGAAAAGAAATTGCTTGGCTTCTTCAGATTGAAAACATTTCATTTGAAGATAAGACTGATCGTCAAAAACCGAAACTTCATTCAGAAGTCGCTCTGGATTTCGCCTGGTAATCACGACAAAGTGTCCACAGATACTTGCGTGCGAAGGGAAGGAAAGAAATTCCATCATGTTGGATGAAAGTTCAAGTTGATCCAAGCAATCGAGCACAATAAGACATGGGTCGTTGGTTATGCTAATTTTGCCCAGGATAAATGCCAAATTCGAATTAAATGAATTATCAGAGACAGCAACAATTTTGGATGCAATGTCATTCACTGACTTGTCAAGAAACGTATCGTCTTCAGCAGAGAACCAGTAAACACCTCCCTTGTAGAAATCCTTCATCTGATGAGCATACTCGGTAACCAGGCTTGTTTTACCAATGCCACCCAATCCACAAACCGCTGCGACACGGACTTTTTTTTCGTTCGACGTTTCTTCGACTTTCAAAATGCGTTTAAGCTCTTCGATTTCGTCAATCCGACCAACAAAATAACGATTTCGTGTCGGTGCACTAAAGACGTAAGGCAGCTTCTCTTTTTCCGTAATATACATTACAAGTTGACCAAAAGATCGTTCTTCCTTGAGAAGCTCTATTTCTCTATAATTATTATTTGCTTGAATTTCAATATTATCGACTTTTTCAAGCAGGTCGCCAATTTCCTTCTCCAATTTTGATTGTATCTTGTTGATATTCAGAAGTACTGTAGAGATCTGTAATATGATGAATCAGATTTGTTGACGTCAACTAACTAAATTCTATCATAATTTGGATAGATTGATATGAAACTAAGATACTCTGAACAACTGCACATTAGTGATTTAAGTCTGGATTTTCGTAATATATACACTAACACATGTTAAATTACATTTAAACGAATAAATAATTGTCAAACCTGTTCCTTCTCTAAATTCAAAGTCTGCACAGATAAACGAAGTTCATCAACACTCTCTTTGAGTAAAGTCGATGTGTCGATATCAACAGGTTGAGTAAAACACAACTGCAATCCTAAATAAACAAGACGCCAGGTAGGCGTTAACTCTGGTTCAATAAATACACTGCGTTGAAACTGAGCTATATTGATACACTGATACACAGTAAATATGCGATTAACCGCGCGGAAGACTAAGCCAGCGACACAAAAAATTATAATAGGCAGATTTAGCTCGAGGACGCGAACGTCAAAGGACTCAAAGAGGACGTGCATGAGAATGGCTAATAAATGGCGTGATACGCCTATATATGGGCTTGCCATGCCATTTATTCGCCATTTTCACGTCCTCTTTGACGTTCGCATCCTCGAGATTAATCTGCCTAACAATCGCGAAACCTAGACTCGGCTGCCACAGATAGCCAGCGAAAATGACCGATCTAGTAGACCACCTCTAAAGCTACTGTACAGCTCAGTTTGATCTCACGCGTGTAAAACGCTCTGATTAATAATCATGAATTAATGAGACAAAAGACAAAAGATTTCGCTTTAACAAATTCTTTCATAGTGAACATCTAAATATACACATGTATGTGCGTGTTGATTAGCCAGAAAATGGCTAATAGCTAAAATGTCGAAAGCAACATGCCTAAGAACACAACCGTTAATAAAGAGGTTGCAAAGGTTAAAATTTATGCACTATATACTTTACCTTTATCTCGCCAGGTGTTCAGATCGTCGTAAATTTGTTGTTCCTCTTCAGGTGGAAAGTTCACATTCTTCAGTAAAGTTTCAATACAAAGAAAAGCGGCGGTAAATTTGGCTTCAGTCCAGTTTGCAAAGTTGCAATGTGCCCACTCGTTTCTGATGTCTGACCGAACTGTCTTTGCATCAGCAGCAGCTGCTGTAAATGGAGCAGCTTCGCAAATCACTGATAAGATTGCAGAAATATCCATTGTTTGGTCAAAGCCAGTAAACTTGCACATAAATGGCTGAACAAATAACTTCGCCAAAGACAATGGGTCTTTAACTGCATAATCATATAACCATGGTGATCTATGAACATTGTTGTTGTTGATATTCTTGTAGTTGAGGTTCATAGCTGATGGGCTTAACTGTTTTTTGTGCCTACTATACACTTGTTGGTCAATTTTGGTCGGTGGTTGACATAAAAGCTGATGCCATTTTTGCATTTCGGTTGCAAGAATATTTCTCAACGCAGGAGTAAGAACCTTGCTCAGACACACACCGATAACAACCCATCTCCTTTCTTCATCAGTTATGGTGGTTGTGGGCTTGGCACTAGCCATCATTAATCTACAAATCAAATTAAATTTGAACATACATATGTCGAAAACATGATTATTCCCTAAAATTTTGTCAACTTGCATGACCATCACTGATCACTCATTGTCGACATCGAAAATGTATCTATTTGCTTGCGTGCGTTTTAAAAACGCCTGGCTACTAAGGCCTGTTTCAAACGTCGCATTTTGCATGCATCGAATATAATTCTAATTAGATTCGACCCTAAAACAATAATCCGACCGTCATTTCAAACGTCGCATTTCGCATGTGCTGAATTCAAATAGTTGCGGGCTCCATTCCTTATGATCAGCGACAGTCCGCTTGGGCGTAAATAAAAATTTCATATTTCTAGAAATCCTTTTCTTGCTATTATTTTCCTAATACTCTTGCCTAAATATATTGCACTTTATGCAATATCCAACTACTTCCCAGCCGCTTCCAGCAAGCCAGCCTTGGGATTCTTCGTTTTGTTCGTGTACTGCGCAACCATTACAAACAGACGCGGTAGGCAAATGTATTTTGTCAACTTTCATGCACACGTAATACAATACGATTGTGCTGGTTCATTTCTTTTGTCTATACGGCCTCCATATTTCCTTACTTGTGCCTTTCAATATCATAACATGCACGACGTTCTTTGCCTTTCTCTTCAAGCGAATTGAATTCGACACATGCAAAATGCGACCTATGAAACCACGTCGCACCGAGCTCGCATAATGCGACCGGAACAGTCGAATTTAGCATCACGGTCGACCGCAATTAAAAACGGCGAATTCAATTGTTTCATACGTCGCATCTCGCATGCAGATAATTCAAACAATTGTATTCGACACATGCAAAATGCGACGTTTGAAACAGGCCTTAAGAAAGGAAGGAAGTTTTAAAAAAATATTAGGAGATGAAAGGTTTGAACTTTTGAGATATATATAGGAAGACTCAAAAAGACGCAAAGTTGAAAAGTGTAATACTTAATTATTAGAGAACTATGATTACGAGATAAAATACTTTGTTTTTATCTTGAAATCATCTAAAAAGTTGAAATATAGGCTGAAATCAGTCCGGAAATTTTGCTCGCGAGGACACGCAAGCTTCATTACGGGAGGATTATATATTTCGCTGTATATACATCTAAAATTCAGTCAAAATGTCGAATTTTTGTGGTGAATACGACTGTGTAAAAAGAAATAAAGCAAAAAATACAGATGAGTAGATTCAGTGTCCTCCCCATAGATAAATATACATACAGATTCAGTGCTGTGGTTTTCAAACGAATCTGTCGCGAATTCCCTTGTATTCAATGACAAGAATTCATCATACTATTGTAGAGTTTCATGATTCATATGCCGCATCTAGACATGAACCTAGATACAATTTTCATCAACATGACTACATTAAGATTATTATTATTAAAAAAATGTTATAGCGATGTGAATTTTTCCGTCGAATTCGCCCATATATAGGCAGCCCAAATATACGTGATAATTTGAACGCGAGAAATTTTTCGGCAATTTGCCAACCCATATGGTGTAATGATAAATAATGTCATTATGATGTAATTATACATTGTTACATCATGCTGACAAATAGGCGAAAAATTTCTCGCGCTCAAATTATCGCGCATATTCGGGCTGTCTATCACACAAAAAAATCGCTGGTGCGTGGGAAACCTAGCTCAACATGCAGCCCATCATTAGCATAAAATGTCTATAAAAAATTATTTCCTTGTAAGAGAATGCCTATAGTCAAGTTTACAAACGGCTAAGCGTTATATCTTAGAGACTTAATCGTATAACCCCGTATAGAATATTAAACAGTTCTTCAAAGCTATACCGATATAATTATGCCACATGCTAAAACTTCTAGCTGCAACCAGTTGTACAAAGCCCTTTATTTAACCTTAATCAGTGCTAAGCCAAAAGTCAACAATACAAAATGTTATAAATATTGTGCCGGAACGATTGAACGTAAATCTGATATGCTATACATATGTACAGACTTTTGACTATACGGTTGGTCGAAATGTCGAGACGTTTTTGCTTATTTTAGGCAGTTTTCGTACCAATGACATGGTCATTTGTGAAGTTGTTTGCAGAGGTTGTTATACGCTGTTCCCTGGCCAAGTTATTTTGGAACCGACGTATCTATACATGGATGTAAACAATTTAGTTGTATTCGCGTTGAAAAATTTATGGGGGTTTTTTCGTGATAAATTTGTAGGCTTTCTCTTTTTTTTTGAGTCTATATCCACCGTGTAACTATAGCTAAACACACTTCGTACAACAGGCTTCTGCATGCATATTGTGCATGTAATTCATTTCGAGAAACCTTCGTTCTTCTTGCAAAGTCTTACAAATTAACTGGATCGATTTAATAGTTAGGCTGTGGAAAACATGTTTATCTTGCGTATAGTTTCTTCATTAACATGCAGTATAGGGCTGAGTATACGTTATTTGCACGGTAAAAACATATATATACATATATATATATACATATACATACACTATTACAGAAACAAGCTACATAGTGTTGCAATTTCAACAGTATAACTAATCTTCAGGAAATTTCAATGTATAGATTCTTATACTAACCTGGGAAAGTGACAACCGATGAAATCCTTCTATACTTTCCTCGAAAGCTCAGTGTTAAAGTTGAACACTCCGAATATACAGTTGTTTATAAAAGAGCCTATGCATTCGATTTTTTATAGCGACGCCAGTCGTTAGATATGGCCAGACAATGTGATAAGTTTTATGCAATTATGATTCTGATATATGCAAGGAGTATGGCGTCACCCAGGCTCAATGTTCTTAGCCCCCCCACCGAGTTCAAGATCAAAATCAAAATATTCTTAGCCATATGACCTCACGCACGATAAAGTTTAGGATTAATTTTAAGATTAATTTTTGGATTGCAGTAGCTTAATCTATAAATCCAAGTGTAACAATTTGTGTTATTGAGTTTGGGATCACAAAATATGTTACGAACATTACCGTATGAAAGTTTGATTATATATTATACAATTGCCTGCACATTTTTGTTTCACCCTCAATTTCTGCTTATTTTGTTGAATTTGCTCTGTTTTTTTTTGAAAAATCAGCCTCGATGTTCAATCTTACCTATATTTCAACAAGTCAAGAAAGTCTTTGAAGTAAGTTACGCAGTGAACAATCTGTAATCAGGGCTCAAAATAACGGCCGTGATATCTCCTGTCAAAGTGACCGCTCAACCTTATACATTAGCTCTGTCAAAATCGGTGTTTGTCCGGTCAAGAATCAAGACTCCCTGATTCTCCTATATATAGTGTATGTTAATAGTATCGTGCTTTTTAAGTATGGTAACCTTGATCATATGCAAGTCAAATTTAGGTGTAAAGTTGTTAAAATATCAATTATTCAATATATCAATATTATTTAAGTTCAGGTTAAAAAATCAATTAAAATATCGATTCGAAATAACGTGGAAAAACTCGCCCAATGGGCTCGTTTTCCCAGTGATTATTTCTCGTTCTCACAAACTCTTACGCGTTATATATATCTGTATAGAAACACGGAATATATGTTTTCTATTTCCTAATTGTAGAATGGATTTCTTGGATTTCTATGGATTCATTACGATATAATGCTAACTGTGTTATAAAGTTAGTCAGTAATATAAATAGGTCCAATTAAAGGTTTCTTTCGCAATTCTGGCTTTCGTTTCATCATCCAACTTTAGATATCCTCTGTAATAACACAATAAAACATTTTCAGACTCTTTCTTGAACTTTGCCTTGCACCCTTTGTCCAATTTCCAACACTTCATAAAATTATCAGGACCAATGGAACAGAAGCCATCTTTATAATTTTTCTCCACGTATTCGTTAGCTTCTTTAAACGCTTCAGGTATTCCCTCTTTTTTGATGTTTTTGACCAAACAAGGTTGTCCATTTTCTTCAGAGACTGCGTATCCTACGACCCAGCAACGAAAACTTTTATTCCCCATTGCAGGTAACAGGGGCGGATCTAGGATTTTTCAAACATAAGTCCAAATTGGGAAATTTTGAGAAAATTTTTCAAATCGGCAGATCGGAATTTTGATTATTTCAGCTCATTTTAGGGTTCATCACAATGCCCAGGAAAGACATACTAGATTCCGCTTATTAACAGAGCTGGCGAGGGTCATATTTCAAAACACACAACTTTCCCATATATTATCCCCTTATGATAGCAATAGTTGATTTAACACAAATTAAACAATATCCTCAAATAATATAAAGAGAAATATTCCATTGCTTCGCGTAAGATGCATTAGGCGTACAAGAACTTTACAAAACCATGCTAATCATAACAAACATAATATGCTATAAATAGACGCGAGTATTATAATATGCATCGCAAACTTCAGTATAATGCAAATTCTCAAACACTCTAGCGAGTGTTGAGTAAGTAGGCTTATCCATTCTAGTGCATTTTACGACAGGATAAGTTTTATAACCATAATATTATGAGCATAGGAACTACTAGGAAGATTATGATATATAAACTATATATTGATAATTGATCAGGTTACACAACAAAGCGGCATGAAATCAATAACTGTGAACGAACTTGTCGCATGCATGGAACACTCCTAAATCATTATATTTTTAGCTATATTGCTATATTTGTTA